CATCCAAAACTCCATTGACTTTGTAAACAAAGTTCGAGGACTGAAACTGGACACAGATGGAACCATGGTATCCTATGACGTGACTTCTTTGTTCACCTGCGTCCCCACCATAGAAGCAGTAGACCCAGGTCAAGAAGCCGTCATTGAACAGGGGAGGGGGTCTACGCCACCACTTATCCCCCACTTACAATGCTGTCCTTTCATCACTTCCCAGGAAACTCAACAAACGTAACCTATTGGCCTCAGGTGAAGATACCAACGATGGTCGTTCAGTCTCTTCTTAAATTTTGCTATGTCTGTGATGATGGGTGAAATTGCCCCTGTATCCACCATCAGACCTGTTGCCTTGACACATCTGGAATGCATACTCCTTGCCGCTCACCTCTTCAGAAACTTCGTCTCGCCTTTGTTTCCTTCTGCAGGTTGTGTCCCGATGTGTGTTGCTTTTACACTGACTGCACCACTACTTGTGTTGACATTCTCTGGCCTTGTGTCCTCTCAGGCCACATCTGAAGCATATGATGTCACTTGAACTTGCCAAAGCTGCGCCCGCATCTTCGTGACGTTGTCAGCTGATGCTACGGCCCGCATCCCCTCTGTGTCCTCATAGCTCCGTAGATTCGTTTTGAATTTGGCAAAATCTACCGCCTTCTCACTTGGTGTGACATGTATAGCAAACGGTTTGAATGAGTCTGGCAGGTCCTTCAAAATCATGGCTACTAACAGCCCATCCCTTAATATCTCGACAGCATTTCTCAATACTGTAATTACGGTCTCTGCTCTTATAACATATTCAGTCACACACTGCTCACGCAGCTCAACTTTTGGAGTGGAGTCAGTTCAGGTTACAGGCTAATTACATGTGTCTTACCTTTGTCCGCATAATAGTCTCTTAGAATCTTTAGAGCTTTCCCACTCGCTGTATGTCGTGACTGTCGTGTAACAACCACTCCCCAGGTACTCTGAGCTCTCAATACAGGCAGAGCTAATCTGACCAGTGGTTGCACAGCTAACTGAGCTATTAACAGCAGTTAGCTGTTAACTAACTTCAGCCACAAGTAAAGCCATCTGTCCATCAGGAAACTCTGTGAATCACAGAGACATCAGAGAGAACACTAGAATATATAATATTTCTCTTTCATATTTGATCCAGTTTCACCCAAATCTGTGAAAAATGTGTTTTTGTCCAGTAATCAGTAGGGCCCGGCCCCAGAAACACTATGCTTCATCAGCATTAGGCCTATATTGAGAAATCTTTTCAGTAAGTGCAGAATGAGTCATCAACATTTTAAAATGCTTTTCTAAATGGCTTAAATATCATCAAGAATACCTACAAAACACATTTTTTTTGTCATTGATGTGCCAGATACTGCCATAATGATGACATCAAATAAAACACATTTAAACATGCATTATGATTTCATGGTGATGGAAGCTGTTGTATATTTCTCTAGAAATACACTAGTAATAACAAGTAATTAGTAATTATACATTATAATGTAATTTATATTATTACATTTTTAAAGTCAGCAGCATTAGGCCTATATTGAGAAATCTTTTCATTAAGTGCAGAATGAGTCATTAACAAATTAATATGCTTTTCCAAATGACAAACTCCTAAATATCATCAAGTCCAAGTGAAGTCACATGACATTTGAGTTAAAGTTAAAGTCGAGTTGTAAGTCTTCTTTGATTTTGTGAAGTCTAAAGTCATAATTTTTGACTCAAGTCTTACTCGAGTCCAAGTCATGTGACTCGAGTCCACAACTCTGGACAGTGATGTGTAATCCCGTGATGGGATACTAAGACGTTGTCTGTGACAAAATGTAATGTCCCTAAGAGAGTGGTGCAGTCTCTTGACTCCGGGGTGTCACCACAATGAACCACAGAAATCCTAATAACATAGAATGAATAGTCCTTGTAAGGTACCATAACTCAGTATAGTGTCCGGCTATTGGGTCATCCTGAATAGATTGGATGCAGTACACGACACGGATGAAAAAGTCATAAACATCATTAATGTTAGCAGTAACAAATGGCTGTCCACATGCTAAAAGTCCTACTAAAATTATTACTCGGCTAATAGGACTACTGTAGCATGTCTAAACTAGCTATGAATTTTAATAACTTTATGAGAATTAATACCCAATTATGAATTTTAATACTCAGAAAACATCAATCCATAAAAAGCTCTCGTTTAAAAAGGGGCACCACCGGACTTGTTATTATCCTAGACTCTCCGGACCTCTAGGTAGCTTTTAATAATTATACAATTATTCACCAGTGATCATTAGTTAATAATCGCTCAATTATCTTAAATCAATCAGTCAGTCTCATATCAAAAGGGTCAATTCTCTTGGCAGGGATGTAGAAATAGGCAACACACATAATTCCTTGATTACAGTGAATTTATTAACTAACTAAAGTGATATAAAAGGGTGGTTAAATACATCAGAGAAATAAACAATGGCTGAATAATGAGAATGGAGGTTCGATTGTGGGAAACATTTGACTCATACGGCAACTAACCAATGCAATTAGATGATAACTCGGTTAAATTTGTTTAGGGGTATAAAGATTCCATATGCTGGACTAAAGAAAAATGGATTAGCAACCATTGGACGTCACTGATCACAGAATGTAGGATTTTGGCTTACTGCTTGTGTTTCTTCCCGCCGGGTTGCTGGTAAACGGCCTCACACTGGTAGAGTCCGTGCGTTCTCGGTTAGGACAACTTAAAGCTGTCGGCCAGTCGCTTTCTCTGCCAGGGAATTTCTCTGGGGTCCGTCTCTGGAAGGATTATGGACGAAACTTGCAGTGGGGGCCTCTCGGGTCATGTTTAAGTCATCCTTTGTGGTTGCTTGCAAGCCACGTGGCGCCGTCCGACCTCCGTGGGCTTAGCTCGACTTATAGAGCTTAAAAAGAACTGGGTCGTTCTTGAATTAACTAGTGTAACTTAACGGACTGATAACTTTTAACAAACGAAAAAAAAAGAAAAGAAAAACAAGTAAAGTTGCTGTTAAACGAGGGAAAAATCGGTGTCGAGCTTCAAGTGAAACAAAGACTTTGTTGTGCTGGTTGAATTCTCCCAGGCCGAAGCGTCCAGGGAGCAGAGCGGAAGAGTACAGATAGGGCGACGTCGTGTGTCGCTCTTTTGTTGTCTGGGGCGTGGTTCCCCCAGGGGGCGTTTACGGTTTCCCGAGGGACTGTCTTTCTAAACTTTTAATGTCTATAAAAGAAAAGAAAATCTATTTGTGCGTACTATAATCAAATATTTTCCACAATCAAACCTCACTGGTCAAACAGTTGTACCGTTCTAATTTAAGCATTTGGTAACAGGAAAACAGTTGTCAAATTATTGGTCATGATAAATTTATACATTAACGGCATTTCCGACGATGGTATGTAATACTTATTTCGTCCACTTGGGGGAGCTCAGGTGACATGAGGAAAGCTTAGATTAATCCGAACAATCTTTCCTTAGGAACTGGGGAATTTAGTTATTCAGCCTTAAATTCAAGCCAGCAATTAATAGAGTATAGTATGACATTTCTTTATCATCATTTCTAAAGGAATTGTGTGAGAAAGTATTGTGAACAAGCATTGGTTACACATAAGATGAAGTGTGAGTGTCCTTAATCTTGCTGAAAATAAAAACACTGAAAAAGTAACTTATTTAGATTCTTTTCAGCACTAATATCAACAACAGATAGCAACAACATGGTAACATAACTACTCAAATAGAGGCAAACGTAATCAAGTAACTAAAAGATTTAATTAAATAGTTAATCCTTTTGAGTCTTGGGAGAAAGGGGAGTTCTGATCTGAGCTGTTTGTTATCTCTGGTTAGTTTCTTTGTCATTTTAACAATTCAGGCACCGAGAGACTTATCTCGGCTGTTGCCAAAGGTGGCCAGTTTTGCGATCAACTGCTCATGAATAGCACTCACAGAAAGTGACCTCTCCACCCCCTTTCTTTTGTTGAGGTCTCTTCAGCCGTCTGTAGAGGGTTGATAATTAACCCCCTGCTCCTCTCTGGAAGAGGAATTTGGAGTAGCTCCAAAATTATTTAATATAAAATGCACCAATCCACACTGTTGTCCACCACACTTCTCATGTTTGGCAGGAAAACACTGTGGAGTCGGTCCAGGTTGCAGCTCTGTTACAATGAAACCGCTTCCGGGCGCACTGAAATTAGTTTACACACACTCTATACACAGACACACACATGCACACAGACACGTAGCCTGTGTCCCACTGTGTTTGAAGGTGGGAAAGGGTTAGAGCGTGGAACCTTTCACTGTATATGTGCCCGTTTTCAGTGTCTGTGCACACATTGTTGGTGCTTGTGTGTCTGTATGTATTTCAGTGGTTTCACCCTAAATGGCCTCTTATAGGATGCTGGATAGCCATGGTAAAAGGCTAGGTAGAAGTGCTCAGCTCTTGTACTTTGTGTAGCAAAACCACTGTGTAGATATACTCAGATACAGGTAAAAATAATTAATCCAATACCATGTCTGCTGCACAAATTATAAAAGCAGTCCTTCCAACATCAGTCCTTGCATACACGAAGAACCAGCCAGAGATCAATATAATTGAATATTTAAACTATAAAATTAAACTGCACATAATTATTATTAGGTAATTATTTTTATCAGTTTTTTTTTAGAATTTGACTGTTAAGCAACTAAAGATATAATATATAATAAAAGTAATGTGGTGAAATACAATATTTTCCTCTGAACTGTAGTGGAGTAGAAGTATAAAGTGGCATAAAATGGAAATACTCAATCACAGTACAAGTACCTCAATATTGTTACTCTCCCCCACTGGCTCAAAGGATGGTAAAGTTAGTATTTCCCAATACACCATTCATAAAGTTATAATCTTACCAAGTAAAAACTTTTTATTTGTTTAATAAAATCTTTTAATTCATGAATTGTTCATATTAGTGATACATTGTAATTTACAAAGAACCACAGCCATTTTTTTCCTCGCCCCGAATACACACCTGGCCAATCACAGCGCAGTATAGGACTCGTTCTAACTGAACACTTTCATGGATGCACTCCATTCACTCTAATGCAAAAGGAATCGTTTTCTAGCTTTCTTCTGCCTTATTTTTCCAAAATATGGTCAAATGCTGTTCCTGGGGCACTTTTAACAGTTACTGTCGCTACCCAGAGAGGTTGAAAGGAGCAGTACGATTTATTCTCTTTTGTTGTGTGTTATAGCCTAAATTCTTATCCTTAATTATTAGAGCGATGGTGTTCTACATTTTCATCATTTAAAGTGTTATTTTATAGTGTAAAGTTAAGATCACAGTGTTAAAACTCTATAGCTCTGAGTTTATCTGCTCCTTTTTTTAACGTGTAGCGTGTAGTAGTGTGTGTGTGTGTGTGTGTGTGTGTGTGTGTGTAAGCAATCATGTGTGCTTTGGGAGCAGAGTGAAGGAGCACAGTAACACAGCACCAAGACACCAGCTAAGGAAGCAGATTTTGTGAAAATTGTGTTACAAATCATACATCAATATATCCCATCACAGTAAGAATGCCCTGTCTCTAGCACACAGCACAAAAGACACCAGCTTATTCCACTAAGTCAGGTTATGGTTAAAATAGCATGATCAGCAGAAGGCATGCCTAGGACACAGAGAGGGGGAGCAGTGCAGACAAAAAACAGACATTAGTCAAGAAACAGTCATCAGTGATAATCTTTAATTATTTATAATCTTTTTACTTAGATGTACCTTGTCTATACTTATAAGTGGTGAACTGTAGTCATGAACACAGAATTGACACCATCCTCTGACCTGTAGGGATGTTGTACGGGTTTATCTATCCTTTATTGGTGTAAACTCTTTTGCACCGATCTCTGACCATCTCCGGTGAAACTTTTTTTATTCTAATTGGTATTTATTTTTGTTGATAATAAAAATATTGGTAAAAAGTTCAAGCTTTCTCATCTGGCCCAAGTCTTGAATTTTTTACACAACATTACTTTCCAAAACCTAAAATAAATCCAGATAATGTGATGTTAGTTAGCTAACACAAGCTAACACTCTGCTTTTTAACGATTGTAATAATGAATAGAAGCCTGCCCAGCTTTACAGGTTGGTGTACAGTGTTGATCCTTAATATCGCTGTCTTTTGTCTGCAGTGGTTCACTTGTAGGCCTACTGTGTGATCGGTAGGCATAGCTTCTATCTTTTATTTTTGTCACGTCTGTTTGAGTCAATTTGAGTCAGCCCGAATACAACAAATGTATAATACAACTGTGCGAAACTGTCTGCCACTTTCTAAGATCCAACAAATTTGTCAATATTTCTCCAGGGAGTGCAGTAATAGACAGTGGCAGCGCTGACAGTTTGTCAGACTTCACAACAGTAACTAAGGTGGGCGTGGCTTAATGAAGAGTCAATTGTGCTTTTTTCTTGACAGCAACTACTGCCCTCTTTGCTGCTTCCTTGGCTACAAGATATCCTTGAAAACCTCCCATCACTGCTCCTGAAACCAATCCCAATAAACCCAGTGGCATACCCAAAAAAGCTCCCAACAACACACCTGTTCCAATACCTACATATTTGGCCAAAACCTCCCTGACTGTTTTATTCTCAGCCAGCTTTCTGATATCTTCCTCTGACATGTTTTCTGATTCCAGTCTAATCTGCTTCTCCTCCTGTTGTATTTGTTCCTCCACTGCTTGTAGCATCTCATTGGTGTAGCAGTTTCCATTGTTTTCCATCACTATCTTTTCTATTGTGTTAAGTAGCTCCTCCATCTGGAACCGGTTGCTCCTGTATTCATCCTTTGGGTTTTCGTTCCAGTATTTATTATCAATGACGTGGCAACGGCCTCCGCACTTCTTCACCAGCTCACTCATGTACTCATTCTTCTGGACATGATCCTCAATTTTCTGTCCTTTACGGAGCTGGTCACCATGAGTAAAGAGAACTATTGCATATTTGAAAGCTTCTTCAGAAAAGTATTTGATTATTTTGTTGATGACAGCCTGCTCATGCTCTGTGACTTTCTCTAATTTAAGCAAAATGAGAAAAGCATGAGGACCAGGAGCGGACTTTACGATACAGCTCACTATCTCAGACTTCATCTCCTCCTCAGATCTATCAGTGTCAAAGAAACCAGGAGTGTCGATCAAAGTGATGCTTCTTCCTTTGACAGATCTGGTCTCTGCTTGACATTTTCTTGTTCCAGAGTCGAGAGAATCATCGATCTCGAACAGTTCCTCTCCAAATATGGTGTTAGCCAGGCTGCTTTTTCCAACTCCAGTTTTTCCCAAGATGACAATTCTTCTGTTTAACGCTGAAAGAAAATATCATTCATTTATACTGTCATTTATTTGTGTTTTGTTTTCGTAAATAAATATACATAAAAGCTCAATTACAAAAGAATCTCATTGATCAAAAATCAAAATGAAAAAATAAGTAGTTAGTAGGCTACTCAGAAAATATCTACATTAGCATAATACACAAATTAATAATGTTATCAATACATAAAAAAATTATTTTAGTGATCAATATAACCTCAATTTGTGATACATAGTAAATATTTATACAGTAGCCTATCAATCACTGTTCAACAACATAAACTAATCATTTTGTAAACAGCTTTTAATAGGAATCATCTGGTTCATTTGGCCCTGATCCTGATCTCAGTCTGTTAAGTTCGGGTATCTGATACCAAGTCCAATCTAAATGTTGATTAAATGTTTATCTGACACATTAAAAATTCTACTGATTGTTGATTAGGTCTACAATAGTTAGGCTAGCCTACAGCATGTTTCAAATATCATTGTAAGGATCATTTCGGCAAAATATGTGTTTACCGAAAATACGTTTTAGATTATTAATAAATAGCCCTACAGTGAGCAGTGTTAGGCCAAGTGAAAGACATAGCTTTAACTTACCATCCATGTTGTTAAAAGAGAGATCTGTGAAGAGTAAACACCGATAGGATTTATCAGACAACTGTCCTGTGTGTGTTTTCTCCTGTGCTCTGAATATAGAGTGTATATAAAAAGGCTCTGATGCAGGTTGTATTTATAACTTTACTTTCACTTGCTGTTGGAACTGTGGGGGTGTTGTGCCCTTAAAAAGGGGGAAAATAACGAGAAAGTTGAGGAAACACGCACACGCAGCTCTCGCCTTCACTCGTCTGTATTGAATGAGTTTTTGAACAATGTATACAAGAAAACATACATTTCAATATTAGTGCACTCATCAGATTCAGGACCACAGTCACAAGTATCTTCTTAATGCATTCTAAATTATCTTTTAAACTAAATTACCATATGAAATGTAAAATGTTTTTAACAAAGTTATCAAATTACATTAATACTCATTTTTACATTAGTTCTCGCATAACACTAAAATGAATTATACTTTCAATAGTATTCATTGTCTCAGCATGACACAAACTCACCCTTATTAGTGATAAATTCACAATAAATTTTACAACAGAAATATGTGGATGTCAGTAGCTAGCTTAAACACCAACGACAAAGTTAACACTCGTGTATATAGCGGGACTCTGACACGACGGAGCCACGAGGTCTCCGGCTGCTAGCATAACGTGACACATTTTCTCAGTTAGCACAAAACTCTTTAACGATATACGCATGTAAAACGTCTCTTTTACTCATATAAAACCACAGTAACATCACGAAATGTAGCCTACTATCAGCATATGTTAAAATCTACATTGTTTTGTGAGTGGTCATCACCTTAAAAAGGGGGAAAATAACGAGAAAGTTGAGGAAACATACACACGCAGCTCTCGCCTTCACTCGTCTGTATTGAATGAGGAAGAGGAGCGCGCCGGAATCCCCCTACTGAAACCCCAAGGCATTACCAAAAGATCGACGAATAATCAACCCATACAGACGAAGATCAGTATTATCTGCATTCAACTTCTTAATATAACTCTAATTTTAAACAGTGACAAAACTTAATACGCATTATAATATAACCATTAATATAGACAAAACTTAATACGCATTTTATAACAGACTATTTTATATGCAATAATGAGTTATGAACTATAATGTCACATACCACTTGTCACACTCACTTGTCACAGGGGCAGTGTTTGAAGTGGGGCTATTCATAGATCTAAGAAATAGGATCTGCTCAGGTCAACAGCCTTTAATAAGAGATCATCACTATTCACATAAGCCTACATAATACAAAAGAAGAAGATCTATTGGCAGCCATCTAATTGTAACGCCTCTGCACTGTAAAACATGATTTAAGATTTAATTCTGCATCTTGCAACTTGATGTGTAGGCTAGTGTTCCGTAAGGAAATTCACTTATAGTCCATGTTATCAAAAGTAAAGTGATGAATGCCAGAGTGACGATGTTTCTTGTATCTGATCTGAGTTGAAACATCAGTTTCACTTCCCAGCTGCACAGTAAAAGTAGTAGGCCCTATTAGTAGAATGTCACTCTGTAGCCTACAGATCAGAAATATTACATCTCATATTTTCGGGTTCAATTACAGGCTAATCTACAGAAAAAAACAGAAAAACATTTAACAGTTCTGTAGAAAATGTTGATTTATATCACATTTGCCAGAAAAAAATAAATAATTTCTGAATAAATATCATTAGTAACAAAATATTGCAGTTTTGTCTGCAGACGCCCTGAGGGGTGGAAATAAGAAAAGGGGAAATGTATCCTGTGTACAGATTGCAATATCTAATCCTCCGACTGTTTGGCAACTACTGCTACTACTCAGCTACAGGAGAAACTCGCAATACAATAAATAAACAAATATTCCCCTCTGTCAAACAAGAAATAGGTTGTAAGTCTGGATGAAATGACTTACTGGTCCACCGGGCAATTTGGTTGACGAGAAGGGAAATATGGGAGCACATTTTTGACTTTGGGGCAAAAATAAAGCTGCCATCAGGGCACAGATCTGGTTACCTGCTGAAACCAGGGAAGGTTTACAGGAAGTGGAAGTTTGCCGACTTCAGCTTGAAGGAGTTTGAAAGTCCCTCAGTCTAAAACAGAACAGTTTGGTACTGGGGCCCTCTGGTGTCTAAACTGTAATGGGTTTTAGTTCAAGTCAAGTCAGTTTTATTTATAAATCTCAAAATCACACATCACAGATTGTAGAGCTTTATAGTCAGTACAATATATGACAACCTCTAGCCCACTGAAATAGATATAACCTTTATTAATCAGGTGATCTCATCAAGATCAAGATCTCAACATAGCCAGACACAACACGAGCACATGCAGCATCAGAGACAATCACAGACGTCATAAAGATTCAAACGTTTAAAATCAACATTCAAGACAAATAAGTGTTCAAATCCTCAGTCAGTATTTTTTTGTCAGATATTCAATTTGTTCGCAAAGCCACCCAAGGTTTTATATTTTTTTTATTTCGATTCGTCATCACTCAGTGTGTCTTCCTCCTCTCTTTTCTTCTCACGTAGAGACAAACACTAGTCTGGCAGTGAAGGCCAGGTCAGTAAGTGTTAGATACTTGGCTGTTATTGCTTGTAATTATGAAGGGATGCTGTTTAGCCATGCTAGCAGAGGTGGAGGAAGTAATAAGTAGTGATAGCGAGATGAAGCTGCATGAAGCATTGAAGCTTGGACAATAAATGTACAACAGGCAAAGTGATCATAATGGCACCACGGCTTTGGTGTCTGAAGCTTTGAATTGAATAAATTAATGAACTATGTTTGTGATGCCAATACATAATTGATTAACTTATTAATAAGGTGTCTGTCTTTATGACACAATGAAGGGTCAAAAGGGAAAGTGGAAACAAGGGAGATGGTTATGATGACTTGGTTTGTGACTTTAGATAATACAGAGAACATTTTATTCATCTGTATTTAAAAATATCTTTTCCACAGTGCTGGGCTGGGCTTCTTTTTTAGGAGATGATTTTACCTGCTTTAGAAATATATTATTAGGGTAATATAGTGTAAGAGCCCCCAGTTTAATTCTTACAAAAAACACAAAATGTCCAAAAATATTCTCAACCCTTTGTTGCTGCCACTAGTCTTACTCAGCTAAAATTTCCTGTTTCATTTATCACAATTTATTTGATCAAAGCAATTCTGCCATAAGTTGATCAAATATGTTAGTCATTTAAAGTAAGCTGTAGATAGCCTACAATCTAATTGTATTCAATTAAAATCAAACCAAAAGTCCACAAAATGTTGAGGAAGGTACATTTTGCTGCTCCTTTCGAATCGCACGCCAAACCCGCGAACCATTTCCTGGATCAGTCACGTGGTACGACGTGGCTCACAAGGCTTCGAACGTCACCACATACGTCACCAAAACAAGCCTCGATACGTGCTTCACAAAAATCATCCTGAATTACTGGACACCTGCTTCGAAGCCTCGATACGGACGGACACATCACTACCATTTCCCTTCTGCTCTTCCAGTGTGTTGACATCATTGGATTTTAACATAGGCCTAATCATAAGCTGAATTTGTTTTGTGGACACAATCATGTAAAATCCCACTTTTAGATCGTTCACGTTAAACATGTGTCGCACATTTACTTACAGCTCACTATCTCACAGTTCAACCAGGAGATTTGGTTTCTGAAATGTGTGAGAAACACACACAACTCTTGTAGGTTTACAGGAAGTGGAAAGTTGGCAGCTTGAAGGAATTTGAAACTAGGCTACATTTATAACTCCAATGTGTACACAGTTTGATATTGATGCCCTCTTGTGTCCAAACGGTGGTGAGTTTTAGTTCAAGTCAAGTCAATTTTATATATACATTTCAGAACACAGATTTGAAAGCTTTACAATCTGTATGATATATGACACCTTCTAGACCTCTGAAACAGATATGTAGGCCCTACATAACTTTTATTTAATAAGGTGATTTAACTGAGATGAAGATCTCAACATGGCCAGACATTTCAAGACCACAGCACCAGAGACAATCACAGACAATTTAAAGATTAAAAGTTAAAGTTTAAAATTGACAAGTGGCTTGAGGCATCATTTTTAAATACTCTGTAATTCATTCAATTTATAAAGTGCAAAGTGAAAGGCCGTCTGTCAAGTTTACTATTTACCCGAGGGGAAACTAAAAAGGATATTGAACAAATCATGTTGTGAGGAGAGCCCATAGGTTTCCTCATCAGCAACCAGAGTGCCTGCGTCTCAGACACAGTAAATAGATTTCTTCCATTCTCTCTGTTCATCTGCACTCTAGTGTATTGACTTCATTGGAATTTTACAGCATTACAAGCTGACTTTGTTTTTATCGCACGTGTCATCTCATGTAAATCCCACCTTTAAATCATTCTTATACTTGCGGTGCACATTTAGCACAGGTCTATTCACGCACTCTCTTGCCAATCCCTGTAATGTTTCTTGACATGATTTACATTCTTCATTGAAACATATGAATGTCTCTATGCATGTGTTTTTGTGTGTACTATGTATGCATGTATTTCAGTACCAATGTCTCTGTAAAAGCACTTGTGCACAAACCAGGTTTGTTTTTAAAGTGCCTTATAAATAAAGATTTGACCTTAACATTAGAGGTTAAATACTGTCATTACAGATATTTAGGAATATGTAAACATACATACATTTTTAGAGCCACATTTCAATATTTTACAATTAGACACCAAAAGTGAAGAGTCAGTAGTCTGGCAGTGTCATCGAGGTAAAGCAGTAAGTTTAGGGCTCTGAGAACCGTCAGATAGAAAGTGATACTTGTCTCTCATTTCCTGTAACGATGAAGGAATGCTGTTCAGCCATGCTAGCAGAGATGGAGGAAGTACTCAGATCTCATACTTTAAATGTAGCAATAGCACAGTGTAGAAATAAAGACAAGTAAAAATCCTGCATTAAAATGTTTACTTAAGCAGAAGTATAAATGTATTAGCATTAAAATATACTTTAAGTACCAAAAGTAAAAGTACTCATTATGCAGAATGACCAATTTCAGAATTATTTATATAACTGGATTATAAATATTGATGCGTTAATATGTAATCATCACGTTAATGCTGAAGCTGCTAAAGGTGAGGCACATTTTAGTTACATTATTGCTTGTGAGTGTGCCCATGGCGATCAATATAGATTAATATTACATCATACTTTATTTATTTATTATTTTTATTTATTAATTTGGTAATGCGACCCAGATTTGAATCCTCTGTGTGACACCAATGTGTCCCTGAGCAAGACACTTAACCCCTAGTTGCTCCAGAGGCGTGCGACCTCTGACATGTATACCAATTGTAAGTCACTTTGGATAAAAGCGTCAGCTAAATGAATAAATGTAATGGTACACAAAGGACGAATATACTGACTTTGGTGAGCCCCTGACATTTACATAGCATCACTATAAGGTTAAAGATTTGGGCTTTTATTATTGGATGGGTTGTCATGACATTTGATACAAGATTTTCATTTAATCTACAAGGAGATACAAGACTTTAATCATAAATTATCTCTCCCTTTTCAAGAATCTTGTTATAGATTTTGAATCTGTTTTACGTTTGGTACAGTCTGTTCACAACATCGTTTCCTTTATCTAAGGCTGATTGGGCTTCTTTCTTGACAGCCTCTGCTGCCCTCTCTGCTGCTTCCCGTGGGGTGTCTGCTCCCTCAGCTGCTTGATATCCTGCAATTCCTCCTTTCACTGCTCCCACTGCAGCAGATACCCCTGTAAGTGTGCCTAATGTTATTCCAGATACTGCTGCTGCTGGCCCCCCTGCTACTGCGGCTGTTCCTGTTCCTGCTAGTGCTGCTCCTACTGCTTTTGCAGTTTGGGATATAGCTTGCCGTAATTTTACTGGCTCTGAAGTCTCACTTAAACTTGTGACAACTACTCCAACAAACACTACTACACCAAACAATGCTCCCAACAATGTACCTGTTACAGTGCCTGCTAGTTTAATCCAAAGCTCATGAAATACTCTGCCCCTAGCCAGCTCTCTGATCTCTTTCTCTGACATGTCTCCTGGTAACAGTCGAATCTGCTCCTCCTCCTGTTGTATTTCTTCCTCCACTTCTTGTAGCATCTCATTGGTGTAGCAGCTTCCGTTGTTTTCCATCACCATCTTGTCTATTGACTTAAGTAGCTCCTCCACCTGGAACTGGTTGCTCCTGTAATCATTTGTGGGGATATTGTTCCAGTATCTGTTATCAAAGACGTGGCACCGGCTGCCACACTTCTTCACCAGATCATTCATGAACTTATTCTGGCGGACAAAATCCTCAATTTTCCGTCCTTCAGGGAGCTGGTCACCATGAGTGAAGACAACTGTTGCGTAGTTGAAGACTTCATCAGAGAAGCATTTGTTTATTTCTTTGATGACAGCCTGCTCCTGCTCTGTGACTTTCTCCACTTTAAGCACAATAAGAAAAGCATGAGGACCAGGAGCGCACTCTGTGATACACCTCACTATCTCACAGTTCATGTACTCAGATCTATCAGTGTCAAAGAAACTAGGAGTGTCGATTAAAGTGATGTTTCTTCCATTGACAGATTTGGTTTCTGCTTTACATTCACCTGTTCCAGAGTTGAGAGTATGGTCGATCTTGAACTGTTCCTCCCCAAATATGGTGTTAGCCAGGCTGCTTTTTCCAGCTCCAGTTTTTCCCAGCATGACAATTCTTCTGTTTGACACTGAAAGAAAATTTTTTTTCATAAATAATACTGTACTGTACTGCCTTTTAGATGTTGTCATATGTAAGAAGATAGCTACATAAGCCCAACAATAAAAATCTTGGTCAAAAATCACAATGAAAAAGGGAAACGAGTTTTATAAAATAGCTGCATTAGCATAACAACAGAATAGAATGGTGTCAATACATAAACGGTGTCCCAAAAGATTATTAATGAAGAAAGTATATAGGCTATGTATATCAAACTCTGTTCAACACACAAATATAGTGTGGTAAAGACCAAAGAGGATCGTTTCAAGAACAGCTTTTAGATATGCGTAATCCGATCTGATATGAACCCCAAACTGATCCAGATGCTTTTCCATCGGTGTGTGAATGTTAGTTTCTGATGAGCACATCCAGTGTGTGAATGTAACGTAGTGCAGCGTCCATACTTGGGCGTGAGTAGGCTATGTGTTGCAACCTTTAAGCAGTCGGATGATTAGAAAGGCGCTATATTAACACACTTTACGGGCTTTTTTGTTGTGTGATTTAAAAAGGTGAAAGTGACCATGACTAAAAATGAGAACCTGCTACCTGACTGTACATCCGTAGGCCTACAAAGAGAGGCGATATTTTTTTTTACCATTTAGAGAATTTTCTAATTTTGACAATCACACATTCTCATTTAGGTTAAGCGGTCCACATAGCCTAAGTTATATCTCTTTTACAGAGCAAAATGGTCGCATTGCCTGACTGTCTTCAACAGCGCAGCGCTTCTGCTCTAAACAGGACAAAACATAAACCGCGAAGTTCAGTAAAGAAATCACACAATAGTTACCGGCTTCATTTTATCAGATAAGCTCAGGACAGCACTTTTAGTATGAGATGGTCAACTTACCATCCATGTTGTCAAAGGTGAAGTAACTTTGGAGTGACAATTATTCAGAGAGACACGACTGCCAGAGTTTATGTGAAGAAGTTTCATGTGAGGACTGCTTTCACTTTGTGATTGCACAATGCAGTCAGTACTAAAAGGATGTGCCCACTGTGTTTTAACACATTTCCATTTTTTATGTCTCACTAGCTGATGTAACCACGATTGAACAGAAATATTCCATCACATGTTTTTGGTTTTAGGTTATATGACTGCAGGTGTAGTGGAAGTACACAAATCCTTTTATTGTGTAAAAGTACAGATACCTTTCCTAAATATAACTCCACTAAAAGTATGCCTATTGGTCTTAAATAAAATAAAAAAGTACAAATAGCCACCTGCTTTTAAAAATACTTTGGCTAAGTATCAAAGGTAAAAAGTAGGCTATGCTAATCTTTTGTTTGTCAGAACATTATTTACCATAGATCCTGACCGATCCTGTCGGCGTGCCGGGGGTTTTAAATATTATTCTGTGCCGCGTGTGTAGCCTAAATGTGCACAGGGTCTCTCTTAATGGAGATAGGCCTACGCTTCACCCTATTTCACCCAACTGGATATTCACAAAACATGATTATCGCCCAAAACTGCCCGCGGTGCTCTTAGTTACTGCGCCCGCAACATATTCATGTGCTTCAAATCTGGACACTGATGGGGAAACAGTTTTTCAACTTGAAATGAGGATTGCGACTGAGTAATCAGCTGCGTCTGCATGGTCCTAAAGCCTTCGTTTAACTTGATGTTTTTTTATATAGCCTGTATTTATTTTATTGATTGGCTATATCATCATAGCTGGTTATGGCCACGCTCCCAGCTGTGAATTACTTTTCAGCTTTTTGTTATCTTAGCAAGCCTGTTAAACCTTGACAGCTTCTGCTGTAGCTCTACCACACTATTTTTCTGAACTCATTACTACACATAAACACAATCCCAGGTTTCTGTTTAAGACTGTGGATCAGCTGGTAATAATAATCCTTATTTATCCTTATGGTAAACCCAACCCCTCCTTGTGCCTCAGCTGGAAGTAATGATGACTGTGAATTGTTTTTATCTTATTATCTTATTGTTCCTCACCAGCAACAAGAGAGTCTTAACCAGTTTTATCCCATCGACTTGTCTGAGCTTTTAAAACAGTATCACAAATGAGAGTGTCCTCCAGCCCACTTGATGTAATACCTACAAAATTTTTACTGAAAGTAATGGATTCTGTTGGGCCCCATTTGATCTCTGTTTTCAACAGCTCCCTATCCACTGGTTGTGTCCCTGATTATTTTAAAACGGCTTGCGTGAACCCACTTTTAAAGAAACCTGGTTTAGATCCCTCCCTCCCACATAATTTTAGACCAATTTCAAAACTGCCTTTTATTGCAAAGATTCTAGAAAGAATTGTGTCCAAACAGCTGCTCACTGTGCTGGAAAATAACAAATTATTTGAAAAGTTTCAGTCTGGTTTTAGGAAGTACCACAGCACTGAGACTGCCCAGTCACTGAGAATGTCTGCTGATGAAGGCATGTGCTCAGTCCTGGTACTCCTGGACCTTAGCGCTGCTTTTGACACCATTGATCAACATCATGTTAGACAGACTGAGGCACTGGGTGGGGATCTCTGGTACTGCCCTAGAATGGTTTTCATCCTACCTGTCAAATAGGAAGTTTTGCGTGTCTGTAAACAACTATGTCTCTCGTTCTGTCCAGTTAAATATGGTGTGCCTCAGGGGTCGGTCTTAGGACCCATTTTGTTTTCCTTGTATCTGCTTCCCCTTGGACATATCATCCATAAACATGGCATTTCTTTTCATATTTATGCTGATGACACACAAATATACTTGCCTGTCAGATCTACAGACCCTGGAATGCTGAGTTCACTTAACAACTGCCTTTGTGAAGTTAAAAAATGGATGTCAAATAATTTCCTCCAACTGAACTCAGACAAAACAGAAATCCTGGTCATCGGGTCCCAGCAGATGGCAAATCAAATACTGCCGTCTGCTGGTTCCCTAGTAAATCACATTAAGCCTGTGGCAAAGAACCTTGGTGTTTGGTTTGATAGTAATTTAAATTTCCAGCAGCACACCACAAAGCTTGTTCAATCATGTTTTTATCAACTTAGAAATATAACAAAAATTTGATCTATGTTAACTTTTAAGGACACCGAGACCATTTTACACGCATTCATCTCATCACGCCTGGATTATTGCAACAGCCTTTTCACCTGTTTAACCCAAAAATCTATTGATCGACTCCAGACTGTCCAGAACTCAGCTGCCAGGCTTTTAACCAGAACAAAGAAATATGACCACATTACTCTATTTTAGCTTCATTACACTGGCTCCCAGTATGTTTTAGAATTGACTTTAAAATTCTATTGATTATTTTTAAAGCTCTTCATGGCCTCTCGCCTTGTTATATTTCTGAACTTTTAGTCCCATACACACCAGCATGTACCTTGAGATCCTCGGGCAGAGGTCTGCTATCTGTTCCAGAGTCTCGACTGAAAACTAAAGGGGACAGAGCGTTTGCTGTCAGGGCCCCGAGGCTCTGGAACAGCCTGCCCGAGAAATCAGGTCAGCTGAGTCAGTGAACTCTTTTAAGTCCCTTCTTAAAAAATACTTTTATAGGAGAGCCTTTCCCGATCTTATTTGACTTTATTTTATCCCTTTTATTTTATTGTATTTTACTAATTTTATATTTATCTTAAATGTGTATTTTAGTCTTTTCAATGTTTTCATGCTTTTATCTTGTATTGTTTTTGTATTATTGTCTCTTGGGTATTATTGTCTTTGCACTTGTTAAAGCACTTTGTAACTTGTTTTTGAAAAGTGCCTGCCTCAATCACTTCACAAACAGTAGCCTCCCCCGAACTGTGATGTTCCCTCAAACCTTATCTCACAGAAATAGGCTACGTGAAATGAACACGGCCCCTTAACCCGGATTTACGTGGTGGTGGCAGGTAATGTGTTAAAATTACTAGAAAACCACATTTGCCGCCGCCAACTGTGTGACGTTGTTGAACCAGGGAATCCGTGTGTCCACCACGACAAATGAGCCTCATTGACTTTGTATGGGTGTTGTTTTAGTGGTGCCGACACGTAATTTTAACACATGACGTGCCACCACCACGTGAATCTGGGTTAAGGGGTCGTGTTCATTTCTGTGAGATCAGGTTGTTCCCTCTCTTTGAATGATATGAGGTAGCTGACATGCAGCTTTCTTGGCTTATCTTGGCGGGTCTTAATGCTTTGCTCAAATACACAAACATTTTCTTATAGAATAGCTACTTGACTACAGCAGGAACTGTCAATTTAGACAATAAATGTAAACAGAAATGGACTATTCCACTCAGTCAAACAAGAAATAGTTCAACTGTAAGTCTAGATGAACTTATTCCAGCTGTTTCACCTACTCAGACCTGAAGGGCAGTTTGGTTGACTAGAAGCACATCAGTGACTGAGGGATTCAAATAAAGCGTCCCATCAGAGCACATTTGTTTATGATTTGTTTTTGGTAAACCTACCATCACTGGCCCTGTCAAAGCACCGGAGTTCATTTAATTAAGGTGCAACAGGACACAGGTGTTGCTGAGCCAGAAATGGGAGCAAAAAGTTTTTTGACTGTGCAACATGCAATATGGTGAAAGGAATTCTGTTTGTTGGTATGTCTATAAATGGTAAATAAACGAAAAAACAAAGATCCTCTCCCAGATTTGACTGGTCAAGCGAGGAGGAAAAGGTAATGAGGAAAACAATGAAACAACTTCACATCTCTGACATAAACCCTACACATGTGTACAGACTAGATATTGAGACATAATAATAATAAAAACAGTACTGTTACTTACCTAAAAGATTATAAGAGAAAGAAAAAAACAAGTTTCTGCCATCGCTGTCACTACACACAATAACTATAAAGTAAAGAGTACTTTAATGGCCCGTTCCAGACCGGTCGGAACTCGGAAATTTCCAAGTTGAAATATCCATCTCCCAATCTGAAAGCATTTCAGGTGCATGGTGGTGCATAACATCAAATGTAAACAATAAACATAGATGACGGTGACATTATGTGTCTTTGGCAAGTTTATGCAGTTAAACCCTCAGCCATGCACTTGGTGTTCATTAAAAGGATGGCCATTTTATTAAAAACAAGTGAAAAATATATGTTAGGCCTACTCGTTAACTGTGTTACTACATCTGTTGGTAATCCTCAAAAGGAAATTTACAACTATCAGGTGGATTGTTTTGTACAAACATTCAAGGTGCACAGAGACCTTTACATCCAATTAATAATTAACAACTGACTTTCACCTCCTTTTGGACCTCCTTTTATAGCTCTGTTTCTTGGCTTCACATCATCTCTTGGCTCTCTTTCCTACTGCACCTGAGTCTGGGAAAGTCCAAGATTTTCACGTGCCTAAGCATTTGGTGGGAAAGTCCCTAACTGCCTGCTCCTCCTCTCTGTGTCTTTTGCATGCACTCTGTTTGATCATGCCATTTCTTCCATAACCTGACTTTTGTGGAATAAACTGGTGTTGTTTGTGCTCTGTGCTAGAAACAGGACATTCTTACTGTGATGGACTGTATGTTTTGTAATACAATTTGCACAAAATCTGCTTCTATATTTTCCTTTGCAGGTGTTTTTAATGCTGCCTCACTGTGCTCCCTCCCTTTTCTCCCAAAGCGCACGAACTTGCTCACACACACACGTGCCTGGGCAGTTAGATACAGAAAGGAGCACACACACTCAGAGCTGTAGAGTTTTAACACTGTGATCCTAACTTTACACTACAAAATAACACTTTAAATGATGAAAATGTAGACCACCATTGCTCCAGTAATTAATTATAACAATTTAAGCTATAATGCTCCAAAATAATTCACAACACTCCAATACTTGCTAATCTGACCGAAAGCTTTGTGTATGCTCTGCCCTCTGCCAGCTTTCTGATCTCTTTCTCTGACATCCCTGACGACAATCTCCTCCTCCTCTTGTTGTATTTCTTCCTCCACATCTTGTAGCATCTCATTGGTGTAGCAGCTTCTGCTGTTTTCAGTCACCATCTTGTCCATTGTGCAGTAGCTCCTTCACCTGGAACCAGTGTCTCCTTTATTCGTCCTTTGGGTTTTCGTTTTAGTATCTATTATCAACGACGTGGCACCGACCTCCACACTTTTCCAGCAGATCACTCAGACCTTCACTTTGATAGACAAACTTCCTGATTGTCTCTCCCTCAGGCAGTTGGTCACCGTGAGTGAAGACAATTGTGACATATTTTAAAGCTTCTTCAGATAAATACTTGTGCAGAAGTTTGATGACGTACTTCTCCTGCTCCGAGAATTTCTCCACTTTAAGCACGATGAGAAATGCATGAGGCCCAGGAGCACACTCTGCAAAACATCTCCCTATCTCCGGCTTCATGTCCTCCTTAGCTTTCCCTTCGTCAAAGAAACCATGATCAAAGTGATTTCTCTTCCATTGAAAGATTTAGTTTTGGATTTACATTTTGCTTGTTCTAGATTCTGGTGAATGATTTATCTCAAACACTCTCTCCAGTTATAGTGTTTTCAAATGTATCACTACAATGTTCAGTCTTGACAGAAATAACTGAAAGAAATTAACTTTACGTCCATGTTCAAAACTGAAGTAATTGAGACAATAAGAGTGAAAAGACTACCGGAGTGTATGTGAATGTTTTTTTTTATTGTTTTCCTTGAGATGGGAAGAGAAGGGAAGAGGCACCACATCTTGAAAACCCGAACAAACAGGCTGAGGAACAGCTTTAGCCTAGCCTAGAGCTATAGCCTCCATCGGCCCCTCCACCACCCACACACAAACTCGACAACCATAAATGAGGACTATAAACATGCAATACAGACCCATACTATTGTGATACAGTGTGTGGTACAATATACAATGAACTCTTAAAGCACTGTATGCTGTTGTTGCCTTTATTTATTTATTTATTTATTACTGACTCCTTTTATTATTTATTGTTTATGTACTGTGTTGTCTAGTTTGTCTGACGTGTATTTTTAATCTTATGCCTTGCTGCTGCTTCTGAGATACCAAACAGAATTTTGTGACAGTGATTATAATGACAACAAACTTCCTTCCATACTTTGTTGTGATCTGTAATATTGCAATGAAGTTATCCAAGTGTCCTGAAGATCCTGTCTATATATCATCCTGGTGTTTTGCTTGATTAGTTGTGTTTATGTATCTTGACTACCTAGAATCTTCCACAGAAGCAAAGCTCCAAATTTTATGCAGTGAATTATGAAAGCCACAACACATGGTGTAACCACAATCACAGCACATACCGCAGGCCATCTTGTGTGCTTAAAAAATAAAATATTTATTGGTTTAACTAAAAGCTTTATTTGGTCAAATTCTTTCTTTTAAAATGTTTCAGATAATATGATATCAGCACAAAAGGACAGCTAAATTATTTTCCTCCAAAAGCTTATTAACAAAAGTAGATTTTAAACAAACCTTTGTCAGGTTGTGATGAGAGTGTGGGGTTATTATACAAGTTCCTCTGCATGTCTCAGATATAGTAAATACATTTCTTCCCATTTCTTCTGTTGTTCACCTGAGCTCCAGTGTGTTGACTTCATTGGATTATAACAACATTACAAGCTTTTGTCACGCCATCATGTGAAATTCCACCTTTAGATCGTTCACATTAAACTTGTGTTGCATATTTAGCACAGGTTTAATCACATTAGAGGTTAAATACTGTCACTGCAGATATCTGGGAATATATAAACATGTACTTTCCTTGTTTTAACATGACATCTCACTGCAGCATTTTACAATTAGACACCAAAAAGGAAGAGTAAGTTCGACATTAGCTAGAATTTTCTGCAAAGCCACTCAAGCTCTTATACAATTTATTTCTGTTCTCCATCACTCAATGGGTCTCCCTTCTTCATCTCTTCTTCTCAGGCAGTGACAAACACTAGTCTGGCAGAGTAGGCCAGGTCAGCGAGGTAAAGCAGGAAGTTGAGCGCAGTAAGCACCGAGACAGTGATCAGTTTTGAATCTTGGCCTCCATACCGGTACTGTTTCTCAAACTGGAACACGGGCCAGATGATGGTTGCACTCAAGTACATGATAACTGCCAGGATCCCGTAAATTGACAGGAATTTGGGGAAGGAAATGGGGAGAAGGCCGGTGCACTCGCCCACACACATCACCACCACAGCCATGGAGACGATGAAGCAGATGCAGTAGACGGCCATGCACCACTTGAGTGCTGCGTGATGGTTGTATGACACGGGTTCGCTGACCAGGATGAAAATAACACAGGCCACAAAGGTCTGGCTCACCTTCAACAGGCCTGGAGCAGTAGCCATGTAACCTGCCACCTCTCCTGGTCTCGCTTTAGACAGGCTCACCTCCCCCATGTAGGCTACCGTTGCAAGGCAGGAGAAGACGGTGGAAGTGATGCGATATCCACGAACCTCGTCATTAAGCCTCTGGTTTTTAATGAAAAAAACTGGGAAGATGACAGAGGCAGAGAGGCAGAGGAAGGTGGCGTAGCAGGCGATAGTGATGGGGAAATTGGACCAGGAAACCGGGGCTCGGGCCTGAAGGCCGAACTGCTCCACCAGCAGGACCAGCAGGGTGCAGGTGAAGCTGAACGCCCAGCAGAAGATGCACCAGTCACCCATGCTTACGTTGTGCACCCAGGCTCCGTGTGCTGCGACACTGAACGCCACGCAGGTGAACACCAGGGCAGCTAAACGCACCCATAGCAGCCGGGGGGTGGACAATACGATCAGTGGCATGATGGGAAAATCGCAATCAGTCAGGAGATTGAAGTGGCTTCTGTCGTCCAGCGAGGGTTAAGATGAGTCTTTAATACTGAACGGAGATCTCAAGTGGGCTGCTTGTCACACACTCTGTGGACGTTTCTCACATATTCTGCAGAAAAACAACAAGAGAGAAATCTGAATAAATTTAAATTTGGTGAAAAGATAAAACAGGAACATACCTGTACTACATATAGAAATATGTAGAATAGAGATGCAAGGCAGGCAGTACTGTGCAGTAGATCAGTGGAATAAAGCATCCTATGATGCTTCATTTCTTAAGTAGAGATTTAAACATATTCTGCTTTCTTACAAATGTTGTAGCCCTAAATTAATGATGCATCATTTAAGCCTGAACAGCCCATAATAAAGAAGTTGTCCAGTGTCCAGTCTTGTTTCATGTCTTGGGTAAATGACAACCAAAGCTAATGTCAAATAGTGAGAAACGGCAACATAAGAGCTGCTAATTTGATTATTAATGAGTTTTTCATCCCTGGCTGACATGTTCAGGCTCAAACCACAGTTGCGTAAAGACCGAAGTATGACTGAGGAACTTGTTCAAGCTGTGACCTGTGCCAGGAAGGTTTACAGGAAGTGGGAGTTTTCCGTCTTCAGCTTGAAGGGGTTGGACGTAACAGTTGGATATTCGTGCCCTCTAGTGTCCAATATGTGACGGTTTTTAGTTCAAGCCAAGTCAATTTAATTTACAGTATATATCCCATTTGTTGCTATATTTGCTGTACAATCTGTATTTGACACCCCTAGACCATTCAGACCTGCCTATTTTTACCTTTATTTAATCAGGTAATGTTATTGAGTTTAAGATCTCAGCATGGCCAGAAATAACAAGACAACATACAGCACCAGAGACAATCACAGACGGCATTAATGAGATTCAAAGTTAAAGTTCATAATCCACCATTTGCATGAGACATTGGAGTTTTGAAATCCTCTGTAATCCACTCCATTTATAAGCCAGTCTTCCCAAGTTCAGTATTCACTCGCAGGGTACCAAGAGTTAAACAGGCCGGAGATCTGGTTTGGTGAGCAGCAGTGGTTTTAAATTTGAAAACTTATATCCTGAGGCAGCTTTTTCAGGAAACCTTTGTGAGGCTCTTTGTATTGATAATGAGGAGAAGGCTGTTATTTTTCTTGTACTACACAATTAGTATATTTATCTGCTGTAATAAAATACAAAGAACAATAACAAACTGCATCCTAAAATAGAGCGATCGGCATGAGAATAAAGGATCTCCAAAGCCACAGTCACTTTGTGTTAAAAAGTGGTGGGGACATAAGGGCCCAAATTCAGGGCCTGATGATACACTTCTGTCACGAGACCAGACGATGCTCAAAAACAAGATGAGGAGATCTTTAACACTATTTTGAAGAAATATGATATGATGGGTTCTCCCCAGAAGATTCAGAGCATTAAACACTTAATTTCTTGCATTCTGGTGACATCTTCTGCTTCACTTTAGGGTGGAAATGTCTTCATTTATAAAAAGTGAAACAAATAAAATCAACTGGCAGGTGACAAATAAATAGAATGCAATAATCATCAGCCTGTTACCTTTTTGGGGCAATGCACATTTGTTTCTTCTATATTGAAATTGCTTTGCATGTTTTTTTATTGTGCAAATAAACTTTTCTCAAAGCATTTTAACAAATGCTTTCAAAAAGTCACGGGGTCAAAATCAGCCATTTCAAAATGTGGTGGGGACGTGTCAGCGTCCCCAGTGTAAATAACACCTATGAGCTCATAGTTAACTGTGCGATCCTGTCCTCAAGACCAAAGCGTGCTTTATGCTTATGTAAGAGTAGTTTCTGTGCCATTTCCTTCACATGCCGTTTGAAAGCCAGATTCACAGATAATTCATGAGATAAAGTGACATAAGGGAAACTTCCACCTAAAACCTCCTTCCATTGCCACAGGTTAAATGAGCTTTATTTTGAAAGAGAGGTGGATTTCTCTCACTCATGGAATACAATGAAGTGAGGCAATGCGCCCTTGCCAAATTTTAAATTGCAGTACTGGCATTTGACAAACAGATGATGAGGTATCTGCTGTAGATGCAGATGCTGAGACCATAACCTCTGCTCTACAGACAGAGCGGTTGGTGCATCTGCCATGGAGAAAAGAATGCTGCCTCATTCTGCCAATGCAAACCTTGAAAATGGCTAATCGCATTTGTCTTTTAGCCGATGATGCCATAGAGTCTACTTCCTGTTTTGTGTAATGAGAGTAATACACAGGAAGCAGCTCTGGAGCGCTAACGGCATGTCCGCAGGAACCCACACCAGCAACCAAATGAGCACTTAATCACTTTGTCAGACATAATGTGAATCAAGCCTGGAGCTAGAAATGCAGCTCTTCGGCTGATAATACAAAAAAACCTCCCTCTTTAACATCAGCTAGAATCAATCATCTTTTCTAGTGAAATATTATGAGTTTAAACATAGGTCTGCTGCTGGTCTCCCAGTTTGACATGGTAAGAGAAACTGTTTAGATAAAAAAAGATTAAAAAAACCTGTTGAAGCATACTGAGAAAGATGTGGTTGTGTGGTGTACGTGACCTTGTGCTGTTCCTGCTGACAGGAAACCAGCCTGGTTTGATTTTTTGGTTTTATGCTATGCATAGGCCTACTGCATATAGGTCAAAACAAACACATAGTGCTACTGTAGCTTAGGCCTATATCACTGTGTAGGCCTAGCCCATACCTTAAATGTTGATCATTTACACTGGCGTGAAATGGGAGCGTATGAACACAGAAAGCTTCTTAAAACTAACTACACCTTTTCATACATTCCGTTATTTCCTGGTTTTAAGAGAGTCGAGGCTGCAAGCAGACACATCAGCGTTATAATGGAACCAGAGGAGATAGTTTAATTTAAGTACATAGTATAGCCTACTCTGTAAAATAGCCTATAGCCTACACATTACAACTGGCGCATAAAGTGAGTGATATAGATTTTTTCCCGTACCAAATAGAGGTGATACCGCGCCCAGAGGGCTGTGCCATAATGAGCTCTTCTCGCTTGTCCAAAAATAGACCAGAATAAACGCTCTCCAGACTTCTGCATAAACTCTCTGCGAAAAAAAAAAACAAGACTGAAGAATGATCTTACCGATTTCTAGTGTGGGAGTTGTCTTTCATGTTTTTGCTATAAGCTTTAAGTTCCTACCTCGCGGAGCCTCCTTAGCGGCGCATCCCCTTCTCTCATCCACCCATCGACCCATACCTCATACAGCTGAGTGGATCCCACGCCCCGCGCTGGCCATATTTGGTAAAGTGTTGAAACCCTCTCCAACCCTCAGTAAGGTCATCGCAATTCAAAGTGTGTCATAATACGCCAGCAGAAAATAACTGATGCGAATATGCCCGCTGAAAGAATTAGTACCTATCTCTTTGCTAAAGTTCTGTGATTTACTTTTTTGGTGTAGCCACTTTTCCCATATCTGCTTGTAGCTATCAGAATCAGAATGAGGTTTATTACCAAGTACATTTTCACATAGGAGTAATTTGCCTTGGTATCTGCTTTACAGAACATAATATAAATAGGCCTATAAGTAAAGAGATCAAAAATGAACAAGTATACAAAATAATACAATAATACTAATGGAAAAAAAGAATGCCAAAAATATACAAGATATTAACAAGCAATGTGAAAAAACTCACAGTAACCATAAAAGAATTAGTGCAATGGACACTGTTCAAAGTGGAGCATTGTTCTAAGGTGTGGGGTCAGGTGTGTGTGTGTGTGTGTGTGTGTGTGTGTGTGTGTGTGTGTTTGAGGGGCATGAGAGTCAGTGACAGTGGGGGACCTGGCTTTGTTGAGGAGGCCAACTGCAGCGGGAAAGAAGTGTTCTTGCACTGTTCATGCCAACAACAGGAGCAAAACATATACATGGTTTACTGTGGTAAAGCCTATTTTTTAAAGCTGGCAAGGGCGTCACTTTGTTTGTAAAAGTGGTGGGGACATGAGCGCTCAGATTAGGGCTGTGAAGATATTAACTCAGGAGACGCGAGGATGCACTGGGCTCAGGAGAACAAGATGAGAACATATTTTAACACTATTTCGAAGAAATATTCAGCACTGAAATGAGTTGGGGGCTTGGGTGTCCTCCCCCAGAAAACTTTAAAAGTGCATTAAACACTTACTTTCCTGCATTCTGGAGACATTTTCTGCATCAATTTATGATGGAAATGTCTTAATTTATAGCTGTAAAGGGAAACACAGAATCCAGGTGACAACTCAGAATATAAGAAATATAAAAAAATTGTAATGCAGAAATCAGTAGCTTGTTCTTTTTTTATCTTAAGTTGTTTTGTTTGGACAATGCACATTTGTTTCCTTTAACTGCCTTGCATTGCATGTTTCATTATCATTCAGCTTGTTAACATTTCTTGTTGCAAGCTACATTTCAGAACGTTTTTAAACAATGGTTTCAAAAAGTGATGGGGACATGTTCCCAGCTTCTCCAGTGGACAGCACTTAGCACTTTAAAACATTACATTGCACTTAATTGCACAGATTGGCACTAAACTGCATATCTTAACATATTGCACTTTACAACAGATTACTTTCACCTTATAACTGATTTACTTTGGTAACCAGCTCATGATCTACAAGTGAAGCACTCTCTTACAGGCTATATTGTGGTGTAGTGTGTGTTGTCTTTTTTTGTTTTGACCTGGGAGTCTGCAGAGGAAAAATAGCCTTCAGGCTAAATCTGGCATATTTACATTGACGTACATAATGATATGTTCATTAATGTGCTATGTCCATTTTAAATAAATAAAATATGACAGCCCATAGTAGGCTATAAGTTTCTGCCATATTTGGAAACTTTTAAAACAAAGACTGAAAGGAGCTTGAACGTTTTTCCTTTTCCTTTCTAAATAAATAAATAAATAAATAAGCATCCGATTAAATACTCAGTGTCCATGCATGCAGCATGTCAGGATCAGTCCTCCATAAACTGTAGCCTCCATCAGAATGTAGGTTTCGGTGGGGCAAAGCGGCTGCAGTACCGGAGTCCACCCAGGCGGGGGCGCTGTTCCGCACCGTATGATCTTTGAGAACATGGTGGTAGATCAGCAGCCAGTCAAGACAGCAGGATATCAACACATCAGAGAACATTATTTCAAGAGCTGGGATTAAAAAAGACAAAAACTATATGCAACGATTGGGATTAACTACCGAGTCTTCTGGCAGACCACGAGAGAGAGAAAGAGAGAAGTAATCCGGATATTCCCGCTGTGACTTGTTTTGGGAAACAAACCTGAGGTGGAGCTTTAACGTTAACTGGAATCGTATCGCCTTTGTAGCTAACGCTAGCTGGCTAACGTGCAGCTTTAGTGTTTGCATTTGCACGAAAACGGGACTCTGGGATATAACGTTATCGACCTGGATTATGCATGGGCTGTCAACATCTCGGCCACTTTAATACCCAACCATTTACATACAGTTAAAGCCATGCTGGTCTATCATCTTGCAGACATAGCTGGTTAGCTGGCTACCTCCAGAGGACCGAGTCGTTGGCGCAGCTGGAAGCCGAACCCACGGCGCTTTCGGTCGGTCTGACGACCAACGCGATGCCGCGGATTGAAGCTGGCCCTTCTGTAGCGCTAACTTCAGGAAGCTAACGCTAGCTGGACATAGCAGGCCCCTTCAGATCGTTGTTATCATTCCTTAGTCAGGCTATTTAGATAGGTCACGAAGCACATTTATTGCTTTCATTCACGGTAGTTTTTACTTTTATGAGCCCAACGGCAGAACGAGCTAATGCCGGCTAATCTGCTAATTAGCTAGCTAGTTAGCAAGAGCAGTTAGCGCCTGGGCTGGTTGTTGTTTACACTGTGCTAGCATTTACATTTCTACCACTTACAGTTAAATTACTGTAGGAGCGTGTTGAAGTGGGACTGCTAATTGACGTTTTACTTATCAAACTGAGGTACGTTATTTTATATCTGGAGAAATTTTGCGTCAGCCAGCCTCATGTTAGTGTAACGCACACAATCAGTACAGATATCGCTGTTAGAAACCACTCTCGTGTTTTAGATTTTAAACATAATCTATGCAAGCATATGACTTAGACAGGAGCTGTTCAGGTAGTGCTTAGCTTGTATTGGATTAATTAGGTTGGCACTGCTGCTCATAGCCTCACATGTAAACAAGTCTGTCTGCGTGTAAGGTTTTGGTTAGTTATTTCATTGCAGGGTCACTAAATGCCATTTAACATATTGCTTTTCTGTTATTTGGACGTAAGTCATGCGTGTTGAAGCTTTGGATTCACCTTCCCTGATTTAGCTTTTTTACACAGACACTAAACAGGCATGGGAGTTGTTGACCACCTGGAGCAAAGCGAGACATATCAGCCATTCATTCATGATTGATGAGCTTTGAGGAGGCAGACTGTCCTTTATCTATTTTCCACTACAGCCTAACCACTGCATCAGAGCCACTTTCAGCCTTTTGTTACAGTATGTATTTTTAACCACTAATGTAAGCTTGTGAATAGGGATACTTGGGAGATTTAGTTTTAGCAGCACTTTCTTTTACAAGTCCTCCTGACACCTAACTGGAACCGCTGTGGTGGATGGGAACATGAGGAGCAGTCTGTCTGATCTGAACCAGCGTCCAAGCAGCTTGAAAATCTGATCAAAGCACAACAGAGAGCCCCATTGTGTGGACTGAAAACTGAAGAGGAAAGAGATGATGGTGATGATAAGGGAGGCCCAGTGACCGTGTTGATCCCGCACCACGAAGCAGAGGGGTGGCGCACAGCTGCAGACATGAGTCTCCGTCAACCCACCTCTACACTGGACAGGTATGAGCCACTACACTCAGACTGTTCCAATGGTTAAGGATACGTCTCAACGCCTTGCTTGGGGGTATAAAAAAGTAGTACTCCCAAATTGGCCAATTGACATGTCTTTATCTGATTTAGGTCCAGTCTTGCCACTGGAAAAACCTGTCAGACTGGCTGCTGTGAGGTGATGAAACTGCTCTCTGGAACCAGGAGAGACAGATGGCAAAATACTTGATGCACAGCAACATAGGCAGCCCGAGAATACACACTGAAAAAGATTTTTAAACAATTCTTAGACTGAATATTTGTGGGTGTGCGGGGGAAGGATCAATCATAACAATAATCATGACTCTTAACTCTGTGATTCTGAATCGATTCACAGACGCTGTTGATGTTTATTGAGAAAGAGGAACTTAACAGAGAGACTTAACTTTCATCTTTAAAAACTTTGTGCCCCATCACCCAGAGGCTACCTAACGTTAGCTCACTGCCAGAACACGCACATCAACTCAACATTTAGCTGAGTTGATGTATTGTTAGTCAGTAAATGACACTTCCGTTTAAATGGTCTCATACAGACAGAAGCCTGTAGCATGCTTCCAAATCAGTGCACTTTACTTTTTGAAATTAAAGGCTCAGAAACTGACCTTCATCCTGGCCAGCTTTATATAGGTGCAAAACAAATTCCTTGTATTGTGTAAAAACAACTTAAAGCAATTAATCCAATTAACCTGATTCGGAACAGCCAGTTATGTTTCATATTGCGTTTGACTAGATTGGGAGCCTCAAAACAGTTCACCCCTTTGATTTATTCAACTGAGAATTGATTCTGAATCGAGTCGAGACACCAAGAATTTGATTTGAATTTCCTAAAGATTTCCGCCGTTATTGTTAATATTGAGTTTCAGTATCTGTTTGTTGCTTAAATCTCGTGTTGTGGCTCTTCACCTGCGCTGTCTAGCTTTTGCCGCTGCTTAAAACTTAATGTACTGCAGTTCATCCTGTTTGTCGCCATGCTCACCACGTAGCCCAACACTGTGTTTCTGTGGTCATCTGTGTCTTGATCGTGTGTCTTTCCTGTTTCTCCTGCTGTCAACTTTTTCCCCCTCTGTCTGTCTGTGTGTGTGTGTGAGTTCTTGTGCACGTGCCTACCGCTGTGTCTGTGTCTGTGTGTGTGTGTGTGTGTGTGTGTGTGTGTGTGTAACAGCAGGGCAGCCAATAAGAAAAACGCCCACCTGTTCAGGTAGGAAAGCTGTTCAGTGAGAGCTAATGTCAGGGTTTGGGGTTAATAACGCCTACAAGTTGTACAGCTGTGGCAGCAGATTTCAGGTTGCTCGGGCTTCATGTAGCAGTGTAGTTATATATATACAGACTTGCCAGCACTCCTGTTGTGTCCCAGGTTTCTCCCATATTTCAGAGCCTTCTCCCAGCGCCCTCCTGTTTTGTTGTTTCTTCCGGCAAACCCCTGTAATTTGCACGGCCCTCAAACTCTCTTGTGAATAATCATCAAACACAGATCCATACGTTTTGCATGTTTGTCTCACATCACCCAAGTTGCCGGATTGCCTACGAAAGACAATCCACCCACTACGTACGATTTCAACCCATCTGTCACGGCAACCCGGCACGTTAGCTGTTGTCAAATTTCCACCTAAAAAAAAATAAATACACCTGCAAATTTGAGCAGTTTTGGGCTGCACAGTTTCCATTCATATCTGCCAGTTACCATGATGGTAGCCGTGCCTCTAGGGTTGAGTTTAAAATGGGGCGCGGTGGGAAAAAGGACGTGAGCCATATACGCCAATATACTCCGTATGCTCACAATGTATCATAGCTCACTGGGATGCACCGATTCATATATCATATAAGAAACATCATGGCTCCAACTAATCATGTCGCTACTGGTGATGATACTGATTTGGTGGATTGGTTTGATGCATTCCCAGTAACTTGTTTTATATGAAGTGCAGCCTTGAGGATGTTTTGAACTGATCTCGGTCAGTTTCTCTGTGTCCTTTTTTACGTCAAGATTGGTCATTCTTCTCTCTTTTCTCTGTCCCTCTCCCCCTTGATCTGCCTTTTCCTTCTTTTCTGTCATGCTTCGCTTTCAGCCCTTTTGCTGCTTGGTGAGTTTTTCCCGTCGACTCCTTCCACGCTTCTCGTGCTCTTCATATTCTCCCTCTCTCTTTACCCCAACATATCGTTCCACGCGCCTCACCCTGAATCTTCTGCCTCTGACCTCCACCTCCCCTCCTCTCATGTTGTAAGCTTCTCCTCTTTCTCTTCCCTTTTTTTCTTCATCTTGCCTTCAGTGGTTTCCCCTCTCTTCATTTATTCCCTTCAGACCTCCCAGAGTGTTTTTCGTAAGTCACCCTGTTTAGTTTTGCTTCGTGCTGATTCTCTCTTCCGCTCATGTCCCAAACCCAGGCTCAGCAGTCTGACCATCGGGGACTCTGAACGCAAATCCTCTGCCACCCAGCCGAGGGAGCTAGCAGTTGATGTCCCTGCTGAGAGTACGGGTAATTGTGACTTCCCACGCTGGTTTATGTTTTTGTTTCAGTATTTCACTAGATTTTATATAATGGACTAATCGACTATGCCTCTCAAACACCTTTTGCATCCCCCCACCCTCCCCTCCCAGTTCCTGGTCTTGTCCAGAGATGTGTGGTCGTGCAGAAGGACCAGCTCGGCTTCGGCTTCACAGTGTGTGGAGAGAGAGTCAAGCTAGTGCAGAATGTGCGACCAGGTGAGACGCGCACGGTCGATGTGTTGATGTTATCTGCTTATGCTTGATGTTTGTAGTGTTACACGTGAGATATGAGATTTATACGATATTTATACGATATTTTCTTTAGCTACATGAGCTTCACTGTCTGCCTTTCCTCATCCTCACAGGTGGCGCTGCAGTCAAGGCCGGGGTCCAAGAGGGGGACCGAATCATAAAGGTTTTTAATACTTCTGTCTGAGAGTTATTGGTTTGTTCCTGTTTTTAGTGTGGCTGATTTTCCTCTTGTCCTCTCAGGTGAACGGCTCGCTGGTGTCCTCCATGTCCCATCAGGAGGTGGTGAAGCTCATCAAATGTGAGTTTGATCTTTGGATCTGTTTGCCTGTTTTGTTTTTTACGTTTGCCGTGTTTCTGTTCTTATTCCAGTGTTTATCTGACTCTGTGTCTTTTCAATCGTCCCACAGCTGGAACGTACGTAGCTCTGACACTACAAGGACCGCCCCCTTCAGCTGCCCCCCTGCCTTTAGAGCCCTTCAACGCCGACCTCACACCCAATCAGAGGACGTCTCTGGCAGGGGATGCTCCACCCCCTCCACCTCCACCCTTGCCCTCTGGGCTGAGCAGCACCCCTTCCCAAAAAATCACTGGACCCAAACCACTACAGGTGAATGAAATTATATTAAGCGTTGATAGTAACAGTTTGCCAGCTACTGTCATGTTGTATCAGTGAAACAGATGTTAAGCTTCAGAAATTGACAATATGTAGGTGTTACAAACAAAGAAAAAAATATTTTGGCGCACATCATCAAAATTATTTACAGTTTCTGTTGTTGATGTGTTTTTTTAGGACCCAGAAGTACAAAAACACGCCACTCAGATACTCAGGAAAATGCTGGAGCAGGAAGAAGCTGAACTGCAGGTACTCTATGCTGCCCTGGTATTTTAAAAAGCACTTGCCATAATGTCTCACATACATATATACTGTAGTGTTCCGCATAGCCCCAGGTTGCATCATGAAATGTGTGTAATTACTGTCTGTACTAGGAAGTTTTAGCAGCCAAAATGTGCTGTTGATAACCGAAGCTGACCAATTTACAGGAGCTGCTGGAGGAGCTGACGAGGAACCCGTCGCCGTCACTGGAGGAGCGGATTAAAAGTGCCAAGAGGAGAGCTCACCAAGTCCGGGTCAAGATTCAGCAAGATCTGGTGAGCAGACCTGCCTGACTTATTTATCTTTTAACAGGCTTTCTATATTTACTGAACACCCCTCTATGTATTGTAGTTTATCTGGGATAGAGATTGAGAAATAGACTTTGATCTGCAAAAATGTTAAAGAGCATTGCATCAGATTCCAGGCCACACAATGAAAAAATGAAAGTAAAAGCACATTTTGAAATTCACTGTCATGTGAAGTGGTCTGAAAAGAATCTGAGATCCTGTAATCATTATTCATCCTCACATTTAGTCCTTCTCTGCTTGCATTAGGTAAACAAAACAACTTACTGCAGTGTAATACACCTGCCTGCCATAACAGTTTCAACAGAGTCAAAGGATTTTAAATTCAAATCCGTATGTCAGTGTCGTGTTTACAGCCCATTCTTCTGTCCCCCGATCGGCCCAAAGAAAATCAGTGAATCCAGCTTTAACGATGACGTGCATAATTAACTTTTACAGCCATTGCTGAAAATGAACTAAAGCTTTTATTCTGCTTCTCCAGGACGGAACGCGATCAGAATCTGCCGCGAGCTACGTCATAGCAGGAGAAGGTGTGTATCTCTTTTATCTTTTAACTTCATTAAATACACAGAAGTACAGCAAATAAACTGAGATCACGTCATTAGATTTGTTGGTGCTACTCACTTCCCTTACACGACCCCACATACAGCGATTTAAAAGCGACACTTATTTTCTTGAGTCGCTGGCCCAAAATAATCTTTTTATGTTTTAATTTTATTGTGCTCCCCAAAAAGGTTCTATTAATTTAATCCCCGAAGGGAATAATTAATCAACAAAGTCATCTTGCTTTAAGGAAGTGGCTCAAAATGTGTCTTCTGTTGTGCCATACGCTGTCCAAGGTCAGGGCTTACTCACCTCTGAGGCCATATGCTTAACAAAACGGAAGCACTTGTCAGAGCTAAGTAGTTTAAAACTCCTCTGTGCCTTTGGCAGGTCGACTATCAATGGACTCAACTGAAGGAGACGTGGAGGTAGGCTGCACTGTCTTGTCTTTTCTTAAACTGGTGAGATTGTATGTTTGTGTATGTGATGGTCCCACTCATCCCGTCCCCCTCATCCCCCCTTCCCTTCCTCCTCCTCCTCCCCAGGGCTTTGAGAGTCCCCACTCCTCCCCCTCATTCTCCTTCAGGATGCCCCTACACCGACGGCAGAACTCCGACACACACACCCTGTCTGATTTGGTGAGATGGACACACCCACTTTCATTCACTTTAACACAGATGCCTCCGGGAAAAAGATCCTCACATGCAGTCTGAAAATATCTTTAGTAGGGGTGGGAGGAAAAATCAATTCTTAGATGAATCGCGACGCGGACGTGGAAGATTGTGAATCGATTAACAAATGTCAAAAATCGATTATTTAAATGTTAATTGATAACATAATGTTGACAGGACGCAAACAGCGGAACTTGCGGAAGTGCAGCACCCAGACCGTCTGTGGCGTGCAGATAACAGATAGACCCGTGTTTCCCCTGTATTCGGCACACCAGCGCTGCGTAATGAATAATCACTCTACTTAAATGTCACACAATCATTTATATCAATGAGCAAGTGATGATTTTAACTCGTACACTGTGTGAGCATGGTGACACTCGACGGTTGGCTGCTCTCTGCGTATCCTGAGAGTGTGGCCTAGCGAATGAGAAAGAGAGAGAGAGAGCGGCAGAACATGACGGCGGAGAAAAATTAGCAGTAAGTTTCAGTCTGGTAGTAAACATGCAGCGTAGGTCACAGTGTGTCCTTTAATAAAAGTCTGTAGTTTCTCCAACTGCTGGAAAAGTGAAGGTTGTTAGCGCTAGCTAACATCCCCCCTGTAGAGTATGTTTTTTGGCTGTTATGTAACTTTAGCTAAATTAGTAACAAAGTTGTTAGCTCTGCTGTAGGTCATTAGTACTAACTTACTCGTCAGGGGTTGAGAACATCAGGTACAAGCTTAGACTAAACTGGTGTACATCCTGTTTATTATATTTCAGTTTTTCAGAGGAGTCTGCTCCTTCCCTTTCGCTGGGGTTACACTGAACATAGAGAAACTCAGAGTTTTACAGAGGCTCTTTGTTTCACGATCAGGGCGACTACTGGAATATCAAGTTTGCAACCACTGAAGTAAATCAGGTTATGAGTCATTTAGTTTATTGTTGTGTAGTTTAAGCAAAAACAGGGCCTGCATCGCCAGCTGCATACTGTTGTATCGCTCACTGAGCCTTCCTGCTCTGAGAGGTAGCTCACTTGTGACTGTTGAAAATGTAAAGTCAAGCAGTGAGACGGAGAAGAGAATTGTACACAGCCTTAGATTCATATTTCACATCACCCAACCGCATGCACAGCTGATGGGTGAAAACAGCAGGTGTGCTTGGCCCCTCTGTGCGTGTCCTCAGGTGTGAAGTGCTTTCCCATTTCTTGAAACCTGTGTGTGCGCATTTGTGTTCAAAGGGCGGAAAGGCCCAGATCATCGGCCCCGAGGAAGAGGATGAGGAAGATAACGGCTATGCATTTAATGAGGTGAGAAGGGCTGTAATCGAGCTGCTTGATGTGATTTTCCTCCTTTTTCGACGCTGCATCTTGCTGTTCCCTCCATCTTTACAACTATTCATAATTTTTTTTCTCTTTCTCCGTCTTTCTCTCAGATGGACGGCCCGTTTCAGGACATCGAGTTGCTGAAGTCACGGCCGGCACACATGGCGGTGTTCATGAGATACATCTTCACCCAGCTCCTGGACCCCAACCCTCTGGTCAGTCTGCATCATGTGTAATGTTACAACAAATGTAATGAAAGATAGCGTCTCCTACATTTATTTTCCTTTGGGACTGATGATTGTAATTGTGGTTGTCTAAGAATTGAAATGTATGCTGCTGTTTTTTAATGTCATTGACATCTGGAGTAAATGCAAATAGTATATTAAAGGATAACGGTGCTATTTTATTGTAGTATCTTGACACCTAACTAACCAAAAACATTGATTTTTAATATTTCAAAATGTATATCTGGGTTAGCTTTCTTACATTCATGCTTATGTGTTTCTACGACAGCTGTTTTACCTGTCGGTGGAGGCCTACCTGGGCTCCAGTCCTAAAGACGCCCGCGCACTTGCACCTCAGATCTGCTCCCATTTCCTGGACCCAGACGCTGTATGTACCGACTTATCTTAATGATTCTATACTAATATTCCTTTATCACAGTGTTGGCGTTGATGCAGTTTCTTCCAAAAAATAAATAAAAGTAGTTGCATTTGGCACCACAGAACATAAATGATAAACTTTATTCTGTTAAATAGTGATATGGCTTATATATCGCGATAAATACTTACAAAACTGTGAATATTTCCTGCGTCTGCTTCTATTACTGTAACATTACAGAACTTTTTATTTTTTCCCTTTTAGCCCTTGAAAATCAAAGTACGGGAGGAGTATCTCACCGATATAGGTAAGCCAAAACTAAAAGCTGGTTGAGTTGTGGGTTTACTCAATTTGTTTTGTGTTTTTAAATGAATATTTCTGCCTTCAACCAAAGATTTTTGAGGTCTTCTTTCATGTGAGACTAAAAACTGGAAAGTGACTTGTGATGAAGTGTGCCCACTCACATGATGTTGTGTCCATCGTCCCTTCAGAAAGTCGACTTCATGCCCAGGAGGACATCAGAGGACCTCTGTCTGAGCTGCAGCAGCAAGTACTGCCAGACATCCAGGACCAGATACAGGACTACAGGTACATTACTTCAGATTTTTCTTGTTTGTAACATTGAGAAACATTTAAACTGGGAATTAAACAGCGGAAGTTAGTTTGTTTAACTTTTAGGTTTTCCCATCTGATAGAAGAACATTAACAGGACTTCATATTAACCCATTGAGCTCGTGTTTCACAGGAACAAGCAGATGATGGGTCTCGGCTCTCTGTTCGGAGAAGGAGACCTGCTGCAGCTGGATGGCGACCCGGTGAAAGAGAGACAGGTGGTGGACAGACAGGTCACCGCCCTCTGGGAAATTCTGTGAGTCTTGCTCAGACGCTGCTGTTGCATCATGTTTTAAAAACTGTAAAATTACAACAACTTCAGGTTCATGGCGAGGGCACGGGTTCATTTTCTGGACAAAGTTGACTCACCTTTATCTAAATGATGTCAAACTAGAAAAGATCCAGTTGTTTGCTTTCGTCGGTTTTGGTTTAAATTCACCTGTTCACTCATTATACATTAGTTTGCTTAAAGACGTGGCTCTAATCATGAACTGAATATTAACACACAGCGAAAGAAGGAGCTCACCCAAGCTATCATAGCACGACCTGGAGACCACATGACATTTACTCCTTTAATTTTAGCCACACACACCGGCCGATTTCTGTCACATGACTGCTGCACTATAGTCTGTGTCTCACGTCCTTGTCTCGACCTGAATGAAGTGGATTTAACTTTGAGGAATTAAACAGGAGATCTCTCTGAAAGCCTGTTATTTCTTATGGAGGGAGTTAACCGCCTTTTCATGTCTCTCTTTCTGTTCCCCCTCTAGATCAAAGCACGAAGAGGACAGAAGGTAAAACAGGCGTCTCGTCTGTTGGAGTGAAATTGTAATTTAACAGCAGCAGCAGCTGCCTAAGCGATGTGGTTCATTGTCTCTCAACACCTTCTCTTTGTTTGTTTCCTCTTGTGGTCTTTTCTCCTCACTTTCCCCTACTCCTGTCACCTCTCTGTCTCTCTCTCTCTCTGTCTCTCTCTCTCTCTGTCTCTCTCTCTCTCTGTCTCTCTCTCTCTCTGTCTCTCTCTGTCTCTGTCTCTCTCTCTCTCTGTGTCTCTCTCTCTCTCTGTCTGTCTCTCTCTGTCTCTCTCTCTCTCTGTCTCTCTCTCTCTCTGTCTCTCTCTCTCTCTGTCTCTCTCTCTCTCTGTCTCTCTCTCTCTGTCTCTCTCTCTGTCTGTCTCTCTCTCTCTCTCTGTCTCTCTCTCTCTGTCTCTCTGTCTGTCTCTCTGTCTCTCTCTCTCTCTCTCTCTCTCTCTCTCTCAGTTCTCCTCTGGCGTCGGCCGTGCTCCTCTACCTGCGTCACTCCGGTATCAAGCTAAGAGACTCGAAGGTCTTCCCTGGTTTGAGCACAGAGAAGGAGAAGTGGCTCGCTTTCTTAAAGACGAAAAAGGTAAGAGTGGCATCTGCCTCTACAGAGTCCTCTCCTCTCTAGCATATGGCCTTTGCAACTTTACAACTGGCTGTGCCAAACCAGTCTTCACTCCTAATGCCTCAACCCAACAGCCAATCAGAGCCAGCGTTTAATCTAGTCCGCTACACTGCAGAGTCTGACAGCTGAACACGTGAGGACGGTAAAAGACTGCCAAACGAACTGTCCGTTGGAAAGCAAGTTTAGAACTTTGCCCACTTATCGTTCAGGGCAGTGGCAGCAACTTGGATGTAATGTAGGCTAACGTCAACTGGATAAAACGTGTCGGCATCTGTGTTGTTTACACTGGGGGAGCTGGGGATCTGTCCCCATCACTTTTTGAAAGCGTTTGTTAAAGATGCTTTGAAAAATAGGTTGCAGCAAGAAAAGTTAAATGACAAATAAAAGTGCTTTGAGAAAGGGTTTTTTTTTTTTTTTTTTTTTAAAGTAAGAATAAGAAGCTACTGATTATAAAATGATCCCAGTCAGTAACTTTAACACCTTCTTGTCACAGTTTCTATTTGGCCAAATTTTTCGTTCTCTTCCTGTGAACATGACAAAAGAGGAGGGAAGACTAAATCATGCCTGCATGTGTGCTAATTCAGCAGGGAAGATATTACACGAGAAAAGTTGATCTACAGGAGAAACGGATGTGAAAGCAACACAGAATAAGAGCTGCACTGCATTAGATTCTTTATTACTTTTCCACCTGAATTTTGTGCTTCCCTTTACATGAATAAAAACATTTCCATCAAAAATTGGAAAATGTATAGGAAAATGTATATCACCTGAATGCAGGAAATTAAATGTTTAATGCCCCCCCCCCCACACACACACACACACACACTCACTCACTCATATATTTCAGCATTGATGATTTCTATTAAATACTGTGAAATTATCATCTCATCTCGTACCGAGGTAATGTTCACATGCCTAGAGCTCACCAGGTCCGCCCCACAGGTAACCAAAACTCTAAAACCTTTTGTTTGTGCTATTCAAACGAAGGCAAGTTTGGGTAAACAAAAATCCACTGGCGCAGCTAATAAAAGATAAGAATAGAAATAGAAGTTGATAAACAAGAACGAGGGAAATATGCTGATTGTGACTTCATGGTTCGTCTCTCCACAGCTGACTGGTATCAAGAAAGAGAAAGATGGAGAGGATAAAAAGAGAAATCCCATCCTGAAGTACATCGGCAAACCCCGGTCCACGTCCCAGTCCAGTAAATACAAACACACACACACACATTCATGCATAGAACTGGGGAAGAAAGATCATTATTTGATCACGACATGTGTTCATGCTAAAATGCTAAAACGCACTTGCAGTAATGTAAAATCTAAACCGGACAGCTTATTCTTTTAGTCCTCTCGCTGCTCTCACTGGCACATTGTCAGTATTTAAAATGCAGCTGAGAGCATCTGCTGAAACCACTGGTACCCTACAGGCACGCTAATACGAACATGTGATTCTCTCACTCATTGTATTTGTCAGGCACTATTGATTTTTTTTTTTTCTGCCCTCTGTTTGTCCTTTTTATTGTTTTAGCAGGTTTATTTATTGATTTATTGTATTTTCATTGTCTTGTTGTTGTTCTGATTTCATTGTTTCCTTTTGGTTCATTTTGGTTTCGTAGCATTCCATGTCCCGTTGTCACCCACCGAAGGTACATATTTTTTTGGTCATTGCACTTTATTTGTGAAATGTTTGTATTTTGAACATTGCTTGTGTTCCACCTCATTTTCCATCAACCCTTTCTGCCGAGAGTGCACGTGTACTTTTTTAATCATACTGTGCAGTTAAGTCCTATCTGTGTTTGCAGTCCGGCCTGGCAGTGTGAGGAACATCATTCAGCAGTTTGAGAATCACACAGAGACGACGGGGGAGGAGGGCGGTGACGCCGCCGACCCGCAGAGGCTCTCCTCCAGCAGCCTAGGGGAAGAAGGCATGGACAGGTAGCTCTGATGCTTCTTAAACTACGTCATCACGTTAGTGGGTGACTGATATGTGTTGTTGAATGGCCAAATATTTAGCCAATATATAATGCAGATATCAAAACAAAGAAAAGTCATGTATAATTCCATGCAGAGTACAATGTAATATACATTTTATTTTAGCCAGTTATTTTAAACTTTTTAGTAATGAATGAAATAGGGAAACACACGGGGTCTGCTGTAGATTTTTAGAACATGACTGGTGTTTAAGGGAGAGTGGGGTAGTCAGTTTGTCAGATGTCATTCAGCTACATTATTCTCTATAGAATAACAATATATATTTAACACTAGCCAGTAATGGTTATAGGTTAGATTAGACTTGCTGTCATTGAGGATGATATATCTGCCTCTGAGTGCAGGTATCGGTAATTGGCTGACTGACTAATCGGTCTATCACTTGTAGATGTTAAGTATATAGTGTACTGCCTACTCATTTAGTAAAATGCTCTGTTTTCTTTATTGCAGCCCCACGATCTCCGTGCGTCTGGCACGCAGCGAGTCGTTGAAGGCTCAGGGAGAAGGGCGCCGCCGGGGCGTTGTCTCTGGAACGGAGTCTGTCCCTCGCTCTCGAAGTGACGTGGACATGGAGGACTGCGGGGAGGACAGGGAGGGCCCGGGCCTCAGGCTGCTGCAGCACAGCACCTCATCTGCATCCAGCAGCTCTGCACGGTAAAGATTCACTAAGCCGGGCTTCCTCTGGGTGTTTCCACACAGTTTTTATTTTTACTTTTGAAAACAGAATCGTCTGAGATGTCAGAGATGAAATTCAGATGCAGACCTCTTCAAGGAATCCAAACTCTCCCCTTTTTAATGTAACATTAACCTCACAAATAACTCAACCCGGACGTTACCCCTGGAAGTTTAGGTTGTCACCTCATGTCTCTCTTCACTCTCTCTCAAACTCAGGTCTCTAGAGAACCCTACACCCCCATACACTCCTCGGTCTAGACGCAGGTGAGTTTCCTTGACATCCCCTTAGATGACTGGTGATAGATGATCAGCTGATCAGTAATTGTCTAGCAGAAGAAAATTGCTTCCCACATGAAAAACTCCTGAAGAAATAAATGTCAGCCTTCAGCATCCTTTAATTTCAAGTCTTCCTGTAATTTTACATGAACACAGAATATAGTCTTTGTTTTGTTATAGCTCTGTTTGTATAAAATTGTTTTTGTTTTGTCTCTCCATCCATGCACCACCATCTGTTTTCTGCCCATCCCTCCATCCGTCCATGTCGGCCCATCTCTCCTACCTGTGTTTGTGTATGTGTGTGTGCGTGACCCTGCAGGAGCATGGACTCACCGTTGGCCCTGCTGCCAGACGCCGCGGCGCTGGAGGAGGAGGTCTGTGACAGTCAGAACTGGCAGGACACAGTTCCCGCTCAGCTCCTCTCCACGCTCAGTCCGAGGGAGGTGGACAGACAGGCTGTCATATACGGTATGAGTTGAATTCAACACATGCGTTAACAACAGACATTTTAATATGCTTCACAGAAATACTCGCTACTCCACAGTCATGATACAAAAAGAAAACTTTTTTTTAAATGTCTATAATAAAGACTGTAGTGCACTGGTGTTGATCGTCTTCGTTTGTTCCTCTCATCTTCATCATCAGAGCTGTTTACCACCGAGGTGTCTCACCTGCGCACTTTGAAGGTCCTGGACCAGGTCTTTTTCCAAAAGATGAGGTCTGTGCTGAACTCTGATGAGCTGGCCTGCATCTTCCCCAACCTGCCTCAGGTCTACGAACTCCACGGTCAGTCTGTGTATCTCTGTGTTTACGCAGCTTAAATAAAGTGAACATTTCTGGCACTCATTTGACTGTGCACGCAGTAATAACAGGTAAAGCAGCATATTTTCTCATCTTGAGATCTTGTTTACGGTCCTATAATTAACACCATCTTAGGACGTTTTCTAATTAAGACATGAAACTTTAAGCATTTAAATATGGACAGGTGAAGAACTTTCATGTCACTGCTGTGCTTCATCTGCCACTGTTTCAGTTTGCTCAATAAAAGTGATTTGTACTTTGAGGCCTCAGAAGTTGAGGTCCTTTTCATTCCACTCTTAAAGTTGCTTCTGTATTGCTTCTTTGCAGCAAGTCTGTGTGAAGCGATGAAGAAGCGAAGAGAAACTCCCATCGTTCAGGACATCGGGGACGTTATGCTGGCCAGGGTGAGTGAAATAATCATCTACTACTGCAATAGCATCCTCTATGGTTCACCTGCCAAAGCCCTAAATAAACTTCAATATATTCAAAACTCTGCTGGCCGCCTCCTCACCCACACACGCACCCGTGACCACATCACCCCTGTCCTCCAGAATCTTCACTGGCTCCCCATTCCCCAACGCATTCAGTACAAAGTCCTCCTCCTCACACATAAAGCCCTCCATAAAAAAGGCCCCTTCCTACCTCACAGACCTGCTCCACCACCACACCGCAAACTCTCACCTCTCACCTCAAATCCGGACCAAGCAGCGTACCTGGGGCGACAGAGCTTTCACCATTGCAGCCCCCTCCCTCTGGAACTCCTTACCCATACACATCCGAGATTGCAGCGACATGGACTCTTTCACATCAGTTATCAAAACCCAACTTTTTAGACTAGCTTTTAATAACATCAAATAATGTTATATTACACCTGCAGTTGTTTTGTTATTTATTTGGTTGCCCCTTTGCTCTTATGTTTCCACACCACATGTTTTATTTACTGTTCATATATGTTATGCTTTGTATGTTTTTAATCTGTTTTAAATGTACATAACGTCTACTTTTACTGTAAAGTGTCTTTGAGTGTCCTGAAAAGCGCTATAGAAATAAAATGTATTATTATTATATCAATCAGTCAAATAATCTCCATTATTGTCTTCTTGTTTCTTTTGTAATGTTTAAAATGTTACACGTGTATTCAGTTTGTTAACAGCGGTGTCTGTTTCTAGTTTGAAGGTGTAGCCGGAGACGAGTTTCAGGAACAAGCATCCCAGCTGTGCAGCCAGCAGTCTCAGGCTCTGGAGCTCATCAAGAACAAACAACGTAAAGACCCTCGCTTCGCTCACATTATCCAGGTACACACACACACACACACACACACACACAGACACACACACGTTCGTGCCTGAGTAGTTTTTTAGTTGAAATTGGATTCATCAAAAAAAACTTAGAGACAACGCAGAGAACATGTGTCTGTTTCTTAGAGCTGGGCAATAAAACAATAATGATAATCATCGCAATATAATTTTCCTGTGGTCAAAAAATGTTCATTAAATATTTGATTTTTAATTTGAATAATAATTGAATAGAATAATTGAATTGAATATTTTTTTGAGGAAAAGGGACTGAAAAAAGTCCTTACTCCACTGTTTGGCATCAAGTGTTTGTTCTGACCATAAAGAAAAGTTTAATTAACCATCTGGTTTCTTCAACTTTCTCTCAGGAGTAAAAATCAGTTTTTAAACTTGAAAGAAATAGTGATTTGACATTTATCGTGATAATTATCATTTTCGAATGAATTTTTTATCATGATAACATTTTTGGCCCTAGTCTGTCCAAACCTCCATGGCTGCGCAGCCGTGTGCTTTGTGTCCTTATGTGTTTGACTTTTGTTCAGGAGTGTGAGGCCAGTCCTCACTGTCGAAGGCTGCAGCTCAAAGACCTGCTGGTGTCAGAGATGCAGAGACTCACCAAGTACCCTCTGCTGCTGGACAACATCATGAAGCACACAGAAGGTGAGGAATCAAAAGAAATGTTGTGTAAGAACCGTCAACGCCAGAAAACCAGCCAAAAAAGTAGGTGATTTTTAAGACCGATGTTCTTGTTTTTCTGTTTAGCCGGCTCGTCGGACCTCCCCTCACTTCAGTGCGCTCAGGCGTGTTGCAGAGGGATACTGCAGGCTGTCAACGAGGTAGTAAGGGAAACAGAACACCGGCAACGTCTCAGCCAATACCAGCGCAGGCTGGACGCTGCCCCTCTATTCAAGGTAGTAAAGAAGTTTGTACTAGTTAACCTGTTTTTAGCTTCTCCTCCTTTCTTCTTTACCTGAATGTGTTTTGCTCTCTGTCTCTCAGAGTCTGGACCTCACCACGAAGAGAATGATTCATGAAGGTCCTCTCACGTGGAAACTCAGCAAAGATAAGCAGATAGGTCAGTGCCTCTGTCTGGATACATTCTGCATTGATCAGTTTGGTTTCATACCCTAATCACATGTCTCTGTATCCTTCCTCCAGAGATTCAAGCGCTGCTGCTGTCCGACTGCCTGGTCCTTCTGCAGAGGGGCCCAGACGACCGGCTGCAGCTGAGATATCCATCCCGCTGGTTGGGTGGAGGCAGCGGAGACAGCAAGACCTCCTTCAGCCCTCTGGTGAAGCTGGATTCGCTGCTGGTCCGCTCAGTAGCTACAGGTGAGATTGTGGTCACACCTAAGAATTGGCGCTCTTTTTCTTCTTCTGTGGTCCAGATTAAATGTGATAATCTTGTGATTTCTCTCCAGACAACAAAGCCCTCTACGTCATCAGCACCACAGAGAGGCAGATCTATGAGCTGGTGGCGGGGACGTCGTCAGAGAAAAACATGTAAGCTCCTTTCTGTGACAGGAAGTCTCTCAGAGCAAACGTGTTCTTCTTCTGCCTCCAGAAACATGCTTTGCTGCACTGAACATTTGCAGGATGTGTTGACTTTTGTTTTCTTTTTCCTTTACAGCTGGAGAGATTTACTTGAAAAGACCATATCATCGGCAGAAAGTTCATCACCCCTGATTAATCACGCGCCCATACCTGCATCGTGAGTAAATCTCATGTCTGTGAATAATAAATAAAGGAATGTGTTACAGCTCCTTTGCCAGAAGGTTACTCGTAAGATATTTTGTTTTATTCTATTAGATGGGTTTTTATTTCACAGTGTTAATGCTTAGTGTGTGCGGTTTCTATTTTCTGTAGTTCCCCCAGTCTACGCAGTGCGTCCCCAGTCTCAACTGGCAGCAATGCCTATGCAGGTAATAACCAGCCTTGCATAATTAAACTGTCTGCAGAGATTTGTGAAATAAAATAAGAGTTTGACATCTCTGACTTACTCACAAAACAAAATCATTGGTTGCTTCTATTTTTTGATTTTTTTTACCTTTAACTGTTTGAAATCTTCCAGACAACTCCATGACGGAGCAGTTGAACTCCATGGACACTCATTCCTCCAAGGATGACAATGTGCTCTCAGCCGACACCCCATTGGACCAAACAGAAACTTTCATCTGTGGTGAAGGAAAAGCAGTTGGTGTAGCAGAGGCCGCTTTACAAGACGGTGAGAGGGAATCAAAAACAAATAAGTTTTTTTACCCCAGATCCCAATCCGAGTCATTTTATATTGAATATCTGCTGATTCCGAGTCTCGATCCAATACTGACATAAAAGACCTGAAAAGACCTCGTAGGTGGTCATGAACCTTGTCTCAAATGTAGTGTCGAGATGGCAAAAACCTGCCTCAGTCCTTCCAGGATTTTTGTGATTGTTGGGGCCTAAAATGCCTGATTTTGCGGCAGTGTTTCTAAAAAATTGCGATGTTTTCTTTTTCTTTTTTGTAATGAAACTGCGGGAATAAGTAAAAACTGCAAAGTAGGTATTTTTTTTACTTTAGAATTATAGTTGAAACATTTAACCCTGCAAATTTAAACCAACTTACCTTGATTCTCTCGGTGCAGCTGACCGAGATGCAGCAGCCCTGTGTCACAGACGTCCTCTGCGTTTCTGCCATTCTCAGCGTATGTTTTGCGGTGGGAAATCGGATCGGTACATCCCCACTGTTGGGTGTTAAACTTTGAATTTGATTTGATTAGTTTATAAGCTGTAATGAAACGGGTGTGTTTTTTTTGTTTTCTTTTTTACTGTATTTGGTTTAAGCTTGTCATTATAAAAAAAAATAATCAACAAATTTATTTTAGCAATCAGCCAATGATCCTTGAGGAATTTCAGAATCTATCAATTCCTGATTTTGTTGTTTTCATGCCTCTACAGTTGAAACACTAAGGCACCTCATATTACAAGATTTTGAGGATGACGGTTGGAGCCACGATTCAGACGACACGCCCACCAACGAGACGTCAGTCGAAAGGAGCTCGTTCACCGAAAGACAGCGGCCACAGTCTCTGGAGACTGTCCTCAACTTCAGCGCCAACGAATGGGAGGCCGAGCCTGAAGAGGTCCTGCCCCCGGACCCGGAGCACCTCGGAGTTCAGGTCATAAGGAAAGGTAGAGGATCAGACTGAGAAAACCTTTCACATAATTATCTTCAATTCTTCAGCAGGGCTTGCTGTTCATCGTTCATTCAATTCTCAGATAGTTACAAATTTGAAACCTTTACTTCAAGATAAATCTTTTAGACGAATACTTGGTGATAATCGAACTGAAGTAGATCAGCTGACTGCTTTCTGGATCTTTTTGGATAAATTCTGGGTGTCTTTGATGGCTGCCTCCCTCTGCATGTTTTTCTCTGCACTCTGTGATTCATTATTTTGTTTCTCAAACACTTTATCTTCTCTTTTTCTTCTATCTGCTTGCTCTTCACAACATGACACACTGCTCCCACAACTGCTCTTCACGTCACATCACTTCTTGCCTCACCCTTCATTTCTTTCACACACAAACACCTCCACACACACTTTTCTTTGCATAGCTGTGGTTGCGGGTCCTCCTTCTTCTTCTTCTGTCCCTGATGACATCACTGATGATGTCACCCTCCCCTCCGACCAATCGTCCGAGCCGAGAGGCGAGGCCACCATGCAGGGTAACGATAAGTAAATTGGTCAAGTGCTGTAGTTTTTATCAGACGAGCACGTTCTTTTATTTACACGTGTAAAATTAAAGATAATAGAATATAATCTTTAATGTCGTTGTTGAAATAACTCACCAGCACACTTTGTGTTTATCACACGTCTGTGCTCTAGGGAACACTTTCTACTTGGTGATGCCTACAGAGCCGGGAGAGACCGCCACAGATCCCCCTACCCCCACCGCCAGCCACTTCCGTCAGCCTCTGGAGGAAGTGATGTCACCACGGACGCAGCCTGAGGAGGAAACGTCCACCTGCGGGTCCGAGCCCCGCCAATCAGAGGCTATGCAACTGGAACAGGAAGAGGAAACGGGCCAATCACAGGCTGGGAACCAGAGTCACGTGATCAAAAATGTGGATGAGATTTTCCACACGATTGAGGGGCTGATGAGCAAGTTGCGGCAGCTGAAGGTGAGTTAGTGTTCAGGTGGGGACATGGTGGCTGGTGATCCGTCCATCAACTCTTCACCTTTTTTCTGGACTGTGATCACAAAGTGTTTGGACTGGAGATTTTCAAAGTGGGAGGCTCAGTGAAGACATTTTATATTATTTATCAACAGAAGATCACATAGAATATCCTAAATGTGTGTGATTTGTTTAAAGAGGGAGTTCAGAGATACAGCAGTTCGGGGGATTTTACTGTCTTTCCCAGAGTCAGAAACCATAAATGCAGTAGGACAGACTTCTTTTTGCGTGTTGTAGCTTGAAGTCAAACCAAAGGCTTTCTTGGCTCAATTGTGACCCGCCCCCCCTTAATTACTGTTGCTATGTCTGACAAACTGCCTGTGCTGTGGCGCTGTCTATTACTGCACTCCCCGGAGAAATATTGTCAAAAGTGATCTCAGAAAGAAGCAGACAGCTTTCCAGTTGCATTATACATTTGATAGTGTAACTATTACAAGGGCCCCAGGAACAGCGTTTGACCATATCTTGGAAAAATACAGCAAAAAAAAGCTATACTGCGCTGTGATTGGCCAGCTGTGTATTTGGGGCGTGGCTTAGCGAAGAATCAATTGTTGAGTGTCTATGGCATCAAATAAAATCATCATGATCCCTTTGGTATGTAGGACATGAGCAAAACTAACCAAGTAAAGCCGGTACAGGAGGCTCCCACAAGCCAATGTGGTTGGTTTTGTGCGAATTCCAGGGAGGCTAGCCTAAAGTTACGTCTGGTCGCACCTCGTTATCACCTTCTGTAAGAGGGTCTCTGCTTTTTACAAGAGATGCAACTGCCTCACTGCAGATCAAACATGGCTGAATGTTTTATGTGGATTTTTTAAAAGAAAAATATAATGAGTGACTGAAAAACACGGTGTAGACTCCTACATGTCTGTATGAGCAGAGACCCTGCCCTCTGCCTGTAATTTCTTCTTATCTTGCTTTTTTCCGGGCGGGTGTGAGCTCAGGACTCTATAAAACCGTTCTTTAAAACAAGCAGGTTACGTCGCTGTGTCTCTCTCCTTCGCTCACTGTCTGTGTCATGATACTGTGAGTACAGAGCGATTTACCTGGCGGTGATTGGCTTATTCAGCATTAAGTAAACTCGTTTGGCGAGGGCTTGAATGTAACAGACGTTCATTTACATGTAAAGATCCTGCACTCCAGCAGGATTTACACTGTGGGCTGTGTCCTTTTACTTTGTGTTTCTGTCGTGGCACCGTTGATGCCATTTGTTATGTATTGGCATTCATGTATCTCTTCAAGCAGTTTACGATAGTTTGTTGCTTGTGAAGATTCACTTTTCACTTCATGCTAGCTGGCATAATTATGTTTATGTTCTACTCAGGTCATTTAGGCTTTTCTGCATCTTTACCCCTTCACAGGAAATAGAGAAGGCCCATCACAAGCTTTTGAAAACCATCAGAGAGCCATCTGTCAATCAGGAGTCAGAGGAACAACGGTCTCTGTCGGCAACCGTGTCCAGAACACCATCTCTGGATCGCGGCTCAGGAGACTGTGAGGGAGCACTGAATTTGCATCTTTACAGAACAGTGGTTGCATTGCAACTCTTTTCTATAATAATTATGTATTTTCTTTCCTTTAAACCCAACCAGGCAAAGAGGCCAGTCCAGCAGACCCCAGGGTTCAGTCGACTGGATTCTGACACCGCTGCAGAGCGGATGTACTTGCAGTCAGTTAATCTTGATTGTTTGCACACAGACGCACCCATATGTATTCTCTGTCAGACTCTGGCACCTCAGCCCCGCCTCCCCTTCGCCCCTCGTCCCTGCATGCACCGACCGGCGAGTAGAACAGAGCCCAGGAAGGACCGCGGCTGGTTGTTTTTTGTTTTTCTCTTGCCCTGGGATTACAGGAAGCTGTCCAGATCCACCGGGATTTCTGAGGTCCGCACAACCTCTTGACTTCTACCAGAGCGTGAGGGAGTCCAGGGGGCGGAGTGAGGAGAAAAGTATGAAGGAATAAAAGGGCGGAAGACAAGTTGACTGGTGAAGAGAAAAGAAAGTTGGAAGAACTGAAAGTGTAAAAAAAAAAAAAAAAAAGAATATTTGTGAAGGAAAATGAGTTTGTATGTCTCGCTTTAAAGAGCTGGTTGAAGGAACGGAGCAGAAAAGTGTTGAAATGTTAATTTAAAGGAAATAACCAGAGGGACCCATCACCCCTGCACTTTACCCACAAAGCATCCCTCTGTCATATACGTCCTCTACGGTGGACGGATCAGTGACTGGAGATGACACTGGCTTCATTTAGTGGCCGCCGTTTGAGCCAAGATGGCCCCGCCCCTCCTCCATTGGTTGCTTTACACTGAGCTCAACTGCTACCACGGCCGAAGGACTGTGTCTATATAATTCAGGTTATTTGCACTGGGTAAGGAATCCGCCATCTCACACACACACAAACATCATTTCACCATTTCATTCATCTCAGATCTTCGTATCCCGACACTGTGGGAGAAACACCAAACTTATTGCCATCGGGAACAGTTGCAGCCACGCTGACGTATCCTTAAGCCTTCTTTTAAGCTGCGAGACGGCTGCTTGGAAGCATCAGTGCAACATATTGATCATCACATGGTTCATGTTGATTGTTCATTTTGTAGGTTCTGGAAACACTACTGCGCTGTTTACTACTGAAATGCTAGCAGGTTTTCTTTTTCAGCGCCGCTTCAGAGGCGTGCAGGGATCTCAGCGATTTAAATATAACAAGCTCAGTGGATTCACACAGCTGTTCTGATCATGTAAAAGTTGTTTAGCAGTTAGCGTTTGGGAGATTGTGGATGTTCAAGACAGGCAATGTTGACGATGAGTGTGAGGAAAGAGGACAAATAAAGATTCAGACGTAGAAACTTGAATTTTCACAGAGGAACCCGTTTGTCACTCAGTTCAATTGCTGCCAAATATGACATCGCCTGTCTACACTAAGATTTGATCGTGCATCCTTGAACCCTCTCTCCGGTGTATTGTGTGTAAATACCACGGTAAAGACTGTGAACCAGCAACATATCCCCCCCTCCCTAATCCAGTGGTCATAGTGTTTCTATCTGTCTAGCCCACATCCGGAGCCATGAAAGGACTGCGTTCTTTACCAAGTAGTGAGGGAGCCCCCCCACCCCCGCCCCCAGCACAGAACAACTTATATTTACTGGGAGAAATACTTTAACAACTCAAGTATATGCACATGGTCCAAGAAAAAAAGAAAGCTATATGCAGCTGTGCCGTGATTGCAGCAGTTTGACATTCTGGGAAAAACACTTTTTAGCCAAGATTGATATTATTTCACGTGTGGTTAATGTGAAGCTAATGCCAGCAGCTGGTTAGCTTAGCTTAGCATAAAGACTATAAACAGCTAGCTTGGCTCTGTCTACAGATAACAAAATCCACCTAACAACAGTTTGCAGATGCTGTGATGATTTATTTATTTGATCTGTAGATGGAGACAAGCTAGCTGTTTACTGTCACTAAGCTGAGCTGAGCTAATCTGGCTTTAGGTCCATACTTAACACGTGGAGTGGTATCGGTCTCATCTAACACTCATCAAGAAAGCGAATAAAAGTATTTTCCAAAATGTCAAAATTTTACTTTTAACTACTTTTTGATCATATGTAAGAATCATTTATTGTGTTTGACATTCAGAAAGGTTTTGCCTTGAGGCGTGTGGAAAACCAGCAAAGACTGACACTAAAGCAAAGTGCCCCCCCAAACTCCATGTGAACTAACTCTAATACACGCCAGACAAAAATGTGTATTTAAGCTGTTACAAGGAACGTCTTCTAGACACGTTCCTTTATGTACCAGTTTAAATGTTTATTTGTTTTTTAGCCTCTTTCTTTCTCTTGTCAAGCTGGGCAGAATCACACTGGACTGAATTTTATTTGAGCTGGTTTCAAATACTAAATGAGGAGTGCTTCAGTGAGTTACCCAGCCTCTTTACCAGCTTCACAACTGATGATACACACTACCAAACTGAACCAAACTAGGAGCCAAGTATATTTAAACACTTCCAGCCACTGATTCTATTAAAGCGATATTTCACTGCCTGGTGGAAGGTTTTCACTTTTAAACCGAAACACACTAAAGGAGTCGTCGGTGAGGAGAGTAGCTTGGCTGTGAACAAATGACACTTATAGTGAGAGCTACTGTTCTCCAGGACTGCTGATTTTAGCGGCTGACTCTGAATTTGTGCCAAAGCGTAAACATGTTCTACCAAAGTGAAATATCTCTTCACAGGCGTTGAAGGGAACACAGTTTGTTTGTTTTCTTGACATCTTGGTTGCTGATTTATAAGCACCTCAGACCAGACGTTATGTCCATGAAATGGAAAAAAAAAAAAGATTCCTTAGATTTAACACTACAGACACACAGTCATCAAATAGAAAACACGTGTTCATAATTTGACACAAAAATGCTGGATGGTCTGAGCTGGTTTAATCAGGAACTCATCTTTCCTCCAACTACAGCATTTTTCATCTCTGATTTCTACCTCTACACTTCAGTTTCTTTATATCTTCGTTGATTTCTTTTTTTTCACTCATTTCATTTCTTGTACATTCACATCAACTTTGTGGCCCGAACTGGCTGAAGGGGAAAAAAAAAAAAGAAAGAAGCTGTAACTGATTCCTTTATTATTATTTTTTTTTAAAGTTGCACAAACAAACTTCCCTGCACAGTGCAAACTACTGTATGCATACACACGTCTTTAACTATCATCTCATTGTCTTTTTTATTTTGTCTTTTTTTTAAACAATATTGTTCACTCATGTAATATAGAGAGATCAGACCCACTTGTTTTATATATGTTAATTTTTTTCTGTAAAGGCTTAGTCCTCGTATTTGATTTTATTTTTGTAGATATGATTAAAAAAAGGATGTATAAATTATTTTCTTCTCCCTTGTTTTTAATATTGGTGAGATTGTTTAGCTGCACAGAAGGAAAAAAAGAGCTTATGTCTCAAATTTGTGTGTTTTGTGAGATTAAAAAGAAACTGGATAAAGAAAATGATTAATGTGTGCGAGTCTCTTTGAGTTTAACTGTCACCGTTTAATGTTGGTTTTACTGTAAGTGAATTTTAGAGTTGAACATTTGGATGTGTCATACTTGTTGGTACAAACCATTTTTCTTTTAACCAAAAGTAAGGATTTTCAACTTCTACCATATTTCTAAATCGCCTTATTTAGGAGGAGTTTGTTCAGATATGAACGCCAGCGGGCACTTTAATAAGTTTGGATAGTGAGAACAAATGATGAGGTCAGTGCAGAAGAGCCACCTCTTTGTTACTATTTGTAAGAAAATAGCGTCCTCTGTTTGCAATAACTAAGACTTGGTGTCGGTTTCCTCTGATAGTAAACGGAAAGGGGGAGAAATTGGGTGTAGTTTAGCTTTTTTGCTAAGTGAAGCCTAAATGTTTCAAGCTTACTTACAGCAAGAGTGACCGGAAGTGAAGCATGTTTGTCTTGAGAATAAAAGGTTTGTGAAAGCTACAAACAAATTAAGCAAAAACTAAAGCAGCATCTTTGGATTAGTGATATAGATGTAAGGCTTATTCTGTCATTTAACAAAGGTTTTTCTGCAGTAAAATTGTACATTTAGTAAAACAATTATATTTTTATTTAGATACCACCCTTGTTTTATGAAGTTGTATCTACAGATGTCTTTAGACCTACCTTCATCGGTTGATCAAATGATGTGACTGTCCTCATCAACGTCCATTTATTTTGCACACCTGATTATATGATGAATTAGCACATTGTCATTGCTACTAATTATTTTTCAAGATAAATCGTTTAAGTGCATTACTTGTTAAAAAGGTTTTTGTTTTCATTGTTATATTTGTCTCTAACTGTACTGATCAATAATTCTGCAATTTTCAAAAGGAATTATTTAAATATAACAGCAAAGTAATAATCTGTGTGTCAAACCTTAAAATCCCATTCTCATCTTGAGATAAAGAGAAAATCGATAAATGTTTAATTATGTTTTTTTAAACAACTAAATATAAAGGTTCATAAATAAACAACAGTCTGCTGTTACTGTATAAGTTTAACCACTCAATTCAACATTTAAAAGCATTTTTAGCTAATAATAGACACATTTGTGGCAATGCAACACCCATTATACGGAATGATTCATTCTATAATGTGTGTGTGGTCACTGAGGGCAGATACAATTTTATTTGCCATTTTTAAATACTGATTTTAATTTGAAAACCCTCTCCGGAAGCTGTGAACGCACGCTGTCTGACTTGACGGTGCGTGTCCTGACGCCGGTGCTGGATGTCCTCACGGAGCCGCTCCGCTCAGCGGGGCTCCTGCACACGGCAGACGCTGCGGAGCCGGGATGAGCTGCGTGTCGCTGCCTTTTGTGCGGCGTCGGTGCTTCGAGTTGAGATGCAGTTTCCAGTCGGAGAGCCCGAACAAAAACAAACTGCGCTCACAAAGAGGAATCAAGTTACACTGCGGTTGTGAATGAGCTGGCAAACCGCGGACAGATGCGAGTCGGGAGAAAGTGAATTTGGAGGCACTTTTTTTGTTGGACTCGCTCGGCGCTGATTCGCTGCTGCTGGTCGGCTCTTTGTGCTGCAGCTTTTTCCTTTTGGGTAGAAAGGTAAGACATTCCTGCAAGCATCACGGGTGAAATATGCTGTTAGTCTGCAAGCATTTATGTGAGACTGGTTATGGCTTTAATGCAAAAAGAAAAAAAAAACCTAAACATTTGCTACCTCTTTTCCCCTCAAATACATTTTATTGCTTTATTTGTCCACCCTCTGCCAGGCTGATGAGTTGGCAGATAACAGTATCGATCATTCACTAAAGCTGAATTCATCTACCAGTGTGAACGCGTACACCGGGGTTTCCATGGTCACTTGGATGTCATTTTTATTTTAAAATCCATTTTGCACTTTTACGCACTGTGCGCCAAACGGGGACCGCACGTACACGGCGCGTCTGGTAGATTTTCTATACTGAAGCTCTCACGCATGTGCGTTGAGTTGGCTGTGAAGTCACCAGTCTGTTGCTCTCAGCCGCATCACTTCATCCTGGGTGTGTTCTGCTTTGTCTCCAACACTGACTCTCTGTGTGTCCGCTGGTGTTTAAGCAGAGCGTCCTCCGCTGCTTTTTAAACACTTCACTCGCCGGTTATCGCGAGCTTTTTCTTCATGCTCACTGCGCGTTTGTCACGTAAAGGCCTCGAAGCCTGGGCAAGGGTTGCTTACAGGACTCTAGTATTGAGGCAGCAGCCACGCCTCGCTGGCCCACTGCCACCCTGAGGCCTGGAGGCCCCCGGGAGCCACACAGGCAAGCTGGTGAGCCACCTGAGGCTACACCCACTGGGATAAAACGGAAACATTTCACTTGTTGACAAACTATGATCGTAACTCAGTTTTCATGAAATGTAACAATAAGAGTGGAGTCTGACTTGTTTAAACGTGATAAATATAAAAAACAAAAACTAAACAAGTGCAGCTGGACTCTCTCCCAGCATCAGCTGAGTGGTAGGAACAACTTTTGGCCAAATGATGCGTTATAATTTCCCAGTGCTGTGAGAGTTGTTTTCCTGGCCCTCCTGTTTCCACGCTGCACGTGGAACCTCTGGCGTCCCAGAGTGAGTCAATCAGCTGTGGATTGATTACAGTGGGAGAGGCTCGTTGGTGCGATCGATGGGATCGACTGTCTCAGACAGAGCTGGGTTTGTTTGTAAAGTCGTCGTGGCTCTGTGAAGGAGCTGTGGTGTTGTGCTTTTCGACACCTTGTTTAGAGAAACACTTTGCAGGAAATTTAACACACACACACACATGGCTGCACCAACACCTCCTAATCACTTTGCCTGAGGTCGCTGCGCCCGCTGTGTGAGCGTGTAGGCGTTCAGGCAGAGAAGAAGGTTGTTTGTCGGTGCATTAACAGTCTCTCCCACTGAGCAGCAGTGCATGCTGAAGCCTGATGACATTCCTGCATTAAGCTTTTAGTTGGATATTTTTGATTTAAGTTTTAATAGTCACGGACATCCAAAGAAGCCTGCTCTTGTGGTAGTAGAAGCAATTTGATGAACAACTTAGCCTAAAACGGAAAGCTACAGATGGTGTGAAGTGTTTGTGCTCAGCACTGAGGGTTAAAGCTCTATCTGTACCCTCGCTCCTGTGCTCTGTTTGATTTGACCGAGATATACACTTCTAACTCTCAGTTCCTGCTTTTTTTTTTTAACGGCTTGTTAAGTCTGCACCAAAGACCCAAACAGGTTTTCAGGCCACTAAAGGATCTGGCCTCTCAGGTCAGTGTGGTTTAATGTTTTTAGCCAGAAAGTGAGCGCTCTGGCCGACCAGGTGGTGTGACAGTGGCCCAAGACAACACCTTTTTAAAAAAACAAATAAATAAACAGAGTGGTTTTCTCCCGCACAACAACTCTAAAAGGTGTTTTTATCGTCTCTTCAGCTGCTCTTGCACGTTAACATCGTTGTTAAGCCAGCTCCTGTTTAGCACAGGCCTCATGCTTGGGATCATTTCCCTACTGGAAACCAAATCTTCTTCCAAGGGGCAAGTTTCTTGCCGCCTGCATCAAGGCTTTCCTCCTGGGTTTCTCTGTATTCGTTCCTCCTCAACCCTCAACGGCCTTCCAGAGCCTGCCGCAGAGAAGCATGATGCTACTTCACAGTGGGGGGAAGGAATGTTTAATGTTTGGTTTAGGCCTACACCAAAAAGGGTGTTTAATCTGAGGGCCAAGAAGCTCAGTTGTGGTTTCATCAGGCCATAAAATCTTTAAATCTTTTAAGAGTCTTTCTCTTTGTCACTCTCCCATAAAGCTGCAACAAGTGAAGCACCAAGATAACTGTTGCCGTGTCTCTAATCTTTTATTTCAAATAGGCCTACGTCAACAATTATCGATACATGAGTCTTGAAATCTCCCACGTCTGCATCGGAAACGACGCTACGTGGGACCTCCACACCACGATGGAGAAGCTCTGTGTGAAGTATTGTACGTTCTTTATTTGAACTGAGTACAGCCTTTTACAACTGCTAATGTATCTGGTTGGAAGTTGTCCCAGCTGAGAAGTCCATGTGTGAATCACATGAAAGCCATTACTGAAAACTGTGGGCTCTAATGTGGAAGATGGACAAAGGAGGAGGTCAGGTCACAAATTGAGAGCGCGAGATTTGTTATCAGATCAAGAATCTGCTTGTTCTAGGTCCAAGTTGGAAAGTACCTACGTGGAAAAAGAAATCATTGCGTACCGCCCTGCTGAAGAGTCAGAGTTAATATGGAGTCTCAGTCAGAATCGTAGCCTGGAAAAATGACTGTTCCTGTCTTCTGAGGTGTGTGTTTGAGGGAGACGGAGAGAAGGGGGTGTAGAGTTGATGATCTGGTTGCTGTGACGACTACCCCCCTCCTGTCTTTTCTCACCCCGGCCTCCCATTCATCCCCATTGTAGTAGTTAAGCTCGGTTGCCCTTGGAGATCGCAGGGGACAGTTGGGGAATGTGGCGTCCGGGCGAGTATGCATCACACATGATCCCACAACGCGGGACGAAAAAAAACTGTAGATAAACCAGCATGTGGAAAACAAAATGTTGTCTTTATTTATGTAAATGAGTTGCGTGCGTGGTCTCTGAGGTCAGACGAGTTTCCGCTTTGGTTGAATCGTTCATGCATGAAAGTGGAACGTTTTAGAGCTGCTCTGATGTCCTGCGTCCACTCCTGCATGTCGTGCGCACACCGGAGACTTGTAGCCCAGAATAGACGGCGGCCTTTATTGGGCTGAGAACACACTCGGGGCCAAATCATTGGAGTTTGCTCATAAAAACTCCCTCGAAGCGTAAGAATGGGCCCAGCCGTGTCCTGTGTGACTGAGAGCGCACACGCAGACACTCCACACACCTCCGAGTGCACAACATTTTAACAATACTGTCTCTCTTGTTGCTGTTACTCAGTGTGTTTCCATCCGAGAAACTTGAATTCCTGTCTGGTATGACAAATTATCTTTCGCCTTTCCCTCACTGTGTTCATTTCTCTTTCTGCCTCCCTTCTGTTCACGCTCCTCTCTCCACTTTCTCGCCCTCTCACACCGCGTTTTCCTGTTTCAAACTCACCATTTCTAACATTCATCTTCTTCTCTCGCTCACCCCACCTTCCTCCTCCCCCACCCAATCCTCCCCTCTTTTGCCAGACCTCCAAGATAGATTCCCTCAGGAGTAAAGTGGACTTGCTGCGCCTCCCTCTGGCCCTTTCCTCCAAGTCCATCAGCCATCACAAGAGCCAGCTGGGCGTGGTCTGGGAGAAAGGCGGCGGCGGCTCGGGGGCAGGAGTGGCCCGGAAACCCCGCCCACCGCTGACCTCCGACATGGACAACGAGTCGACGTACTCTGGCTACTCCTACAAGTCGTCCCACTCACGAAGCTCCCGCAAACACAGGTGGAGGATCACAGGTTGCAAGATGGGCTGGGACTGGGATGTTTTTTTCGTTATCAGTTAATTGACTGATTTTTTTGTTGTCGGTTAATCATTTAGTGTTTAAAATGTCAGAAAATGGTTTTAAAAAATTACATGTTTTAATTTTCAAGTTAATATTGCTTGTTTAATCTGACAAACTGTCACTCAAATTACTTTTATATAGGACAAAAAAACAGCCAATATTTACATTTGGGAAGCTGGAGCAAGTGCATTTTGGCACTTCGACTTATCAAATTAGCAATTAATCAAATAGCTGCTGATTAAAATTGTCATTCCATTGCTTGTTGTTTCAACTGTAATTGTGAGTGTATATTGTATATTTTTGCCATATTATATCTATTTTAGCAATAAACTAGAGCTGAACTATTTGACACTACAAGTTAAATTTTTATTATTCAACAGTTATTTTTCAAGCAAAAATGCCCAAGTTTCTATGAGGTTTTGTAATTTTCTTTGATAGTAATGTCTTGGGCTTTAGACATAAATACCTTGAAGTCAAAATAGGCAGAGAATAATTTGGAAGATACTAAATGGTAATCCCATAAACATTTACACATAGTGGCTTTAAATGCTCAAATAAAAAACAGTAAAAGGAAAAAAAAAGACAACTGATAAAATAAAAAATACAATAACACATTTACAATATATATCCTTTAAATAATGCCCATTGTTTAATCTTCTCCGGTTTATATTATATAAACAGACATTTGTTTTAGCTCAAGATCAAATAATCCTCTCAATGACTAGAGAATTATGTAAAGCCTGCCAGGACAGGAAGTTTGAATTAATTATTGTCTATCCTTGGATAATAAACCATCTCTGACGCTTCTTCTTTTTCTCCAGGGAGAGGAGGGACAGGCATCGCTCGAAGACTCGCGACATCAACATCCGTGGAGACAAATCGGTGACCATCCAGGCTCCTGGAGAGCTGCTGCTGGACGCAGAGTCCACCAGAGGAGACGACCGGGTCAGAGTTTACTCTTATACATTACATCGTTCCTCTTAAGCTCCGCTGTGCCTTGTGTCACCAACACTCCTCTCTCTGGTCTCCTCTCTCTTCAGGATGACAACTGGGGCGAGACCACCACGGTGGTCACCGGCACCTCCGTGGACAGCATCTCCAACGAGGACCTGACACGGGTCTCTAAGGACCTTGAGGACTCTTCGCCGCTCGAGTGCCGCCGTTACTTTGGCCCAGCGTTGGGCGCTGTCCTGGGGTTCTTTGCTCTGGTCACCCCTCTGGCCTTCTTGGCCCTCCCACAGCTCCTGTGGCGGGATACGCTGGAACCTTGCGGCACGCCATGTGAGGGCCTTTACATTTCTCTGGCCTTCAAGCTCCTGATCCTCCTCATCTCCACCTGGGCGCTGTTTCTCCGCCCGCCCAGAGCCACCCTGCCGCGCTTCTTCATATTCCGCTGTCTGCTGCTGGCGTTGGTCTTTCTCTTTGTGGCTTCTTATTGGCTCTTCTACGGGGTGCGGGTGCTGGAGCCCAGGGAGACGGACTACAGGGGGATCGTTGGATACGCAGCATCTCTGGTGGACGCTCTGCTGTTCATTCAGTACCTGGCCCTGGTGCTGCTGGAGGTCAGACATCTGCAGCCTGCTTTCAGTCTGAAGGTTGTGAGGACCACAGACGGAACTAGTCGCTTCTACAACGTGGGTTATCTCAGGTTGGTATATGTGGAATATCAGGGATATTATTTGTTTCTTTTATTTTAAAATGTTTTTGTAAACTTTGTTTTAATTAAGATTTTTAACTTAAATTTTTTTTAAATATTTATAATATTGTATTTTTCTAAATGAGATTTCAACCATAGTCACCATCAAGAGGGTTATCTTTGCCGTCCTGTTTGTTTGTGTGTTTATTAGCAGGATATCTCAAAAGTTACACAACATATTTTAGCAAAACCTGACGTGAATGGGCCCAGGAAGAACTGATTAGCTTTTGTTGTGGATAGCAACGGCATGTGGCTGTTTATAAACCCACAAACTGTTTCCCTCTTAACACTAAAGGCAAAAATATTTGTCTTCTGGATTCTTTGGTTCAAGATGATTTTAAGTCACATCCACCTACACAAATTTCTACAACCTTTTTAGCAGCACCTGCTTTCCCTTCCCCTGCCAAAATTATAATTTTATCTTTACCAAATTTGTTACATAAACTATTGAACCCCACAAAAATTCTTCATTTGTTTTTTAAAGTATAACGGATCCAAAGCACCTCTTCTTTCCCCTCGATGCACCAATCACAGCTAAGCATGAATGCAAACAGCCCAAGTCTTCCTTCCACTACCACTGGCTACCAGGTTGCCTTCACAAAATACTAAATTCTGCTTATTACAAAGACACAAAGGATGTGTGAACACTTGGTATTCTGATCACATGGACGGTGTTGTTTTCCGCCCTTTCTATCCATCTCATTTTCTTGATGTGGGGCTTCATATTCCTACAGTACAGCAGATACATTTTTCTCATGCATGCAGCCCACTGGGAGTGGCTTATTTTGCCTCTGGTGGTTCACCACTTCCTTGTCTGCATGTTAATATTGCCCATGAAGCTGCCAGGTTGTCATTGCTGATAATACACCATCTTCCTCTTTTGTTGTGCAACGCAGTATTCAGCGGGCAGCGGTGTGGGTTCTGGACCAGTACTACAGTGACTTCCCGGTCTATAACCCTGCCCTTCTCAACCTGCCCAAGTCCATCCTCTCCAAGAAGATGTCTGCCTTCAAGATCTACAACCTGGGGGAAGGTATAATTATCTTGTGTACACTGTTTTTTAACCTTTTTGTCTGCATCAGAGAATTTTCTATCGTGTATATTTTAAATACACTAAACGGATGGAAAGCAAACACTAACTCGAACATGACACGTAGTACGTTGCCTACGCCAACAATAAGATAAAAATACCTGACAAAAATGAACAAATAGGTATGTTAATTCCCCAAACCATAAGCAGAATAAAGATGCCTATACTTTGCAGACATGGTGTTCTGAATTTCTCTTCCTGCCAATTAGATGATTGGGTCATCTTTAATTTCATTGTCTCTGTCTACAGAGAACAGCACCAATAACTCTACGGGGCAGTCCACAACAATGGTCGCAGCCGCTGCTTGCAGACGAGACAACTCCCACAACGAGTACTACTACGAGGAGGCAGAGGTGGAGCGCAGGGTCCGCAAACGCAAGGCCAGGTGAGGACATACCGACACAAATGCAATAAGTTAAACATGCATGCATGGACATATAAAGAGTCAGTTGAGCAAAGAGGTAGCAAAGGGTTGTCTAATAAAATGACAACCAAGTATCAAATGAAAACACAGGTTAAAGTTGATGTTAACTTTGTCTATTTACACATCCAGCAGTTGCGGGCCAAGATTTGCATTCATTGGGAGTTTTTGTCCCGATAGTCACTCTCCTTGTAGCTCTGTTTTAGCCTCTATGACCGCTTAGGGAAATATCTGCTGATTTAGCTGATTTGGTCTGCTGTTTGGTGCTGGGCAGGTAGCATACACTGGGTTTATCAGAGCGTTCTTGCTCAAACAGCTTCTTGGCGAGAGGATAAACCAAAACAGTAAAGTTGCAGATTGTAAAAATAAAAGCAAGCAAAAGTGAAACCTTTTTTCACATGAACTGACCCTTTGAAAATCTAAAAATATTGATCAGGGCAGCTTTAAATCTACATTATTGTCTCACTCCCTCTCCTGTTTCTCCTTCTTTTAGACTGGTGGTGGCAGTAGAAGAAGCCTTCACCCACATCAAGCGGCACCAGGATGACGAGGCTGCCGCATCCTCCCCCAAACACCCGCGGGAGGTGATGGACCCCAGGGAGGCAGCCCAGGCCATCTTTGCCCCCATGGCGCGGGCCATGCAGAAGTACCTCCGCGCCACCAGGCAGCAGTCCTACCACAGCATGGAGAGCATCATCAACCACCTGCAGTTCTGCATCACGCACAACATGACCCCCAAGGTAAGGAAGGCTGTTTGAAGGTATTTTTATTTCATTTATGTACCGTAGTTCTGCATGTTTAACTTATGGTCTTTTTTTTTTTTTTTAGATTTAATTGGTTTTCTATTTCTTTTATTTGGAATGTAAAATTATTAAAGACACATTTTATCTTTAGATTATGTATCAACCACATCAACACATCATGTGTGTGTGTGTGTGTGTGTGTGTGTGTGTGTCAGGCCTTCCTTGAGCGTTACCTCAGCCCTGGCCCCACCCTCCAGTACCTGGACAACAGCAGGGGGCGCCAGTGGACACTAGTGAGTGAGGAGCCAGTGACCGCTGCTCTGCGTCAAGGCCAGGTCTTCTCCTTGAGACGCCTCGACTTCTCCCTGGTCATCACGGTGACGCCGCTCCCCTTCCTGCGCGTGGGCGAGGAGTTCATTGACCCCAAAAGCCACAAGTTTGTCATGAAGCTCCAGTCAGAGACGTCCGTGTAGGAGGAGGGGGCAGGGGATTACTAATGGCCGGCAGGAAGGCGGTAGATGGTGAATCAAAGATACTAATCTTAGTGCTTTCAGGGTATCTTTTTATACCTTTTGGTATTACATAGTTGTTTTCATGTTTGTTTGTATGTTGTTGATGAAAACCCAAATGATATGGCAAAAATGACCTACGGGAAATAATGCAGAGCAATAGAAATACCCTGTCTCAAATAGTTCCTCTTTTCGTTCTCATGTTTGACACTTTCCTCTAAGTGCTGACTGTTAACTTCTGATAATTGGCTGCAGACTGCTTCCAGTTCTCAGAATACTGAAGAATCAGCACAGTTTTTTAAAGAAGTATTACACTACGCATGTACTGGAATACGTCTGGACTGTCTGTGGTAAATATTCATGTCCACTAGTCTGCAAGAACGCCGCACAGTTGATCATTTGTATACATCACACATGAGAGGTTTCGTTGCTCGCTCTTTGTCAGAGCTTATCTTACTTGTCTTTCCCCTTTTATTTGAACTTCTTCTTTGCTGCTGAATGTGGCCTTTACAGGCTATAAATGGACAAAAGCAGATATTGAAACAATGAACTACATGGCCTTGTTCAGACAGCCCAAAGTTTTGGCCTATCCAGATTGGTTTTATGTCTCAACAGCAAAAAAACACATGAAATTATCTTTTTGCAAATCGTATACAAGCTACATTTGGAGGTGGTTTGAAATGGGATTCCAATCAGATTTCTATCAGTTCAGGTCTTTTGCGACACAACACAGCACACAATGGCGACATAAAATCCAAAGCGTCAGAAGCGCATCAGTGTGGCTGCGCAGAATCCAAGCTGCATCACTGAGTTTGTCTGGCATGACGGGGGAGTTGCCATGACAGCACCACTGTTTGGAGGGGGAGATGATGGAACTCCATTTTTCATGGTGCAACTCATGCAGATAGCTCGGTGATGTCTGGACACACAAATCCGATCAGACTGTCCGCACAGTCTGTCTTAAAGACCTGATTTGAGTCTGAACGAAGCCTAAAAGATCCCCTGGCCTTCTCTCACCTTTTGAACGTTGGCTGGATTCTCGCTGTCTGAATCAAAGGGGATGAAACTGTTTTTTTTAAACTTGCTCTATTTTTGTTTCCACTGAATAGTTTACTGAGACTTTCTACTGAAAGTAAGAAGTAAGAAACACTGTATGGACTAGATGCACTGGGAATTTCATAACTCTGTTAAGGTTTTGTTGAATCACTTCTCTTTTCTGGAGAACCTACAGAGATGTATTTTTATGGTTACTACTCACTGCACTGACAACAAAATAGAACTTTCTAAGCACAATGTAAGACCAGTTTTGTGCAGTAACACTGATAGCAGATGTTTTCAGCCCTACAAATGAGGTTTGAATTGGACTTAATGAGCTCCAGTAACTTCAGCCAAGTACCACCAATGTGCTTCTTTTTGGCAGCTTGATGTTAATTACTGTCTTTGATATTTTGCAACATGTGTGAATTTGTGTGTGTGTTTGGTGAAGCATGGCTGGATCATTAACTGGAAAAAGAGGCTTTATAAAATCAGAATACTTGCCCTTTAATTTGTTTAGTTTATATTGAGCTTGGATATATTCCTTTGTTTTATCGAATAGCTTCAAGGTAACTGACACACAGAAACAGTCCAAAATCCATAGACATTCAGTTTATTATCATGAATAGATACTTTTTTGTTTTGTGCTTAAAAAAAGACTTAATTCACCAATCACAATAGCTAAATAACTGATTTATAGACTAATCGCTCCACTTCTAGAGTACTAGTTGGTGTCTAAAGAAATAATGAAGCTGCCGTATACTGAGGATGTTCATCCTGGTTAGTCCAGCCATGGGTTGATAGATGTGCTCATGTTGTCTTTTTTTTCATTCAAAGATGTCCTTTTTACACTACAGATAGAGATTATTGTGCCACTCACAAGCAGTTTACATGTACATTTCAATGCAGTTTTCTAAGGTTGTATTTTTCCTGTTTTGCAATGGATCCCTTCGTTGTATTCAATCTACGTTCCTAACACTTGTCTCTGAAGAACTTTGTCTTTAAAAACAAGTTTGTTATTTTTACACTGTCTTTTTAGGGCTGAGTTGATGTGAACATTTTTAATAAATGATCTCATCCCATGTGTAAGTCACAAGTGGTCTCGAGTTTTTCAAGAAGTGATACTTAAGTGTGGGAGTATGAAAAGCTTGAAGCATAAAAATTTCCATTCTTTTATAGACATGTAGGCTATTGTACAACACCTATAGCACCTGGAAACCACCAAACAAAAGAAGAAGAAAAAAAAGCTAACTATAGTCTGTAATGGTGGAGTATGTGCACTACACAATAGAAATAACTACTCAGTCTGTTCAGACATGTAGGAAATAATGTACACTGATGTATCGGGAGTTTGCCCAAAAATTACCATCAGGATAATGTTATAAGGAGTTTGTCATATTTTTAATTATTAGGGGTTCATGAAACACGTGGTTGGTGTCACTATGACAAACAGGAAGTGTTAAGGAGTTCTTTCTCAAAATAAAGACTCCATGATTGTTCCTCAGTGCGTGGTAACTCGGGAATGATGAGACTCCTGCTCCTTCCATTCCTCCAAGGTAGGTCCAGTTTTCATCTGCCGAAAATACAATTGAACAGGAAATGTGCCCCTTTCAAAAACTTTTAAATGTATAAAAGGACTTTTGGGATCAATCCGTAGATCCCCCTCTGCGGATTGAGCTGTTTATGTCTGTTTGTGGTTCACTTCATGGAAAATCGTGAAGTTGTAAAAAAAAAAAAAAAAAAAAGACGAGGACAGCTCGGGTTTCAGCGGAACAGTAATCCTCATCATCAACAACGTCATCACGCAGCCAATCGGGTTCTCTGACGTAAATGAGCCAATCGGAGAAAGTTTCCCATATATTTTTTTACACATATCTTTTCTGTGCTTTGTTGATCAGCAACAAGGAGCATAACAACGCAGAGGAACAGAGTTTTTAAGATCCTTTTACTACTTTATAAGTCACCTAATGGTATTGGTCCAGAATACTTAATACAACTTAATACTAATACTTCTATTAATAGGACATATTACAATATATTTTTGTGTTGTAGTCATGCACACCAATCTTATGCAAATGTTACGTTTCAGTGTTTCATCATATCCCTAATCTGACCCCCTAAATGGATCGGCCAAAAATGCCAGGTCTGATTTTTTGTCCCAGTCCAGCCCTGTTTGGGAGGGATTGATGTTTTTTTCAGGTGCTTATTTTTGGTTGGACATGGGCATTATATCGGGTGGTACTATTACATTACTGTGGTTTTTAAACCACAGTAACACTTTGTGTTACATGTATTTGAATGAAAAGTGCGATATAAATAAAGATTGATTGATTGATACAGTAGGCCACAAAGTTTCCATTGCCAAGAGTAGACTGATATGGCAAAATATAGTAAACTTATTCTAACATAAAATTATGCATCTTAAATTTAAAAGATATATGGCTGAGAGTTGTGTGTCTGTGTCTTCAGAGCTTCTGTTGTCCATATATTGTGTATAAGGTATTCACCATGAAGGGTAATTATGTTGAGTAAACCAAAAAGCAACAGGTGTTCTCAAAATTCTTCCTGGGACAATGTTTAGATGGGTAATCTGGAATATATATATATATTTTTAATGAAATCTCTTTGACTTTAGTTCCAGCTGGTAGCACAGAGACAATGGTTATTTTTGCTCAGGAAGGATGTAACTGAGTGAAATGACCCTGAAGTGTTTAAGTGGCAGCCAGACAAGAACTAGACAAATTCTCTAAAAGCTAAGGAAAGGGGCTTCAGTGCTTCCTTTCCTACCTCCTTTAGCATAGGGTACACTGGACCGTCCCTTAGGAAAGGAAAGGCAGCACCATTTATTTAGTTTCAACAATTCAATCCTATTTGTTTATTTTTAACAACCATCTATAGTATATTGTTGTTACTTCCTAGAGTTATTGGTTAAATGTACCCTGTGTATACACTGATAACATCTTTTCTTAAGAGATGTGATTCTGTGTTGGAGAGGGAACCTTACTTTTCTCTAAAGCATTGAGTTTCTCACTGTATCGTGCATGTGTTTTAAATAAAGTTTGTTTTGAAAAGTAAGCCTAGAATAAGTGCAGTCAGATCTTTCCTTGACCTTGTGACGTTTTCCATTGAGGTCAAGGAGAAAGCATACTTATCAGCTGGTTCAGGGGATGGGACGGTATTAGCCTCTCATGAGTACACCAGGTGGAATAGCCCCATACAGCAGCAAAATATTTTACAGTGACTGGAATGTTATAGACAAGAAGTCTTGATCATTCAAAAGCTGACTTACCAAAAACATGTTATTACTGAACCAGTATTTAAAAAATATGGATTTATTCTTATATAAATCATCTTTTAATGTCCATATAATCGTGTCGTCCATCCACAATGGCATCTCTCGAAGCAGTTCTACAGTACAACGCCAATTTTGAGACGTCACCTTTGCTACCCTATTTTCTTTTTGACGTTGTCAAAAAAAGCCTTTAAACTTCTTGAAGTTAAAAACAAAAATATGTTGAAAGAACTGAAATTGTTGACCACCTTTCTTTAAAATGTCACCAAAGGTCAGCTTTTTTGAGGGAAGTGCTGTTTTTCTTTTGTGTCTTACTGTTGAAAATATGAGAGACTGATAATGCTGAAACTTTTTTAAAATTGTGTTTACAGTGGCACTAGTTCAATCCCTCAGCGAAGTCTCAGGTTATGTTGGGGAAAACATTACCTTAACGTCAGGAGTCGACCCATCATGGGAACTTGCTACAATTGACTGGTCAGTATTCCCAAACAACACTTGGATTGCCACCTATCGCAGTGGGAAGGCAAATATTGAACGACTCCATCGGTACACAGGGAGACTCAGTCTCAACATCTCCTCAGGTAAATGACAAATCTGTTTTAGTGGAAGTGTAAAGGAATGTATTATTTTAATTCTCTCTTGAAAGTGTCTCTTCAATGTTTTTTCTTATTCATTAGGTGACTTGACGATTTATAATTTGACCCCAGAGGATGCCATGGAATACACTGTAGACCTCTTAAACTCTAAAGCACAGGACAAAGTAAACAAGATCAAGCTGACAGTGAGACGTAAGTACTAGCGTTCAACAGGAAGTTAAATGTTGATACAGGGAAGTTTTTATTTTCACACAGCTTGACTTACTGTCTGAGTGAATTGCCCTTAACAAAATGAGTGTGACTTTATTGTTTCTGTCTTATCTTTAATATTTTCCTTACATATTTGTTGGCATACAGACTTTTCTCACTAAGTTCAGCTTGATGCTAACAAGTATCTTGCTACTGGTTAGTGTCTCAAGTCAAATGTTGCTACTGTTTGGAAATTTTGTCGAGAACAAATCGTCATGACTAATCAACAGCTCTAATCATCAGCCTCTGCAGAACACCTCCAGAGACCAACCATACAGACTGTCACCAGTACATCTGCAGAAGGAGGCTGTTGGATCGGCCTGCATTGTTCCTCAACAGATCAAGGTGTTGGCTTCGCCTGGCAGATTAATCCTCCCAGTGTGACTGTTTTCAGAATGAGTAATCCTGATGGAAACTCTGCAGCTCTTTTAGCATTTCTCAACACCACACAGAACCCAGTCCAATTCACCTGCACCTCCAGCAGGCAGATGGAGAGCACCTCAAGTGTCGTCACTCATAACTGTGATGGTAAGTTCAAAATGATCTTAAAGGAAAAAACACAATATTGTAACAAATGATAACATGATGAACTTCTTCCCAGTTCATGGTTTTAATTTTAAATATTTCCTCCTAATTATGTTGTTGTCTCTTCTACGCTGTTTCAGATGACAAGCCTCAGCCTCCTGAACCTAAGCTACTTCCTCAGCTCAGATGTAGATATGTTTTGGTTTTTTTCATAGGATGCTTTCTGGGAATTTCACTTACAGCAATTACTTTTTACATTTTTAAAGGTAAGAGGAGACAATCAACACTGTAGGAAAAAATCTTTGTCGTTCTTACTCCAAACACATGTCTCGCCTGAGCTTATTATATTATTTGTTCTGGTGAAGCATCAGAATCTACGGAGCTCCTGAGGGGACATGGGCAAAAACAAAAGACAAAGTAAAGTAGGCTCTTTCTGTCTCCCTCTCTCTTTATGAGTTTTTCCATCAGCAGTACGTTTCTTAAAGTCGCTGCGTTTAATTTTCTCAACTGCGATTCCATTTTCAAGTGCGCTGCATGTGGATTGTGGTATCCAATATTTGTGCATTTGACTTATAACAGTTCAAAATAGCACTGTAGCAGCAGGACAGAGGGTCAGTGACCTTCTACGGGGAGAGCAGTGATTGGTGGTTATGTAGGGACTGAACCCTTCTATAGACCTCTAACCCCTTGTTTTGTTACCTTGTTGAAGTTCAATGTTGATACAGGGAAGTTATTATTTTCAAACAGCTTGACTTACTGTCCTTCTGAGTGAATTGCCCTTAATAAAATGAGTGTGACTTTATTGTTTCTCTCTTATCTTTAATATTTTCCTTACTTGCAACATAAAATCTTATTATACTGTACAATTCAAAAAATATCTCAATTGTGCCATCGGGAAATTGTGTTTCCCAGAATCCCGTTGCCATTTCAGATTTGGATGACTGACAGTAACTTTAATATACTTTTTTGGAGGTGAGGGGTCATCGTTGTAGGACAATTCTTTTGTGTCCTATTTACCCCCAAAGTCGGCTCACAATCTCAGCTGAGCTTGCTCAGAGTAGCCCAGTCACAGAGCATTACCATTTTCATATCTTTATTTGTTATTATGTCATTTATTCTGGTAAAGAGTCAGCATCAAACACTGCTTCCAGAGTAAGTGATGTGTTGGTAGTGAGGAGTCGACTATATGAGCTTGGCTCTCCTCTGATTGCCAATTTCTCCCCGCACCCCTCTGCTCCTCTCAGAAAAAGAAATACATGACAAGGATCAAATTACACTTTTTTCGTTTCATATTACATCAAACAATTGAATTGAAGTATACTGTATGTCTGTACAGAGATGTATAACTAACCACATTATTTCCATCCATCCATCCATCGTCAACTGCTTATCCTGTGTACAGGGTCGCAGTGCCACATTATTTCATAGGATGTTATTGTTGTTATCAACTAAGATAGTTATTCATGACATATCCCACTTTTTAACCATTAATATGACACAATATTTCAGTGTACTGCAGATAAAGACTCTTGAATATTTATTTATTTCTTGCAACAAAGCAGAATGTAACTTAGTGTCCTGCAGAAGTGGTAAATGAAGAGCCTTTTGGGAGCCGAAGGAGCCGGCTCTCGGAAAGAAACGAAGCCATAAGATCCGGCTCCCTTCAAAGGGACGTTATTCCCTTTGCTATTCTAGAGTACTAGTTGGTGTCTGGAGAAAAAATGAACCTGCATATATTGGGGATATCTGGGGTCAACAGGGCCACCCAACAGGTTAATCTGTCCGCATGTGTTGATACGTGTGCACATGTGTGTGTCTTTCCTTACTATGATATGTCCTTTGTACACTACAGATAGAAACTGTCATGTCACTCAGGGGAATGGCAGACATCTGTATGGTTGTAAGTGATCACCTGCAGCTGGTTAATTATTAAGTGAATCCAGCTTAGACACAGCAGGGAAGCTGTAACTTCCACATGCACATTTTGATGTAGTTTTACAAGGTTGTTTGTTTTCCTGTTTTCGATGGATCTCTTTGTTGTGCTCAAGCTAACATTTGTCTCTTGAGAACTTTTCTTTCAAAGCAAACTAATTATATTTACACTGTTTTTAGGAATAAGTTTCAATTTCAATAAATAATTTCATCTAAAGTTATTTGTCTCATTTGAGTCACAAGTATAGACTGTAGGTCACAAGTCACAAGGAGTTTAACATTTTGTAGTTTGGACAGGAAGCACTTAAGTGTGGGAGTATATGGCGTGTGATGCATGATGAGTAAAAAAAAACAACAACCCAGGATCTTATGTATTATTTAACTACTAATAACTGCAACAACTGGAATCCACCAAATTTAAGAAATATCCCATGAATAGGACAACGTATGAACACAATACAACAGAAAAGGAACTATTCAGTCTGTTCACACATGCTTGAAAGAATTTACACTGATTGGGAATTTACCCCAAAAAGTTCCACTAAGATTTTTTGTTTTTAGAGGCTGATAAATGTGATGACCAACTTTATTTAGGAAACTTGTGAGAAAATATTTCAAAAGATTAAAAAAGTATATAGTGTATAAAGTATCTTTTCATATTTTGAAATACTGGGTTGTCATGCAGCACGTGGTTAGTTGCTAAAGAGGAAGTCCTGTGTTCTTTCTCTACGCTGACTGAACGTTTCTGCTGTTATACAGTCTATGGTTGTAACTCGGCAAAGATGAGAATTGAAATCATCCTCATATTATTCCTTGAAGGTAGGTCCTGTTATATTTGCTGAAAATGTCATTGAGCAGGAGCTGATGAGCCAAACTTTAAAAAACCTATAGTTAAATATTTAAAATGACAATTCAGAAGTAATTTCCTCACTTCAAGAGCGAATAGATTAGGGGACTCTCATTATTAGAATTAAAAAGCGAAATACATGACTAAATACTGGCTCAACTGTTCTTCTATCACTGATCCACTGAAATGTCTATCTCAGCTTAGATTCGATTTCAAAAAGAATGTAAGTATATTCATATTTCTGTGCATTCATGCACAAACAAAAGAAAGCAGGAAGTATGTATTTAGCATTTGAAGGAGCGTGGTTATCATCAGTGGTTATCATCAGTCCCTCGATGGACAAAACACCACAAGTATATCAGTCATCTCAAAATGTGTGGATATACACATTATTATTGTCATTATTATTATATCCTGTATTCACATGTTCTACCCTATCCTGCAAAATGTCTAATATATTTATATAACTATTGGACTAACTACATGGATTGCCATGAAAGTTTTTACAGACACCATGTGGTTGACATGCTTCAGAGTAAAATATCTATTGGATGGATTGTCAGTGGAATATACTGCAGATATCAGGGTCCCCTGAGGATGAATATTAATGAGTTTAGTGATCTTCAGACATTTCCTTTAGTGCCACTAGCAGGTAAAAGTTTTCACTCATGTGAAATATCTCAAATACTTTATGGATTGTCAGCATTTATTTTTATAAATTTGTGGTTCACAGATGATGTTTCTAATGACTGATCTACTGACTTTGCATCTTGCACCACCATGGAAACCCTAAATTAAGAAAGAGAACATGGTGAACATTATACCTGCTAAACATCAACATGCTAACATTATCATGTGAGCAACAGCATTCATAGAGCTGTTATGGCTGTAGAGACTTATTTACAAACTTAAAAATGAATGATTTATGTCTAAGGAAAGGGAATGGTACATTATTTAGAAGTTAAATGAGGGGGGGCTGGAGCCACTTCCAGCTGGAATAGGGTGAGAGTCGGGGTACGCCCTGGACAGGTCGCCAGTCAGTCACAGGGCACATAGAAACAAACAACCACTCTCATTCACAAAGTGCTTTTTTAAAATTGTGTTTACAGTGACACTAGTTCAATCCCTCAGCGAAGTCTCAGGGTATGTTGGGGAAAATGTTACCTTACCATCAGGAGCTGACCCATCATGGCAACTTGCTACAATTGACTGGTCAGTATTCCCAAACAACACTTGGATTGCCACCTATCGCAGCGGGAAGGAAAATATTGAACGACTCCATCAGTACACAGGGAGACTCAGTCTCAACATCTCCTCAGGTAAATGACAAATCTGTTTTAGTGGAAGTGTAAAGGAATGTATTATTTTAATTCTCTCTTGAAAGTGTCTCTTCAATGTTTTTTCTTATTCATTAGGTGACTTGACGATTTATAATTTGACCCCAGAGGATGCCATGGAATACACTGTAGACCTCTTAAACTCTAAAGCACAGGACAAAGTAAACAAGATCAAGCTGACAGTGAGACGTAAGTACTAGCGTTCAACAGGAAGTTAAATGTTGATACAGGGAAGTTTTTATTTTCACACAGCTTGACTTACTGTCTGAGTGAATTGCCCTTAACAAAATGAGTGTGACTTTATTGTTTCTGTCTTATCTTTAATATTTTCCTTACATATTTGTTGGCATACAGACTTTTCTCACTAAGTTCAGCTTGATGCTAACAAGTATCTTGCTACTGGTTAGTGTCTCAAGTCAAATGTTGCTACTGTTTGGAAATTTTGTCGAGAACAAATCGTCATGACTAATCAACAGCTCTAATCATCAACCTCTGCAGAACACCTCCAGAGACCAACCATACAGACTGTCACCAGTACATCTGCAGAAGGAGGCTGTTGGATCGGCCTGCATTGTTCTTCAACAGATCAAGGTGTTGGCTTCGCCTGGCAGATTAATCCTCCCAGTGTGACTGTTTTCAGAATGAGTAATCCTGATGGAAACTCTGCAGCTCTTTTAGCATTTCTCAACACCACACATAACCCAGTCCAATTCACCTGCACCTCCAGCGGGCAGATGGAGAGCACCTCAAGTGTCGTCACTCATAACTGTGATGGTAAGTTCAAAATGATCTTAAAGGAAAAAACACAATATTGTAACAAATGATAACATGATGAACTTCTTCCCAGTTCATGGTTTTAATTTTAAATATTTCCTCCTAATTATGTTGTTGTCTCTTCTACGCTGTTTCAGATGACAAGCCTCAGCCTCCTGAACCTAAGCTACTTCCTCAGCTCAGATGTAGATATGTTTGGGTTTTTTTCATAGGATGCTTTCTGGGAATTTCACTTACAGCAATTACTTTTTACATTTTTAAAGGTAAGAGGAGACAATCAACACTGTAGGAAAAAATCTTTGTCGTTCTTACTCCAAACACATGTCTCGCCTAAGCTTATTATATTATTTGTTCTGGTGAAGCATCAGAATCTACGGAGCTCCTGAGGGGACATGGGCAAAAACAAAAGACAAAGTAAAGTAGCCTCTTTCTGTCTCCCTCTCTCTTTATGAGTTTTTCCATCAGCAGTACGTTTCTTAAAGTCGCTGCGTTTAATTTTCTCAACTGCGATTCCATTTTCAAGTGCGCTGCATGTGGATTGTGGTATCCAATATTTGTGCATTTGACTTATAACAGTTCAAAATAGCACTGTAGCAGCAGGACAGAGGGTCAGTGACCTTCTACGGGGAGAGCAGTGATTGGTGGTTATTTAACCTCAGTGGGGTCGTTGGCCCGGGTCATCGATACTGCTGGTTCGTTAGTGTTCCTTGTTGCTGTGACGACAGTTGTTACAGTCGTTGAGACTACCTGTGGCCAAGACTGAACAACCATCGTTGGTATCTTCACCTGAGGCCAATAGGTTACGTTTGTTGAGTTTCCTGGGAAGTGATGAAAGGACAGCATTGTAAGTGGGGGATAAGTGGTGGCGTAGACCCCCTCCCCTGTTCAATGACGGCTTCTCAACCCTGGTGTAGATGGCTTCCTTGACACCTCTTTCAAACCATCCATCTTCTCTGTCTAAAATGTGCACCTGGTGGTCCTCAAACGAGTGTCCTCTGTCCTTCAGATGTAAGTAGACTGCAGAGTCTTGACCTGAGGAGTTGGCCCTTCTGTGTTGAGCCATGCGTTTGTGGAGTGGTTGTTTAGTCTACTACTACTACTACTACTAATAATAATAATGTCCCGGGGGGAAATGAACCGAGCCGTCGCTCAAAAATCAAGGTCTGACCTGAATCGTGGATTTGATGAATTGTTACACCCCTGCTCATGAGCATCAGATATTATCTCGTGAGCACGAGAAGCATGGATTTTATTTTCATTGTTATTTATTTTTTTGCCCATGTCCTCTAAGGGGTTCTGTAATAATCAAAATGCTTAACTGCAACATATAATTACTTCAACTACTGTATGTTGACAACAGGCTGACAACAGGCAACAACAGAACTGGAACAACTGCTTTACAGCTTGGCATCGGTGTCGTTTCGTTTAAGATGACATATAAACACAGACTGCAACTAAACCAAAGTACTTCAGGGATGAAGGTTATTATTAATTGTCCATCACAGTTGTCTTAACAAAGGGGTTCCCTCCATCCCTTCGCCAATGTGGAGCCTGTGTGTGCTCCACCTCCCTCTGGATGACTTTCTAATGCTGCATACCTACATCAGCATCATGCACAGCTCTACCAGTGTGACTGGGAACACTCTGAAACAATGCAGGGTGGGCATCACCAAAACTGCATGTATTTCATCTATGGCCTTCCTGCAAATGACTAAGGTTTGCTGGATGACACAAAGTCAAAAACAACTCCTCTGATTTTGAATTAAACAATCTTTGAATAGAAATAAATAGCCATGAGGCTTGAACAGGTGAAAGTCTAGGTTGCGGTTTATCTTGCTTTCTGTGCACTGCTTTCTTTCCCCACAACCCCCCCCCCCCTTTTCGCACTGAGCTGCAACCCACACATACAACTTTTGTTGTGAAATTACAACTAATTATACACTAAGAATGTCTCATGAAGTGGATTTTACACTGTTACACTGACCATACAAACTGTTTGTTACTAAGTTGTAATTCTTCAGCAATTAGCAGTACATGTTTTTGTTAAATTACAGAACAAATCAGATCTGCTTGGCAATGGCTCAAAGGTAATTCATTCATATAGCCATATTCAGATTGAAACGATCACTGTTACATAAATTAATTTGTATTCTCTGTTATTTTCCAGATAAACTTGCATGCACACAATAAGCTAAAGGTAAGCACCTGTTTCTGTTTTGTCCGTTCCAAGATTTGTAGCAGTGAGTAGTTACACAATGTCATGATTTTGAGAAATGACCAAGTTTCTCTCTCCTTCCTACCCTTAGTTTGGCAACTATTAAAGACATTAAAGTTTCAAGATGCCAGAAAGACTCCACCACAAAAACATCATGTCTAAAGACAGAGGTTCTGTAGCGTTAGTATTGTCATGTAAAACTAATACAGCTATTTAACTAATTAGTATTAGTTAAATAGCATGCTCAATGTTTATTTATGAAGTGAAAGCATGTAAACATGAAAGAAATGAATGTATTTTTAGAGAATCTGAGAGTTTTGACACAATATAATGAACACACATACAATTTAATGCAAAACACCAAACAATTCCCCAAAACCTCAGGTTCAATAATCAGTGGTTTTTATTTATAAAATAACACACTTTCTACCTTCATTTGGAAAATGCTGTGGTATTTTTTCATTGTTGTAAAAAATGCTGAGAAAGATGATTCGGGAAAATATTTTATTTAGTATTTTTCTAATAAATATGTGAGCATTGTTTGATATTAAACCAACAAGTATTTGTATGTATTACTATGCATTTCAAACATGTAGGGCCTGATTTAGTAAAGGTTTGCCTGAATAAAACGTGTGCAAACTTGATATCACAAGCAAATTAGCACGTATGCTGATCTACTAGTGTGCACAGAGAATGACATCTTTCAAAAGCAAGATAGCACCTGTTGTTCATTTAGTACGTAAGAATATGCAATTTGGGGCATAACATGCAAATACATTTATTTACTACACGAAATGTGATCTACCAAGCCTAAACACAATTTCACGTGAGTGCAAAAGTCTCTGTATTTAATACGTTTGAAAGGAAGGTGCAAACCGCCAGGTGTAACATAGAGGTGGCTGTTGTTATTGTTGCCAGAAGGAGACACAACCTTAATGAAAGACAAAGTAGAGAAATTAACAGTATTAGATAATATTACTCTATAGCCAATGTATTGAAATACAATTATTTTATTTTATTTATAGGCTACTGTTGTATAAACATTCATGCCAACAAAGCAAATTTTGTTTCGACCTGACTTATTTTCTCCGAGAGACGGAAGAATTTAGTTGCGTGGCGCTGTGGAGAGCCCCCAGCTGCAGTGCATGTATCACGCGTAAAATTCATCCAGCTAGAGCGAACGATCACCAACTGCTCACAGTAATAGCGACCCAACCCATTGTAGGTATCAGAGAGTGGGACGTTGAGGCGTACAGGGCCAAGGACAGGAGATCACGGAGCGACGGTCTATGATTGTTTCCTCTGGCTGGATGAAGCACGATCTGCTGGCATTTCCTCGCGTCTGGGTCATTCTAGCATACTGTATCTGTTTCTGCTGGGGTTTTCCAAAGCAGTTTTTCCAGGTGTGCTGTCCCAAGTACTTAGTGCAATATCAGGCAGGTTGGGCAGGTACATACGATTTCCACATACTGGGGACACACTCAATAATAAACCAAGGTTTTTACACGGTGGCTGCTTTCCCTCCCGACTCTCCATGGCGGAAACCATTAAAACATGCAAAACCTTCATTTAAATACTCCCACCTCCATTGCGGTTGCACCTGTTGTCATCTAGCAATAATTCTTCTTAAATCACCCATAACAGGTAATAAAAGGTAATTCATAGCCATGTTAGTAAATCCGGCCCTTAGTTTCAAAGCTTTATTAATCATATTAATTCTCTAATACTTTTGTAGGCTACTAGTTAGCTTTGAGGACATAGTGTTGTTTTGTATCACTGTTTGTCATATTGTCAAGTCATATTATGAATATGGATGCCAAATGTATTATACCATTTTCCATTGAAGTGTCTTAGTTTTTTACAAAATAAAGATATCAATCAATCAACGAATCAATCAATCATTGCTTAAGGAGAAAGTTTGTATGTCAGTTTGTGGCACGTGGTCCTTCAGAGCGGCTGAGAGCTTCAGATATGGGAAGAACAGTCATACACACACATATAGACAATCAGACTGCTACAGCACCAAATATTAGCTAAATGGGACCAAATTTGTCATGGTCACTGAAACATCACATCATCATCATCATGTCACATGTCCACCAAATGTTGACATGTGATAGCACAAAGTGTAGCACAAAGTGTTCAGGAGACATCACATTTTAGTAATATAAGCCATGACATAGCAAATGAGGAAATGTATATATTGTATACATATACTCAACGGTTTGCAGTATTGGCACTTCTATGTTTCATTGACATATAGGACTTTTTCTTGTGTACAGGCACTTCTCGCAAGCTGCTGGTAGAGTCAACCGTTCCTGCCCTGCTAATCTCTGTCTGCAGGAACAGAGGGAGAAGCTCAAGTGCTTACTGCAGGGCTATTTTGGTATGGCATACCGGGCAAATGCCCGTGGGCCGAGGCACCTTTGGGGCCAGTGTAATTTAAATTATTTATTTATATAACTGTAATTTTCTATAGCCTACTGACATTGGGCCGGCCTAATCACATCTCCTACTAGCCCCACCCCTCTGCTCTCTGTTTCTTGCTTTATGGGCCACAAAAAACACAAAACATTCGTCCTGCCAAATGCGCGAAAACAAACGATATGTTTCTGATAAGTTTGCTTCAACATCAGCTGCATTACCCTGTGTAGAAAAAGAGCTGTGACGGCCACTGCCAGGCAGAAGAAGCGTGTGGTAGCGAAACAGAGTGACAGAGTGACAAAGTGATGGGCCGAGTGAGAGAGATAGCAGGAGGAGACTGGAGGTGAAGGGTAAGCATCGAGTAGCTCAGCCTGTAGGGAGGGAGGGTCATTCACACTGGGGACCCTGGGGACATGTAACCACCACTTTTTGAAAGCATTTGTAAAGGAAAAAATAATAATAAGTTACTGATCACTGCATTATATTTTATTATATTTTTTTACAATTGTCACCTGCCACCTGAATTTTGTGCTTCCCTTTACAAAAATGAACACATTTCCACCACAAATTGGTGCAGATAATGTCTCCAGAATCCAGACCTCCCAATTCAATGTTTCAAATATAAATATTTTTTCTAAATAGTAGGTCAATATTAATATTATCTATTAAAATATAATCATGTCTAGTCATGGACACCAATCTTGTTCATTGTCACATCTCAGTTTCATCACACCCCTAATCTGACCCCCTAAATGGAACGATGGTGTATTGGTGAGGGGTCTGATCGATTTTGGTGGGCCGCCTTGGCCAAAAATGCCAGGGCAGATTTTTTGTCTTAGTCCAGCCCTATGCATGAATGCTTATTTTTATTCACAAGTTAGAACTATTATAGTATTATAGCATTAACAAATGAAAGACTGACTACCACTGTAGAACGTTTTTCTTGCCAAATGTTACAAATAAAGTGTAACTTAAAAATATATTGATATAATACTAAGATTACATTACATTACATTACACGCCAACTTGTGAATAGGGGGTACTAGGAATCTTTTTGCCCACTTAAAACACTGAGCAAACCTGTATCGAATATCAAATATGTGAAGAAAAAAAATTCTGGCTCGGTCCAGAGATGTTTTGTGCCAAATTTTGAAAAGAATAGTGAAAAAACAGATTTGGACTTAATTCAAAATATTGGCCATATAAAACAAAATGTGAAACAGTTTTCTTCAGGGACCACAGAATCCAGGGAGAAAGAATAATGTTGTTTCTGAGACTTAAGGTTCAAAATGTTCAGGCCAAATCATTAAGTTCATTGTATTAGCCCCACCATCTGGCCAAAGTGCAACGAAGCTGTGGCTTTTAATGCAATGCAACTATGAGCAATGTGTGAATTGAAATGTGCATAAACATGGAGACTAAAATAAAACAACATGCTTGCAAAAAAATATTACAAAAAGTTCAATAATGTCATCTACCAGCTGAAGAGTGTAACTACATATTCTCTAGTGTGAGTGAGTGTTTTCTAGTTTTAAATGTGTCAGTTGGTATATTTTTATTTTGACAATTTAAATTTGGTATATATATTACAAAAAGTTCCAATCTTGTGTTTTTGCGGTGGGGTTAACTTTTTACAGTTATTATGTGTCATGTTGTCTTGATTGCAATTCATAAACATTAGAGTAAATGAATAGTTTAATGTAAGACATGTTTAACTGGCAATGTAATCTGAATCTGTTCAATCATGATCACAACTGCATAAAATGTGAGTCATTTAATTGATTGTGACCCAAATGAGGCTTTATAAAACGTGTAAATACCACATTCAACATCAACGCATGAGGGTAAGGACTTCCTAATGTGCCTGTCTGAGGCCCATCAGACAACCTGCCTTTAAGTTGTATAGCGGTACAGCCTGGGTCATAAGATGTGAAGTTATCATCATCGTCAGTGTGATATAAGTAGCGGTGATGTAAATATGGTTTCTTGTGACACAGAAACAGAAATAATTCAGATTCAGATTTAAAATATGTTTAAATAGTTTAGTATTTATCTTTATACCAAAGGTCAACTTTACATGTAGAAGATCAAGTATATTATTTTATACCAGAGACAAAATCACACAGTTCAACAGAGCAGGAGACCTTGACACATACCGAGAACTGCTATCTGGTTGCCACGGTAATTGATTACTTCCAACTATTAACGTCAGTTAAAACTGCCTTTAAGGATGAATTCAAGTACTTTGATTTCCTTTTTTTGTTGTTTTGTTGTACTTCTGCTCCTCTGTATTTGTCTGACAGCTTTAGTTACTAGTTATTTTTCAGATTACAATTTTTCATGACCTTCATGTTCAGTAAAAAAACATGTGCCTCATACTTGGTTATTTTAAATGTGAATATTTCTGTGTTTTTATGTGTTGAGAAAATTCTCATCTTTCCTAAGATAAATATACTATTAAACAAACTGGCATCAGCTGGAAAATGTAACAAAGATGTGTTGATGTGATAGAATATGATGCACTGTTGTAGATTAAACATTATATAAATAAAGGATCTGAATACTTCTTCCATCACTGACATTCACAAATGACTTACAAAGTACAGTTCTTACATTAGAAGACATACAAAACACATAAAACATTTAAACAATATATTATTTGTATTTACAGAATTTACACTATTAATACAACTGGGGCATTAGGCACTCCCTATATAATGGCAACATATTATATTGTTTATAAGCAATATAATAAGAGGAGCCCTGCGATGGACTGGCGACCTGTCCAGGGTGTACCCGCCTTTCGCCCGATGTCAGCTGGGATTGGCTCCAAGCCCCCGCGACCCTGGACGCAGGATAAGCAGTTGACGATGGATGGATGGATGGATGGATAATAAGGGGAAGATGCAATAGTATAACACATGCACAAACATGATGTTGTGGTCTTACGTACTGTTTTATGCCAAGTGTTGCACTTTTATTATCCTCATATTACCCTTAAATATTTTGGGCTGCACCTTTTGCAAATGTTGCTTTGAGTAATTCAAGCTATACATCAGGCTATGGCCCTCTAGGAAACATCTTGGTAGTGCGACGTGGGGGGCTGCCTCACGCGATTAAGCTGGATCTTGTCATACACAGTCTGGGGCTAGAAGAGAAAGAAAAAGAAGTAAAAAAAATACTCATCAGCTTCACAATCAAATACAAGACTCATTTTAATGAAGAATCAGTTTCTAAAACATTTTGTGCAATGTGAGGAAGAAATGTCGCAAGCATAATTTCATCATTCAGGATCTCTATCTACCATATCTTCAAGTTACCACCTACGTACGTCAAAGTGAGGCTAAGTAGCTTTTGAAAGAAGAAATATTAATAAACAATATTTCTCCTACACCCCCCGACCCTGTGCGCAGAATAAGCGGTTGACGATGGATGGATGGATGGATTTCTCCTACAAGTAAAACATTTAACTCATAATAAATAAAAATGTTGCTGTCTGAACCTGACCAGTATCCAATGTTTGCTCTTGCTGGCAAAGGTTAACACACTTGAGATACTGTGTATATTACTGTGACACTGACATTGCAGAAAGTTTACTGACTTGATGACTTTCCTCTGTAACATTTTAACATTAACCATCATCCTGTAGCTGCTGCTTGTGACCACAGTACGACTATCTTTGTATCAGCAGTCATTCCATTAGTATAAGAGCTAGGTGGATATTTTACCTTGAACCATGCTCATGGTCCTTTTTACCCTTAAATAAACACAACTATAAAATCATAAAAATGTACACTGTCATATAATCAATATAACGGAGGGAAAAGTAACTGTGGCTACATGTTCTGGCTGTTATATAGTATATAGTAAACTCAAATTACAATTTCATCTACAAGAACTTCAAAGAAAAAGATTTTGTTCTTACCGCTTGTTTTTCTGGATAGACTCTGTTGTCAATGGTTTCATACACTGAGCATGGCTTCATGGTCCCCTGGAAGTTTGAATGTGCATGCATCACAAAAATAGGACATGAGAAACTGGGTAAAACATGCATTTCATCCTTTTACAACAAGCATTCATTTCCTACAAAAACTGATGCAGGTCATTTGTTCAAAGCAATGTGCACACAGTAAATCCAAAAAGCATAGCCTACTTACATCTTCAGTTGAAATTTCAGTGACATCAGCGTACACGGTGAGGTCATTTGAGTCGCTGCCTGGTAGATTTTAATGACGAAACATGGCAAAACAAACAAAAAAGTAACACATCAGTCATATTTTTAAATAAACTATTGACATTATAAAGTTAAAAGGGACACACTACTGCTATTCAATGTAGCGTTACTCACCTGCTCGTCTTTGTTTGCTGTGACATACAACCACCACTATTCCAACTACAATGACAATCATCAAACAACCTCCTGCTGCCAAACTCAGGAGAACGACAAAGTCTACTGCCTCTGCAAATGATAAAATTATTACTGTTATTATTATGATTGAATAAAAGTAATAGTCATCACATTTGTGCAAGGTCAAATAGAATTGATAAAGCAGGACTTCTACTGTGTATATACATATAAAAACAAACCACAACATAAATTACAGAAATTTCACTTTTAACTAATAAGAAAAGAACACGTGTGAGAACAGTATCTAATCTCAAGTCAAACTGAAATAACAGTAAGTAGAAATTATGATATTAATAATCAACATCACCACTATGATCTAAGTTCTCCTCATTCAAAGCTGTTGGATCATTTATCAGCTTGACAAGATGTCAGACTGTATATATTAATAAGACAACAACTGGGTCACACTTGAAATTTAGAGTTTGTGGACAATACACGAGAAAACCAAGTTACTTGTCATAACTCAGTTGCATGAACAATTGCATTGGTCTTGTATTTTTGTATTTTATCTAATACAATTGTCTTACATAAAATTGTCTATTGTCTAAGGCAATTCAATCTTTAATTGTGAGGAAGTAAAGGCACCTTTATTTGAAATGATGACCAATCAGAACTACATTAGCAATATATTAAATTTTGGCTTAAACTAGCAAAAATTTAATGAATAAAATTGGAAATAACATTTGAGATATTCAAAATTAAAACATTTTACTTAATAGAAACAGAAAAGTGTCAGAAAAAGTAACTATAATTGTACTACACAGAAAATAATCACATATATTTAAAATTATTACATTTTCACTATAATTATCTTAATATTTTAACCCCGAAACTGCAACATGATGTTGTATTATATAGATTTAAAATGATTTGTAAGGGTGCAGAAATAATCTCTTTGACCGGTCACATTGTAATAAGACTTGTGAAGAGCTTCAATATAAATACAGATAAAAAAGTGAAACCATTTACACATCAAATTGGCCTGCCGTACTTCCTTTGTCTCTTTATCTTCTTCATCATCACATGTTATGATTCATAAAAGCATTATTAAAAACATCGCCATGAAGACAACACTAATAAACTATAACCACTTTTCTGCACCTACCTGGTATGTTTCTTATATTTGTGTGTCGTTTCTGCACTCCACTGTTGTGGTTGCTGACTTCTCACTGAGAAAATTGTAAACTGTGCAGGTGAAATTTGTGTCTCGGTCCTGCTGTTGCCTGATGACGTATTGGAGCCTGGAGCCACTTATTATTTGGCTCCTCACAGTCCAGTTGTAGGTCACACTGCTGTCAGAGGTTGCACTGCACTCCAGTAAAACTGTGCATGAGTTAGTCGAGCTGTTCCAGGTGGAATTGGCAGTCAGGACAGGCTGTTCAGTTATGGGCTCTACTGAGGCAGGTGGAAAAGATAGAGAGAGGCAGTTGTAGTTAGACACTGCAGCTAAAAATCTGAATTAATTTGGTAAATCCATTATCAATGTACAAATAAACCCCACCAGTAATTCCATGTATGGCAGAACTAGGCCCACTAAACACATAATTCATATCAGTGGCAATCCTTTTTTTAGCCTTTCATTCCAAATCTAAGTCTGATAAATCCTCTCTGTTTGCTCCCATAACACAACTCTGTATAAACCAAATGGCGAAGAGTTGCTAAAGATAGTATTTTGAAACACTGGATCAAAGTAAATATCAACAACAATCAGAATAAAAGGCCCGAAAAGAAATAATAAAGAAGCCAAATCAATTCACGATTATGGACAGGCTCATTTTAACAGACTACACACTGGCAATCCATGAGCGTAACAAATGTTGCCACCAAGAAAATATATAGTATGTGGACACAATTTGAATAAATGTACAAGTATGATTGTGTTGGCAATGTTATTACCAGCCTGTTAGTAAGAAAAGACAGAGACAGTCAATAATCAAATATTGTAGGCACCACAAACATTAAACGTCAGTAGACTGTGGTGGTCCAGAGTGGTGCACAGGCAAAGCAAGCAAATAGAAAACCTCTTCATGTGTTGAGTTCTCTCTGCTATCATTGTTATGGTATCTGTTCTATATGAATTAATCAGTAAACCAACTTAATAATTAATAATAAATCATCATTTAAAAACCATTACTTGGGTAAAGAACTGCCTTACCATGAACTTGCAGGTTGATGGTGACGGTGTCCCTTTGTCGGTCATTTGCCTCTGAGTTTAAACTGAAATCACCAGAATCGTTAAGAGTCAGGCTTCTCAGTGTTAAACTCAAGTCTGTGGCGTTTAGTTCTAATCTGCCCTTGAACTGCTCTTTTTCAGGAACAACCGTGCCTTTTTCTGCAATTATTGACCCTCTGTATCTCCATCTTGCAACGGTGACCCCTTCACTTGGTAAGCATGATGAAAGCACCACAGTGTCTCCAACTTTTTTTATGGATGACACGCTGACAACTGGAAGCCTCCACATCTGAAACACATAAGCACAGAGTGAGTATAACCTTTTTGAGCTTCCAGGCCTAGTATGCAGAGTGTAATAATGCATGTTGATGTACTTAACATAAAGTAACAGAGCATATAATGACATTAAACATAACACTTTTAATCACAACATAAATGACATGGCATAAAACACATGATGACATGACATCATAATGTGACATACATAATATCTTCATTCAGGATGTGTTGGTATCCTGCTACATATCAGCAGTCACCACGTGTCCAGATCGTGATCTGGGCCTCGGTTTATTCTGTACTTAATCTGTGGTGTGGTGTTTGATTCATGCTTTGTTTCTGTCTGCTCTGTTTCAGTTTGCCTCACTGCCTGTTTTATTGTATATTTTGATTATGGCCTGTCTGTGTTCTGTCTGTTCTGGTCAATCACCCTGTGTGCCTGACCTTTTTGTGCTCCCGCCCTCCTCGTTAGCCAGTTTATAAATGTCATTTCAGTTCTGTTCTGTCCTTGCTGGTTCGTTGTTCGTCTCTCTGTCATGTGTGTCTGCTTGCCAGCCTCTTAGTACTGCCTCGTTTGGCGTTTTTCTTTGATCAGCCTGATCTCCAGGATTATTCTGTTAAGTACTTTGTATTTTGCTGCCTTTGTTCTGTGGATTACCTTTGTTGGATTTGGACATTAGTTCACCTCCTTGTTAATAAATACTGTGAGACAGTATCTGTTTTGCCTTTGTGTCCTGCAAGAACCTGCCTAAGCACACGGCAACCTCAACAAATAAATTTAGCTATCTGACTTAATTTTATACTGGGCGGTAGGATCAGAAAACGCTCATATGAGTCATCTTTTCAGTTGTCATATGGGCTGCCGGGACTGTGCTGACAAACATCAACAACTGTTTCCTTTAGAAATATGGACATGTTAAAAATACATACAGTTATAGTGTTTGAAGCCAGCCTGGTCACTATTGCCTCATTTCCAAAAAAAAAGGCAGTATATAACCGCAGATTCTGACCTCAGTGACAAAGGTAAAATGAACGCTGGCTTTATTCTGTGCTGTTCGTCACTTTCGGTCAGTGCCGCTGCTACTGATGGAAAGTTCTCTGGAAAGGTTCACCTGTTTTTGCCGTCATGTTATGCGTGTGTAGGTGTGTGTGAGTGAATCTAATGAAGCCACTATGTGCTTGCAAGAAACTAACTACTGACACAGTATTGAATTGTAAGCAGAGCAGTGGTGAAATTTGATTAACACTTCACTCTTCTCTCTTGTACTTCTGCAAATACCCCCTTGTCCATGTGTCATGTATTCAACTGAATTACTACATATACTGCATGACCAAGTATGGCTTATCAGAATATACTATATTAGTATGTTTTAAGGTACTTTTTGTTTTAAGGTATACCAAAATAACCAAACCTCACAAAAAACAAAGAGGAAGTAACAGAAAGTATGATCCATCTCTGAGTTGCGAAAACATTTGTTTAACATTAACGTTTGTAGCCAAGCAGATGCAGCAGGAAATTTGCTGACAGTGTACCAAAAAAATGCAAAGTATATCCGCAAAGAGTATATTTTGCCTATTCATGAAATCAAAACCACTCACAAATAGTGAGAGGCGCCAACGTTCAATAAATGTTGATGTAAATTACTTAACTAAAGCTGTTTGAATTTATTTTTTTTCTCTTTGGATGTGCCAGTTCTCAAGTCAGTATATTGCTACAGTCGCTCTGAAGCCACAGCTGCATATCTCACAGGTTAAATACAGTCCTCTTGTGCCTTTGCAAACACACAAGACAATTGTATGCTTCTTCCTAGGAATACTCATTTCCTGAGATGATGTGCGCACATCTGGTAAATTCTGCAGTCTTGACCTACATGCTCTTCCTACATGATCTACTAAGTACCAGATGGCAGACTGCATCAGGCAAAAAAATAAATAAATAAATATTCACAACAGTTAAAAGTCATTAACGTACTAATCATACGTACCTTGAAGGCAGACCCCAAGAAACAGCACAGCACTGCATTTAAAGACGCTTATCAGGCAACGAAGCCGACCACCAACCATCTCTGCGGGGAAAGGAACAACGTCTGTTTCCTCTTCTTGTCTATCAAACTGTGCCATGACAAGTCAGCACTTAAAAAAAATTTTAAAGAGGGTGGAGAGTGGGGGAAGGTTCCTGTCAACAAAGAAGAAGCAAAAGAAGAGGCCAGGCCTGATAAACGGTTCATTTAACATTTAAAAAGTAGCCAAACCAGAGAGAACATAACATGAGAAATATTAAAAATGCAAGTTTAACAAAGGAACATTGGTCAGATTGGTCAGCTGTTTCATTGTATTACACTGTACTACCATAGCACTATTTTGTTTCTATTAGGTGACAAAAACTAGATGTCCATGATTGCGTAGAAACTCTGGTAGTCATGAACCCACATTATATAATGTCAGACTTAACCTGAATTAACTCAAGCTAACAAATAATGTACAGACTACTGAAGGTAACTGTATCGGAGCTAGATGTGGAAGACTCAAGGTAAGGGTCCACATGTGAAAATGTTTGAGCAGGAAACCACATCGTGTCATCAGATACTTCTAGACGAGGAGATGGTAAAGTGATTACTTTTCTTTCCCTTCATGCATCAGTTTTGGTACAGAATGCTGCAGGTGTAAATAAGTCCAATAAGATGTCAAGAATAAAAACCAGTAGGGCTCAGAGTCCTTCAGGAAGGACCTGCACCCTTTTGCACACTCAGCTGATATTTCAAGATGCTGTATTTATTATTAATTCATTAATTTGCCCCATCTGCATTCTGTTCAGTGCTATTCTCCTCCACACGATGTGTAAATAAAAACATTATGTTTACTCTGTAGTGGACCTGCTTGTATTATAAGGTAAACTTCTGAGTGCATCTTAAGCGGAACTTCTGATTGGTTTGTACGCTGTCTGGAGAAATTCTGAACATAGAGGGAAGTGAACTACCCAGCATCAAGATAAAAGGCTATCTCTGTGGCTCATCACAGGCGAATGATGGTGCTCATTTAAAAGAAGGTGAATGTACATGTTGACTACATGATCGCTATATGTCTCACTAAATGTGTCTAAAAGCTGGGCCTTAAAGATACTATATGCAAATGATATAAAAACAAAATTATTAAACAAAGTAATTAAACTTGTTGTGAGTAGCTTGTGGGTGTATTTTCCTTTAAAAGTAAATAGAAGTATAATAATTAAGTCCAAATTAGATTTTACACTTTACCTTTACCTAAAGAACATGAAGCTCATTGAGATTTACTTTAAAATGTTATTCAAAACTAGTAAGAAAGACTGCACGGTGCATAGAAGTGGCTCTTTTTCTCATTTTATTTTCTATTCGCATACTATTACAATACTGTATAGTCTTATCATTCAGGAGGAAAATAAAAATGATCACAAGTTCAAAAACTCAAAAATCCAAGGATTGGTTGTGATGAAGGAACATTAGCATATCATGAGGGCACTCTTCATCAACACCTATAACTACTGTTCATGCTGCAGTGTCTCAACAACTGCGTGGGGTTTCTGCAGGTGGTCTGTGCACTGCCTGCAACCTTTCTTGATTTCCTATAAACTTCAAGGCAATGGTCTGTTCACAGTTAAACCATGATGTGAAACCCCACAATGTGAAACGCTGTAGGCCTATTGAAGCTGCCCGCACGAACAGAAGCCAACTAAACGGTGTTCGACAGATTATTTTAGAATCACATGCGCTTCTGTTACTTCTCCATAGATTCTCACCTTTTCAGATTGGTGAACACTTGTGAACACTTTTTTTTTTTTGCTGTTGTGACACTGAAATCTCACCTTAGTCTCAGAGTACCCACTTTAAAGAGCAATTGCATTCAGCCTGTTCTTGTCTGTCACTTTTTTTTTTTTTTTATAAATTACCAATATTTTACAATTGTGTCAGTGGGTCAATGACTTGTCAAACTGAAATATCTCAATAAGCATTGGATGGACTGCCATGAAATTTTGTACATATATCCATAGTTCCCAGAGGACAGCTATCCAGCTGTGACAGCACTCACCTGTCAGTTAAAGGTTGCTGCTTGGGATGGAGCCTCGTAACCTTTGTGATCCCCTGGTTTTTCCTCTAGCACCACCGTGAGGTTGATTTTTAGATATCCATGGCTGGCTACTCACAGGATAAATTTTCTTGACTTTGGTAATCCTGTATTTTAAAATGACAGTGTAGCTGTTCTTTGTGTTTTTAGTGCAAACTAAACAAAGATGGTGAACATGACAAAGTTTACCTGCAAAACATCAACATGTTAGCATTGTCATTGTGAACAGCTCAAAGCACTGCTGTGCCGCCTCACAGAGCATGGCTTCAGGCTCTTAGTCTTATTACTTTTTGGCATTCAGCAAGGACTTTGTCAAAAAAAATAAAAATAAAAAATCTATACACCATAGTGTAAATAAAATAAATCTAAAATAGATGGTCCCTCTAAATGTTAAGTTATTATTCTTGGCAATGAAAAAAAGCTGTAACTGATTTGACTTGTTTTGCATGTATTCTTCAAAAACTGTCGAATGGAAAAGAGCATTAGTCTACACAGTGAGTATGCTTCCTGAAAATAGACTGTTTGCTGGCGGGAGGTGCCATTTTCTTTTTTACTGAGTCATGATAATCGAGTGGATTAACTGTGTCAACTTCTTTTTTAGGAATCACATTCTCCTCTCGGTCATAATATTTTCAATTTAAAATGTCCCTTTCCATTTAGATTACATTTATTTTGAGCAATGTTTCTTGATTTGGATATCCACAGTTGACTGACTAGCTGACCAGTTTCTTCGTAAAACCCTTAAGTGCAACATTAACATGTTTGGTGACTTTGGAAAGGAGAAGTGATACAATACAAGTAAAGTGAAGCTGGTCAGTGAGTCATTAAAGAAACAGAACCAAGATATAACACACAAGGTTAACACACCCTGACCGTTCACATCCTTCTGAAATACAAACCAGATGAGTTCAAATGTGTATATTTATTTTACAATAGTATTTCGACCAACTGGCTGCTCGTTCATTTTTGACATAAACCTAGTTTAAAACAAATCTCTATGTAATTACAATACTGACAGGCATTGACCATTAAATAAAAGATAGCAAAGATAGTAAAATACAACATACATACAACATAGTATAGGGAACAACATGTAACCTCGTTTGCCCAAAAGGTGCAAAATGTTGAATTAAACATTTTAACTTGTTGAAAATATTCTACAAAACATTTTTATCCAATGATATTATAGTTAAACACATTAAATGTGCTCATGCATTAAGTTATGCATTGTGCATGTACTCAGATGCATTTGCAAGGGCATTTGACCACAGGAACCACTAAGTGAAAGGAAACCACATGGCACCACCAAGTGGCTAAAAATGTAAACATGCACCAAGACAACATTTCAGCAGTGTGACAAGAAAATGATTACCAAAAAAAAAAAAAAAACAAAAAGTCCATGTTGTTGTTGTCCTTCCCTGGGCCATCTCTCTGAACTCTGATTAGATGCTCATTCATCCCCTCGTCATTTATCATCAAAAATCATAAAGCAGTTATATAATTATCAAATAAGTGACTAAACATGAATATTGGTTTTCATGTCATGTACGCTTCTGTTGCTGTATTGATGATGCATTTCTCTTTATGGACTTGGAACCAAACAAGAACAAAAAAAAAAAAACAACAACAAATGAATGATTGAGAGGCATCGACAGATGGTATTTGGAGAAAAACACGACACTACAGGGGTATGTACTGTCCCCTTTAGCCAGCTTCTTCGTCCAGTACTTCTCATTTACTCGTACACACAGCTATCACCTACATGTCAGTGATCATAAAGGCAAGGTTATATTACACTTCATATCATGTATACACAACACATTTTAAAACTTTGAAGCAACATTAACCCTACAGTGTTATAGTAGATATCTTTAGTTCCCTGTGATTGTTCTTAAAGGGTAACTTAACTCCTCCTGAAAATCTTGTTTTTGCTGAGATCCACTACTTCTCACCTTACTGCAATAAAGTACAGGTTCAATTCAATTTTATTTATATAGCGCCAAATCACAACAACAGTTATCTCACAGCGCTTTTCATAAAAGAGCAGGTCTAGACCGTACTCTATGATGTTATTTACAGAATGCCAACAGTTCCCACCAAGAGCAGCACTAGGCGACAGAGGCAAGGAAAAACTTCCTTTTAAGAGGCAGAAACCTCGAGCAGAACCATGGCTCAGGGTGGGCGGCCATCTGCCTCGACGGTTGGGGGGTGAAGGAGAGAGAGGTACGCCAAGACCCTGTGACATTATTGCCGGGCGTGGTTACAATAGAGGGCATTTCTGACCATACCCAGAGGTCAGAGGTGAACCAGGCCTGAAGCTTTTAGCCAGAGGAGGACAGCAAAACACATCTGTTCAGACTGGAGTTAAGTTACTCTTTAAAAATTTTGATTTCAGATGCTCATATTCTACTAGAATGCAACACAACTACAGAATACAAAAAAAGGTGAAGCTAAATGCAGTGTTTTTTAATCAATGAGTGAAATAATCTTGTAAGTGTTCCAGTACTCTAGACATTAGCAGCTTCACATGAAGTAAGGCACTTTTGAGTGATGGGTGGGTGCAAGTCATCTTCACAGTTCCTTTTTCTGACAGCCACATTTAAATAGTGTTAACACCACTATGTTTAAATATTAGAGCTTGAAGTAAACCTATGCACCCATAGCTTTTTTAAGTGGAAAAAATTCACACGTCTGAGAGACTATATGTAAATATTAGATCTGAGAACATGCTGTTATTTAAGTGCCATTTTCTGTGTACTTACTGCTCGCCAAGATCAGATGGAGATGTGACATTAATGTAATCACTTGGTTGTCCATCTGAAAGAAGAACGTTTTGAATTATTCAAATCTTAACCTCCGAGTTATTAAAAAGCATCACATTATTTACCGTTATAAACATTATACACAGAGTTTCCCCTCGTGGGATTAAATAAAGTATATCCTCTTCTATTATTCAGAGTTTATACAGTACCTGTTCCAGCATCTTCAGAGCCTCTCATTGTTTGATAGATACTACCATCACCTACAGGTTAGAGATAATCAGAGCAAGGTCATATTAAATTCCCCGTCTTTTAGACTTTTCTAGCCATTTTCTTTGAAAAACAGCTGGCTAGAAATTTTGTTAAAGGGTTAAAAATAGTTAAAGCAAACATGGTTGGATGGCAGACTGACCATGGAGAAGAGAGGAGTACACAGGCTGTTGAGTTTCAGTTTGGTTGACCGTTTGAGACTGGGTGAGCCTGAACATGTTAAAATTGTATATGAGCAGTTATGTGTAAAAACAACAAAAGGTAAAAAAAAAGATACGGTACAGTGAATTGCTACTGTTAAGTTGTAGATGAAAGAAGAGTGACCTGACCTGTTACAACATGGATCTGTGAAAAAGAAACAAATGTCACATGGCAAATTAAACAACTGCGCCGTCAACGATCATTGAGTGATTTTGAATAATCAGTGTTACCCAGCAAACATCACCAAGAGGAGGCCTCACCTTTTGACTTTGTGTAGCAAAGCAGGGACAGCAACAGTACAATTCCAATAACCGGCGCAGCAATCAACCAGACAAGAGTTGAGGAGCTGGACACTGCAATAGTATAATAAACTTAAATTATCTAACAATTTCCTTAAAAAGAATGTATAACGTCCTTTACTGAAAAGGAAGTAAATTTCTAGAGAGTTCTTCTGTGTTGATTAACAAAAACACTTCCCAGCGGGTCCAAAACTCTCATTGGTGACATCCATTTCCAGTGGGACTTTGTTACGAGTATCAAAGCTGAAGCGACAATGTATTCAGATATCCGCAGTAATTTCTGAATAAAGCAATTTGAGGTTTGAAATTCATTATATTCATTTACATTCTTTATTCTCTGACTTTCATTCAATAGTCTATGTACACTCTGTAGTGAGCAGTACATTAAGATGCGAAACACTTAAATCATTATTTTTGCATTATCACTGACGGGTGTGGAGTAAAAAGAGCACACTGAAATGCTTTCATGAATGTGCACAGCGCTTTCTGGCTGCATGATGGTTCAACCTTTACAACTTGCTGCTGCGGCCATTCCCTGAATGATACATCACTTCACTAGCAGAGAACAGACCGGTCAATGAAGAGAAACAGATTTAAAAGCCTTAAAATACACAGGCACAAAAGAAATGCAATTCATATTTTCTTTTTTGAGCACATACCTGATTTATGTGTGTCGTTTCTGCACTTCACTGTTTTGGTTGCTGACTTCTCACTGAGAAAATTGTAAACTGTGCAGGTGAAATTTGTGTCTCCGTCCTGTGGCCTGATGACGTATTGGAGCCTGGAGCCACTTATTATTTGGTTCCTCACAGTCCAGTTGTAGGTCACACTGCTGTTAGAGATTGCACTGCACTCCAGTAAAACTGTGCATGAGTTAGTCGAGCTGTTCCAGGTGGAATTGGCTGTCAGGACAGGCTGTTCAGTTATGGGCTCTACTGAGGCAGGTGGGTGACAGAGTGAAGACAGTATCAAGGTGACAAAACCTTCTGAAAATGCTGTTTAAAGTTGAATTTCTTCCTTGGTTTCATGCTTGTTGGAGTAAAATATTGTGTGTAACAATAAACAGAACTGTGTGAGTTCAGTTTAGACAGATTCTTGGTTTGGAAATAAATCACTTAATTCCCAATAATGCTATTAAATAAGTAAATCTGACTTTACTACATTTACTGACACAGTTTTACAAAAACAGATGAATCTTACCATGAACTTGCAGGTTGATGGTGACGGTGTCCTGTTGTTTGTCATTTACCTCTGAGTTTAAACTGAAATCACCAGAATCTTTAAGAGTCAGGCTTCTCAGTGTTAAACTAAAGTCTGTGGCGTTTAGTTCTAATCTGCCCTTGAACTGCTCTTTTTCAGGAACAACCCTGTCTTTTTCTGCAATTATTGACCCTCTGTATCTCCATCTTGCAGAGGTGACCCCTTCACTTGGTAAGCATGATGAAAGCGCCACGGTGTCTCCAACTTTTTTATGGATGACACTATGGATGACACAGCTGGAAGCCTCCACATCTGAAACATTAAAGCAAAACAGCTGAGTGAGTATAATCCTTTTGTCATTGGAAGTGATGAGAATAACTTGTAACCAGCTTATAACATTTAAAAGTAGAAAGTTTTTTTCTGACTCATTGTTTCCCTGCAGCCTGCTAACAAAATGTCAGTACACAAAGAACACTGCTGATGAACATGGTCACAGGTGAAACAGAATTTATACTTTAAACCATATTGGGCTGTGAAACGATGTTTATCAGTAGACTAACCCTATGAACCACAGGGTTCAGATATGATACAAAATTATTCACATGAGGAAATGCTCATGTGAATCGTTTTGTAACTCTTAAATGGTCGGGAGTGTGCTGACCACCTATTTTGTCATGTGAAAATGAGATTTGTTGGAAACAACAAAACATTTGCCTTAGATTGATTTTATTTTCAAGCTGACAACTAAAATAACCTTTGGAAAAACATTTTGTTTTGTGCTAACAACTACAATTAGGTGAGGCAAGGCAAGTTAAACACAGAGGCAGTGCTTTACATAAGGCAAAGAAATTAAATAGAACAACATTTGAAAATACAGTTAAAAGGACATTTTGATTAGATTAGCTTTTATGTAATTGTAACCACATGAGATTCAAATGATATGCAGACATTCAGGAACAAACAGCGGTACAATTCTAAGCTCATTTAAGAGTTCGTCAGCCAAACAAATACGTCTTACAACTGTAAAACTGCACAGCCGTACAGAGCAGAGATATACGTACCATGGAGAGAGAGCCCAAACAGCAGCAGAGCACCGCATATACAGAAGCAGCCCAAGCATCGGAAACGGCCATCGACCATTATTGTTGGGAGGGGAACAGCGTCTGTTTCCTCTTCTGGTCTATCAAACTCTCCTGACAGTTGAACAGAAAGCAAAACATGCAGTCTGACCGGGCCTGATAAAAAAACAAAACAAAAAAACAACAACAAGTTGAGCAAATTAAAGTTGAATAAGACATAATTAGTTAGATGTTTTGCAAAATTACATCCAGCTAAATGTAAGTTTATTTAATACCGGTAGGTGACAAAATAAGTTAAATCACTATAAACCATGTTAATTGTAACCCTGACTGCATTATTAACTACAAACTAAACTATACACATAATACATTTTATCGAAGAAACTATCAATACTCTACTTCAGAGAAACATCTCATCTAGATGTGCCGAGGTTGGGGTCCGTATTTGCTAACAACAGAGCAAGAATAACGTTACCACATCCTGTCATGCTGGAGGCAAAAACTTTACCAGATGCTGTCTTCAGATTTTCCTAAATTCCTAAATGTCAATTACTTATTTTAACGACATTTCTGTTAATAGGGTTAACTGATGAGCTGACTGGAAATACTTGGTAAAGCGAAAGAAAAAAAAACAAAACATTACCAATGTTGCTGAAATTTATTTTGAAAGAAGAGATCCAGAAAAAATAACGCTGGTCAAATCATAGAACAGACAAGTTAAATAATACGCCAGACTGCTCATATATAAAACTCTGAAACACAAACCAGATGAGTTCAAAGTTTTTTTTTTAATTAAACAAAAATATTGAAACAAAGTTGGAGCAATTACTACTATGTAAAATATTTACCAAAATCAATCTCACTGTAATCATGATACTCTTTACTTTGGTATTTACTTTGATTAATTAATGAAGGAAAACATAGTTGCCTTATTCAAACAACAACCCCGATTATTTGCCCAAATGAATGAAAACAATTTAACATTTATTAAACAAACTACAAGACATTACATAGTAAAAAACATCACACATTAAATTATGCATCATGCACGCACTCACAGACTCACATCTGCAAAGATGTACAGGAACAAACCAAGTAGGGTGGTGATGGCGCATAGATAAGATGCACCATTGTGTCCCTGAGCAAGACACTTAACCCCTAGTTGCTCCAGAGATGTGTGACCTCTGAGATGTACAGCAGTTGTAAGTCGCTTTGGATAAAAGCGTCAGCTAAATGAATAAATGTAAATGTAAGTAACTGAAAGCAAAACTACAGGGCACCACCAAGTGGCTGATAAGGTCAACCTGCACGCATGAGGAAACGATTTCAGTGTGAAAACAATATTCAAAGCTTGGTTAAAAGAAATATGTGTCCTTGCTACAAATTACACCATGAAAGACCAAACTTAAAAATGTACGGACAAAAGGACAGGTGAATTTACATGCATGTAATGTTTTTTGAACACTTAATATATGAAGAAGAGAAGAGAGAAAATTGTTGTTGTTGTCCATCCATAACTGTGACTAGTAAAGCTGCACCACATGAGATGTTAACGGTTAAATACACCTGTATCATCTGCATACAATCCAGGTATGATCACATTAACCACAGAAAGTGTCACATTTTGCTCTTCACTCCCTGTCCGCAGCCACACTCTCTCATCCCCGGCCCTCTGCATTGATCTCCGTCTCTGTCTAACCACACTTGCCGTCCTCAAGTTGTTCACAAGATGCCCTCGGACTTTCTCTCCTTTTACTACCATCAGGTGCGTTTGACTTCATGCAGCGCTGACGTTATTTTATGCATGCTGGTTAGAAATTTTGTCCGTCTTTCACCGGCTCTTGCTCACAGACTCTACCAGGGGTATAATGCGTCTGACTTGATGGCAGTGGTTTTATATGCAGTTGCCTGCAGCTCACATTTGACCATCGAGTCGGCGAAAGTCAGCCGCAGTCATCTCGAATGCACCTTCTGACTGCCACATTTAACTACAGAGTTCAGCGGCGACAAAACGTAGCAAAGTGTTTTTTCAACGGAAACGAACACCCTGCTGTGTACGCAAGCGCACTGCATTTTCCTGCCTTTTTAACACAGTTGTGTGAACTCATTCCGTCATCATCCACTGACCATTTATACCAGTTCACTTCCTTTGTTCATTGTCAAGTTCTTCCGAGTTGTCATGTGCCTAGTTGGGTTTTGCTTGCAAGTTTTTGTTACATGGGCATGTTCCTGCCTGCACCGGCATATTATCTTCTTCTCTTCCCACAAGCCATCACTATGACGAACAGCTGATTTCTGACTCAAGGTGTCAGGAATAATTCTTATACAATAACCCAGTAACTCTGCCTCTAATCTGCCACCTGTTTACTGGCTAACACTTATTATTTATTCACCAGTCAGTGCTGTTCATACTGTTATATTGTCATATTGTATATACTGTATACCAATCCACCTCAAATCATTCCTCCTGCACAAAATACTTATTTATTCCAGTAACCTTTGCACTATGCTTCATTGCACTGTGTACATGTAATGTAGCTGTATATCAAATCCACCCGACATGTACATACTCCTGCATCCTTTGCACTCTGCTCACTGCTACTATTTGTCAATATGTCTATACTGTTTTTGTTCATAGTGTGAGTTTTTGTGTTTTCTACACTGAAGTCTGTGTCTGACTTTATTATTGTGATTTTGTATTTTTGTATAAGTAGCACATCGTGAGCAATGTACAATCCAGAGTCAAATTCCTCGTATGTGTACACATACCTAGCAATAAAGCTGATTCTGATATAAGCTAATCACCAAATAAATCATTAAACTAAATCCATCTGCCTGTTCTGTCTGTGTTTGGGTCTAATCCCTGTAGTCTTGCATGACCCATAATTGATAGCAAGTAACAAGCTGAACCTCAACAGCCAAACAAACTTTTTTCCTAAACAGCATGGAACGAGAAGCTGTCCTGAAAAGACTTGACCAACATTAAGTTAGATCTTTATCTAACTGTGACTGTTACATCCTGAAGTAACAATGTTGTTAGAAGCATAAATTATTGCATTATGCGGCATTCAGACCAAACGTGAATTTAATCCACGCAACGCTCTCCTCGCTGGGGTTTTATTGCTGGACAACTGCTGAGTGTTCGCACAACGCGATAACGCGAATAAATAACTCGCCATTACTACAGCTTTAGGAAACCAAAGTAAACATTTTGCTGTGATTAAATAGCAATAAAGTGTCAAACTGATGCCGAAATAACTACAGTATGATGTAGATTTGGTAAACAAATGAATTCATGCTTTGTCAGGTCTGTCAGCAAAACAGCAGGACAACAAATTCTAAAATGTTTGTTTTCTGAATGGAGTTCGGATCGATCAGGGCTATGCTACGCTAACTTGGTCACAGTAAAGTACAATGATAGCTGGAATAAAGTTCCATACACGTGTTTTCTGATCTCACCAGGTAGTTCAACCTCCTCGCTTTCTTTTCTCCCAGCAATGTTTAGTTTTGTCCGGTTTTTATATCAAGTAGTGCCAATAAACGACGCTAACAACACTGGAACCGGATGTGCACGGAATCTAGCTGCTGAGAAACTCGAGTTAAGATAAATCAACGTTGTAATCCCAAAAATTTAAGTAAAAAGCTAATTTAATTTTTAAAAATGTTAGAATCAGAAGGAGCTTCCAAGTAGTGTTTTACACATACGAGGAATTTGCTGTGGTGAAAAGGTGCTACACGTACACAAACATAAATAAATGTAGAAATATATAAATGTGGAATAGAAGAACAACGTTGCATATACGTGTGCATTATTCTGGGTCTGTGCCGTGTAGAAGTAACGTAACGGATGAGAATATTATATAACGTTACATATAAATATATAAACTGATCTGTGCCAGACACAAGATGAAACAGTATTTACATGTGCAGAGACATTAGTATAATTTGCAAGGGGTTGCACCCAGGCCTTGTTACTTAGGCTATTTGCAGACGGGAAGAAACTGTTTTTGTGGCGAGAGGTTTTGGTCCTATTGGACCGCAGCCTCCGGCCAGAGGGGAGAGTCTGGAACAGTTTGTGACCGGGATGGGAGGAGTCAACTGCAATCTTTCGTGCACGCCGCAGAGTCCTGGAGGCGTACAGGTCCTGAAGAGAAGGAAGATTGCAGCCAATCACCTTCTCTGCAGAGCGACTGATGCGCTGCAGCCTGCCCTTGTCCCTGGCGGTGGCAGCAGCGAACCAGATGGTGATGGAGGAGGTGAGGACGGACTCAATTATGGCGGTGTAGAAGTGCACCAACATTGTCTTTGGCGGGCTGAACTTCTTCAGCTGCTGCAGGAAGTACATCCTCTGCTGGGCCTTTTTGATGATGGAGGTGATGTTCAGCTTCCACTTGTGGTCCTGGGAGATGATGGTGCCCAGGAAGCAGTCCACAGTGATGACTGGGGACTCACACAGGATGATGGGGGAAGGTGGGGCTGTGCTCTTTCTGAAATCCACGACCATCTCCGCGGTGAAGGGCCATGTTTGCTGCATCATCTACAGACCTGTTGGCTCTGTAGTTGAACTGCAGGGGGTCAAAGGAGTGGGTCTGTAAGGGATTTTATGTGGAACAACACAAGGCGTTCAAAGGACTTCATAACCACAGAGGTCAGGGCGACGGGTCTGTAGTTGTTTGTTTAGGGAGAAGATCTTAATCATTAGTACAGGCTAACAATAATGAAACTATCCTAAATGTTTTCACCTATTTAGATTGACAATTTTATGTGTCCAAAGTAATCCAAGAAAGAAAATCCTAGGTGAAAATAGTAAATTTGCAAGAATAAAACTCAGAAATTCCCTAAAATTAAAGTTATTTCATGGCAAAGTCTCTAAAGTCCCAATGCATATGATAATATGGTGATGTGGGCTGAAGTCACAGGTAGTCTATTTCCGCAATGCTAAATCTGATTGTGAACTGTAATAGGCTATAATTTCCCACAGCATACATAATACACGAGGTGTGTTTATGATGTTGCAGCATTGCAAAGTGAAGCGATGTGACAAAAAAACACTTTTTCAGAGAGATTCTCTCACAAATGTATGACTATAATGTATAATGGTGAGAATATTCATGTTTTTACTGGTAGATTTGTGTTTGATTTTTTTACATTTACCACTTGAATCTAAGAAATTCTAAGTTTGTTTTTTTTCCCGGATTTTAACTCCTCTCAGCAGGCTCCATTTTTTAAAATTACAATGGATCTTATGTGCAGTTGTACCTTTACTTCTTAATCATATTTCACATAAAAGAAGAGTCCATAAAATACTAAATATAGAATTTCAACAAGAGCACTGATAATTTCCAAATTTACTCAATTCACTGCCAACATGCCTAACCTAGATTTGTTGGCTGCCACGGTGTCAGATTAGGCCATTAACGTTTCTTTACACTCCTCATCTCCTGATACTATCATTGGGCATTCTTCTGGGGAAAATATGGAGCATGCGCTATTGTGAAAAAACCCTGCTTGCCTTTATGCGAATGCGAACCAACTCCAATTGAGTGAACACTGACTCAACCGTTTGATACCGTTTGACACGCGTGTCGGGAGTCAGTTTGTCAACCCTGACTTTGCTTGATAACCCCAAGTTAAATCTGAGTAGGTCAAACTCCCTTCGAAGTATAGGCCTCAGGGTTTGTGTGAAAGCACAAGTCTTAACTTATTAACAGTTTTAAGTTACATAGCGCCACGTCACGTCCGCCACTTACGTCATGTCTCTTGACGTACTTATTTTAACCCAAACTGCAATCTTTTCATAAACTTAACCTAGTATTATTGCCTACACCTACCCAAACTGGGAAATATATTCACAACATTAACTACGCTTTTAAAGGCATCTAATACAGACGATAAAAAGCACCTCGTACATCTGTATGAGATGCTGAAGGGTGTGACAAAGCGTTGGTATTTGACGATCTGGGAGTCAGACTGAGTAGGCCATTTGTGCTATGACCAACAGATGGTTAAAAATTAAATCCACATCATGTAATTATTTTATATAATCTCCTATTGAACTACAAAAGTACCAGGAAAGAACTAAAATATCCAAAGAGCACTTGTAATAGTCTTTTTTGATGTTGTCATCAGAGCTTCACTTGTTTTGTTGATGATGCACTTCTCTTTATGGACCTGGAACAAAATCACAATAACAAAAAGATGAAAAACAGCGATAAAATGGTACCGAAAATAGGATGCACATATATGACTTTTTATTTTCATTACCATAACTTCAAAAATATGGACTTGATAAAGAAACATTAATCCTACAGTGTTATTAATTCCCAATTACACTTAAGAATGATGAGTAATCTTACATTTCCTTCATATTGTTTTTAAATTAATACATTCAATATGAAATTTGTTATTCCCATGTTTTGCTTAAGTAGACGGGGCGGCAATAGAATCCAGAACTGGAAGATGACTCAGATAAAACTTAACTGTTTTTTAATCAATTTAAACCTTTAAAAATATTGCGTGAGTGATTAGTGATTCTAATCATTAGTAACTGGAACCAGAGAGGAAACAAGCCAAAAAACAGCGTGTCAGCATGGACAGCACTCAACTTTACATTTCCTGTAACAGAGATGTGTTGCTGAGATAGTCGCATTTGGACTATCTTGAAACCACAGCTAATATTTTCACACTGCAACCATTCACCATTGTTGTGCACCAGTTGTTTTTGAGTTCACCCAAATAACCACTGAGCTACAGTTTTTTTCAATTGCTAAGATGCAACGGTCAAAACTGAATCGACATTTCCGAAACTCTTCACACAGTCTGCATTACCAACATGCATCTTGGCCAAACAGTTAATCTCACCTCAAAAAGTCACTCAAACCACCAAAACACTTCATAGATGTCTCAAAATAAACTCGTTCAAACAAAACACTGGCAACAATTCTCACTAAGAAAGCATTCATTGTCACTCATAACACCCCGGCCTACAAAACACTAACAACAGGAAGCATTATGTAAATTTGATGTACTTTTATCTTCAAAATGTGACTGATTTTTTCACATAAATCAGTATTTCATTATAGAATACAGTTGTTCGCAGTCATTTTGGTACATATCTCAGATCAGAAATGAAATTCTACTTGTTCAACCCCCATATCATCTTACTTTTGCACATCATGTAAAAACAATTTCTCAGTCTTTCTGAGTCTTTTGGAAATGCAAATTGCAAATGCTTTGACACATTTATGCAAATGATTATATACAATTGTCTTTGCTGTATCAGTGGTTGATCACAGTGTATTATAGTATACTGGTTCTCTGTTGAAGTAGTCTTACCCCCCAAAACATCTAGTCATAAGTTCATTGCGTGAGTCACTACATGCAAAATGGTTGAACACGTCATAATCTGCAAAGCATTTTTCTACATGTCTATTAGACTTTAGACCACGGTAAATTGATGAACATATCTGTTGTGCTGTGAATAAGAATCTGTGGCTGAATAGACAGGAACGTCAAACTGAGGGGGTGTTTCCATGTTTCCATTTCTATTTTTGTAATTGTTTCCACTGTGCTATGCAGTGCTGTAAAATAGTCTTGTCTTTATCTTTTCTGCTTCACAATGACATGCTCTGTCAACAAATTACAGTGCATACAGTAAAAGTGTAACTGTGATTCCTGTCCAATCCCCTGCAATGTATAACTCCGTACTGTTGAAATTGATATATATGCTGAACAGAAAAAGTGCAGCCATGTGCATTTTCAATCATTGTCATCTAAACCTTAGCCATAGTTTACCAATTAAAATAGTTTAGCAAATGTTGAGGATGATTCTAGAAATGTACCAAAGCGACTGAGAAAAACTGCATTCAGCAATTTACTTGTGAAAAAAAAAAGTTTTAAAATTTCAGTGCTGCAATAAAGTTTTAACACAGTAACACTGGTACCTGAGACAAAATGACCACAGCTTATAATTGATGTACCAACCCCTTAAACCATTTCTGCTAAAATGCAAGCACATTTTCTGCTTTACTCAGGTTTCAGTTTTACAGTAAAACCACATTCATAACACTACACACATTTCTCTATGAACATAGACGTAAACATAAAATGTATGTAAAATGTTCTGCTAAGATTTTTGCTCTGCAGGTGGTGAAATAGTAATGAGAAAAAAGTTCATGGATTTTGGAGAAAGTGCTCATTGAAGGTGTTGTGTGAAAGCAATGAAAATTGATTCACAGTTTGGTCCACTTCTGATTCTGTGACTTCAGTTTTGACCAATGCAGGTTAGCAATTGAAATAAACTGTAAATTGCACACTGAGGTATCTCTAGCATAATTATCAAAGATGGCTCGATAGACTTTAAGTAAAAATGTAATTTTAGACCCAGCAGATGAACAGCTTGTGTCAATGTTTGTACCTGTGGTTAAACATGGATTGTAGTCCGAGCTCTCCTCTGGATCTTCACGCTTACTCCTCTTGTAAAGGTCTTTTAGCTGAATCGAACGAAATGTGGCATCACTTTATTTTTTTACAAAAATAGTTCAATAATATTGTTATATTATTTCCACATTTAAAAAGTTTACACTATACCACTGCCGCTGTCTTCACAACCACCGATCGATTCGTAGACACAAACATCACCTACAGGTCAGTGAAAACAACATTTCAACCACTAGTTCACAACAGAATTAAATCTGCAGCAGAGGGACTGCTGTTGGAGAGTAATCTTGGAGAATATTTGTGAAAAACACATTGCAGTTAAGTGGATTGCAGCACTGAAAACCAGCAGGGATTTTAGAAAAAGTTCTGAAAGCATTCAAGAAGGCTGACCTTCAAGAAGAGAGGAGTATACTTGCTCTTGAGTTTTATCCTGGGTGACCCGATTGTCCTGATCGATGCTCTGAGACTGTGTGGGTCTAAAACATGGAAATTGCAATAAGTTTATCAGGAAACATTAAATGTATTGCTGTCATGTGAGAAGTGGGAGAAGAGAGTGTTGTGCCAACCTGTCACCGCATGGATCTGTAAAAAAATTTTTTTTTTATTATTGAGGGTTTTTTTTCATTGCAAAATGTCCATTTTCTTTGCAGTATCATGACAGAAAAACTCCCCATTAATTTTTACATTTGCATATTCTCACCCTTGGATTTTATGATGCGATATAGCAAGAGCAGGAGAATAATCAGTAAAACTCCAGTAAGGATCCCAATGAACACCGGCATAAAAAATGAATGGCTTTCAGGCCTGGACACTGTAGACAGAAATTGTATTATTAAAATAGTATGTAACTGTAAAACATAAATGGCTGATTTTACTGATTTTACAGTACAACACTTATGACTGACAGCTGGCACAAGAAGGCAAATTTACCTAATGCAAATGAGTGATTTTAAATCCTGTACTAGTTTTTGGTAAAGATTTAAGTTGACACTGAGGCAAAGGTTTGTCATTTACAATGAAACATTGTAATTCCTGTTTTTGGTGCAAAAGTAAAGAATTTCACTACTCATCATTAATATGTCTGTGGCATTTTATCCACATGATGCCAAGAAATATGCAGAACTGTTATTTAAACGTACAGTGTACCGTGATGTTGACAGCATTACTGAACTCTCCTGACCCAGACTCACACCAGTACACTGCATCAGTGTACGTTAAATGGTGCATATGGCATGTGGATCCAATCATTTTCCCCCAGTTATTACAGCTTAATAGACTGCCTTTTTCGGTAAACCTCATCACTCTCCACTCTGTTGAGTTTCCCTCACAACTGAGGGAGACAGGCTCAGAGGAGAAGTGTTGCACTCTGTCAGGATTCACTGTGAGAGACGCTGATGATTTAAGATCTGAAAATAAACATAATATTGAATCAAACCAAGCAAAAGGATATTTTAGAATTAAGGACATCACAGAAGAAATTAACCTTTAGCTCGTTTAGGTTGCTCATTTTGACTAAATTAATATGTTGATTTACAAATGTAACATGCTCAATATTTTATCAGTTCACACCAAAAAATAGAATTAATGCTAAACTAATGCTTCACAGCAGATTAGTTGAATTTTACTATTGAAGAGGATGACTTCCTAATTCATTTAACAGGAAAAGAAAATCAACCAGAAAATTATCTTCATGAGGGTGAAGAATTTCAAAGATTCTCCTCTGTTTTTTGTGTGAAACTATTTCTGATGATTCAGCGGAAAGGTGAATGCAAATCTTGCTAGAACCCTCAATCTTATGCAACAGTTCATAACAGGTGCATCTCAATTCTCTTAATTGCATCCACATTTCCCTGACTTGCGTATTTTCCTTGCCTTACAAGGAGAGAAGAAATAAGGAAATGTGATGTTAGAGAAATGAGACAGATCCTGGAGACAAAATATCATTAGAGTGAGAAAACATTTTATCATCAAACAATCTGGAGTTGATTGTTGAACGGTTGATTGCCATCATTCTGGTTCGATGCTGGCATGAGTAGAGAGACAGTGGGTCAATCAGTAAATTTCATTATAAATAAATATATTTTATGGAGGAAACAAAGCAAGAACAAACTGACCTGCAGACCAGACAAACTTTGCTATACTGTCATCAGTGTAATACACTGGATCTCCTCTTCCAGCTCTGCACTTATATCCTGCTGTGTGTGTCTGTCCATGAACGATGTAGGAATCCTGTTCAGTCCCGTTGCTGCTGCCAGGTAGCAGCTCTTGGTCGTAGTAGTTGGCTGATAGTTTGGGAACAGCCTTAAACCAGAAGAACCTCCATCCTGCAGATGGATCTTTAACTCTGCAGCTCAGAGTTACTGAGGCTCCAGGACTCAGCCAGGATGGAGACACAGTGAGGACAGGCTGGGAATGACCTGTTGGAAAGTGATTTCACATTCATTTCACAATGAAAACATGTTAGACTGTGCATGTACTTTACGCCGTCTTAAGTATTTAAATAAAGTAGGCTACATACATATACCGTATTTGATGTGACTTACAGTTACACACTGTTAATTTGAAGTTATTGCTCCACTTTGTTGAAGAATTTTTGGTTTTGTTTTTGCCCTTACAGCTATAGTCTCCGCTGTGGACTGTGTGAGCCTTCAAGATTTCAAATACAATTCCATTTGGAGGTTTTATTGAGCTGGTTGTTCTCCATTCATACTCCCACTCAGTGTCTCCTTCACTCTTAATCTCACATCTGAGAGTGATCCTCTCTCCTGAGAATATCTTCGGCCAGTTTGGTTGTAGGGTTACAACAGGCCTTTTTATCTCTGTTTATAATGAAGAAGTACCAGTTAGGATATAAAACTGACAAAAGGTTAATGAGCATAAAACCTTTTAGGCTGTAAGGGTGAATGTTTACCAAAAATGCAGTGCCTTTATGTGTTAATCAAATCCCTATCCCTCGTCTTATTTTTAATATGAAAGATCATCCTTTGCAGCAAAGCCCTCCGAATTACACTGCCAAGTTTATAACTGCTCACCATGTTTTTCTGTGAGACAAGTACATTTGTAAAAGGAATACTTTCAGGTATAGTAAAGATGACCTTTTTACAACATATATATTCAATATATTCAGTAAAGTAAGTAGAAACAAATAAAAACAATGAAGAGAGGAAATATACCTTTGGCATGTCCATAGAGGTGTGTATTCAGCACTAAAATAAAGATTGATGCGTCATTAACAAACTTATTGAATTATGGTATTAAAGAGATAAAAACAGGCATTGGCAACTATAGTTGGATTTAATATAGGTTCAGATTATTATTGTTATTCTTGTCACTACAATCATTTTCTTTAATTTGAATGACTAACAGTAAATGATGTACTCACTGAAAATACCCAGCACACAGAGCAAAGTGTGCCTCATCCTCAGATCCATCACTGAAACTGCATCAAATCAAGAGAAACACAACTTTTGGGCAAAGAAGTGGCATTTTATATCAGTTAGATGAGATGGGGTTTTTTTTGTTGATGTTGATGCAACAGCCCAGTTTATTTTTGCTTACTTCCCTTTTTAACTTAACTACACTGGGAGCGAAGATATAAGAGTGATTGTAATTTCCTTCCTGAGCTAGACATGATAATGCTCTTGGCAACTGCTGCAACTGAAAAGCTTAATAGCGTAATTTTGAAAATTTCTGAAAGTCTATTAATTCTATGGTGGCCCTGGGAGCTCAAAACACTGCAATTTGAGAAAACACATTCCAATAAGATAAAAACACAAACCAATTAAGACAACATAGTTGCATAATTAACATCAAATGTGCAGTGTGTTGAGCTCTCTGAGCAACCGTACTTTGCTGCATAAAATTATGACTTCTATAAAATAAACGTAGATAATCAGTACATGATGCATATGTGTGTGATGGCAATTAGTATTCATTAAGTCTTTTAAAGTTATATTTTAGTTGTAGTATTTGCAATAAACTGAACCATAATAATAGATTACATGCGTGCATGTACTATAACGCTACATGTGTGCAACCCTTTGTGGTAAGTGATGATATCTGTACACTTCTTGAACCAAAAACATTTTTCTTAGAGGAGGTAATGAAGAGGTTTATATTTATAATTATACTTCAAGAGCTACAAAACACTAAATAGTGGCTCCTTCTCAGTTATTATTTTATCACACAAACAACCTCAATCTCAAGATTTTCAGTTTCACGGTGCATGTCATTCTACAACACGGGACTGCACAATGAAATGAAAGCTGGAGCTGCCTTCACGCGTCACACACAGAACATATAGTGGTTCTAAAACTTTCTCACATCAAGGACCCCTAAACTGAATAGACCACAGACCCGCTTTTGATAAGATTTTGTCCCAGTGTCCCCAATCCAAGAGGATTTTTGCTTTTAGATGTTTTATTACAGAGTGCATGAAATCCCAAATGTCCCAATGTAGTCATGCATTGTCATTGTATTACTTATGGATGGAATTATAACAAAAGTAACTTATTCCCCTTTTGTCTGGGGACCCCCTGGAACCTCCTCAAGGACCCCACTTTAAGAACTACTGATATAGACCAGCATGTCAGAAAGCTGAATGCAATTTATTTACGGTGGAGCGCGGAGGATGAGGTGGAGTTGAGGAGTCTCATAGCCTGGGGAAAGAATCTGATGTCAACAGGTGTGTGTTTCCTCCTTTTATCCTAAAATCAACGATCAGCTCCTTAGTTTTGGAGACACTGACTAGTAGGTTGTTCTCTGTGCACCACTCAAACACAAAATTGTTAGTTTGGTTGTGGTGTCGGTCACGAATTTCACAACAGATTTCTCTCAGTGTCGGGATGAATTTGTTATTGAGTGGCCTGAAGAGGTACAAAGAAGTGTTATGTTGCCATGTTATATGAACATTTGAAAACAAAATAAAACATAACATTTTCAATAGGAATAAAAAATGGAGTAACACAAATATTGTGTTTTTACTCCACTCTGCTGGGGAATACGAGTCCTTTATACTCCTACACCTATATTCTCTTTAGCTTTCCAGTGTTCCAGTATAAAGTATATCTTCTTATTCTTATTCCTTGGATGTTGGAGTTATATTTAACTTGGCTAGTGTCCACTGATACGTCGACCTCCATGAATCTCACATTTGACAGTGATTGTCTAGGACCAATGTTGTGTGTCCACCATCATCAGAACAGTAGGAGCTACTGGGCAGACAATCATTATTTTGTTAATATTAATTTTTTGCTTTTGCTATCTCTTTTCTACACAACTGATTAAAAACATTTAGAAAAAGATTTAAATAATAATAACAAATAACTAAATTCAAAAGAAACCATCTGTTGTGTTATAAATAGCGGTGGAAGTAACTACATTTTCTACTTAACTTTAGTCTTTTTGGACCTCTACTAAATATCATAGTTTTTAATCAACCACATTTATTTGATAAATGTATTTATAAGACACTAAGACAGAACGGACATAGAACACAGGCAGAATGGTATAAAAATATTGATTGATTGATTGATTTATTCTGAAAGCCTATACTGTTTTTCAATAAATAGTAGTTTGCTAAATTATTTAAAGTTGCAGAACTATTGCTGAACTTTTACACTGTGACTAAACACATTGACTTGTCTAGGCTGTCTCTGTTAACCACAGATCTGTTTTGACCAGTACCAACCGTGAAGCAGCTTTCAAAACACGTTTTAACTAGTCAGCTGCTGAATGCTCAGTACTGATCCTTTTGCAAAAGCTTAAATAAAACCTATAAAGACACCAACATCAGAACAGTAGGAGCTACTGGGCAGACAATCATTATTGTGTTTATCTTATTTTCAGATTTTCACCACAAGATGCTCTCTGTACTTCATGTTGACTGGGCCGTTAGGTCACACTGGTCCTTTTAAGTGAAAATTATATTTGCATTTAAGTGACCTGGTGATTTCATTTCACACTGTTAGTAAACTGAACATGAAGAGGTTAGGTACAAAATGATCACAACATAAATTAGATAGATCGTAGATGTAGTTTAAAGGGAGACATATTTTAGCTTAAGCCATTTATCACCTACAGGTCAGAAAATACCATTACATGTTCTAACAGCAGTCTTGTATGAATGTCGTAACTCTTGTATCTCCAGACCTGCTAAAGGACTTTTTAAGGAACTGAGGTTGTGGCTGTTGATTGTGACTGTGACACATGGTGGCAGTGCTGCGTAGAACAAAGCACATGGTGAGGAGGCAGCAAAAGCAGCACAAGAGAGATGGTTTCATGGCTGCCAGAACAATTACTGCCACTCACATATGCTGCACCAATAAAATCTACTGCTCTTGAAATATAAGAACTCACTGTAGTAGTGGTCTGATGGCTGTAACCAGCTTTGAGGTCACAGACCTCAGTGATTATATACTGTGGTCGCAGCTGACCACAACTTTCATTTCAAGGTGAAAAATTGTTTCCCCATCAGTTTCCAGATTTGATGAAACAAAATATTACACGCACAATAACTGAGAGCACGGCTTGTTGCAGGTAGAGTTTTGGGCAATAATGTTAATTTGGGCAAATATGTTTTGTGAATTTCCGGTTGGGTGAAATAGGGTGAAGCGTCTCCCCATTTACTGTACGTACGAGATACAGCAGCATGACTTAAAATTAAAATCTCTTGACACGTGACAGGATCGGTCGGAATCTAATGTAAATTTCAGCTTTTCACAATTACTTACACACAAAATCTTTGTCACATGATTTTTGAAACGTCTCACTTAAACAGCAAAACTATGCACCAAATCACTAAAACCTTAAGCTATTTCTCAACATTTCATTTAGTTTTCAGTTGCATGAAAGACTTTTTTCAAAACACTGAACACAGTTCTCTACCAAAGACACAAACATCTAACAGGAAGTGACCTGCTTTACTTTTCCAAACACAACCAATGAAAATGCTAAACTTATTCACCAAGTCACACACGCACATCACAATACTTGCTTAAATGATCACTAACATCTCACTGTTTTAGTATAGGCCTATAAATAGAATAAAGGTCAAATTCCCTATTTTAAACATTGAATACCAACAGAGATCAAGGGGAGTAGGAGAGAAAAGCAGTACTGCATAGTACTGCACAAATATTTGTAGTTCTCAGCCATCCATTTACTGCACCGCATTGTAAGAATGAGGTTGGTTATCATGCTTTACTAAAATATTTGTAATCCTTTACAGTAACTATCCTACACACACTTACACTGTTTTTGATTCTGTACAGAGTTGAAAGGGTTACACCCTCAATGTCCCACAAATTTAGCTGTGACAATACAGCACCCATGGAAATGTTTAAATAACTGACAGCAGCCTCTCTTATCATGATTGAATCATCAATATAACCCACAAAGAAATCACCTTGAAAGCTACAAGGTAGAGGTGGGGTAAATCCAGAGCCGGCCCAACGCGTGAGCGAAGTGAAGTTAAGTGCCACCAGAGGGCCCCCAAGAGCACTTCAAATGTCCGACAAGAGCACGTGAGTTTTTATTTGTTTATTCATCTTTTGGGTTACCTTAATATTGCAAAATAGGACATATCCATCTGGAGCTGAGAGAAAAACAAAAGAAAGGTATGTTTGCATGACTAAATACTGCTAGGTAGATGTGGAGGCCATTTAGGGATGTTTTATGTTACTGTAACCAAACCCTATCCTAGCTAGGCTATGTTGTAAGCTAACGTTGGCTAGCTAGTTAGTTAACAACATACTTTTGTAACAAGCTAGCTAGAGAAATTTAGATTTTAACTGGTACATACTACAATACATTTTTGTTTGCATACTAGGCTTGATGCTGGTCACAGTTTAACACTAGCATTTTGTGGTGATTGGTAAAATAAAAAAGCTCTGTTGAAGTATTTTGGAGCTGGAGCACAATCACCGCCGCTGATACTTCCCCAACTATCTGTGATGATCCTGCCACGGTACATTTAGCACTGCAATCCTCCTCCTCAGCTGATGATAATGCAGCTGCTGAGTTTTCAGCAAAGGGTAATTTTCCCAGACCACCTGTACTGTTACGTATATGTTGGTTCAGCCTACGAACACAGCAATGGTATATATTGTAACTGATGTCACGCATTTAAAAGCAGTTTATTAGTGATTTGGTCGAGTGACAACAGTTGTGCAGTGCAGTTACTTTACAGTTTTTCTGAATGCTTAAACACTAACGGCCATTCTTGAAGTTCTGTTTCTGAAACCATTACCACTTCTAGCCAATCATTTACCAAATGTGCCAAACTGAATGCACCTTCTCTGCTTTACTCACAGTTTGTAATTGACACTTCTATCAAAACTGTGAACGTTGCTATATATCCTACACAATTTTGCCAATTGGCATTCCTCAGTGTTCCACAAAACTTTTTATTTTTAGTTCACATACCAATCAAATCTAGAGCACTATATGTAAAATACTTTAGAGGTA